GCCACTTCTAGAGCAGCAGGAAACAGCTCCTTTCCCAGCTATATCTTAAGCGCTAACCCTTCAGGGATTCTACCTTACACTCAGCTGCAACCTGACATTTCCAATGAAGCATTAAATCATAAACACAACTTATAGGAAATCAGGAAACTATATTATATTATATAATATATATATATAAGATGAATAACGCTGACATTTCTCAAACACTTTTGGTTTTCCAGAATAGGACAGTTAGATTAGATATAGAGGATATAATGACCTCTTGCCAGCTGCTATAATGTCATCTGCACTTAATATATGGTTGTACTCTGCAAAGCTTGTCTCATTTGGCAACAACCTAAAAGAAGCCCAAGCGATATTCATGGAAAAAAGAAAGGAATTTTACCACTATAACAAGAAGAAAGACCAAACCCAAGCATCCATAGAAAGTTAAGAAAAAAAAATTATGTATGAACCAAGTAACCTCATCCCTAACAGGATCACTCTCTGGAAGATGGCAGCTGCCACATTGTGGAGTTACATCTAGGGCAGCGATCAAGTTTCCCACCTATGCATGTACCTAGAAGGAAAACTGTACCAGTTAAGAAATACAGTATCTTAAGTGCGGGCCATATTAGTAGGATCCACCACAGTAGGAGAAGAAATTTTTATGAGAAAAGAAACCAAAGGAAAGTACATTTTGAAGAACAAGGACCCTCCTAAAAAACTAGCAAAACAAATAACAACCGGGCGCAATAAAAACCTAGTTGAAAAAAGAAAAGGCGAACAATCCTCTAATCAAGTTTGAAACCACTCAGAAAAAACCAATATTTTCTAGTGGGAACATCTTTCCAATCCCATACTTGGTACAAACCAATAAACTCTACGTATGTGTGTGATTTCAGGAAGCTCATACACTTTACAATTGAATTGACTTTGGACGTAATTGTCAAAATTAGAGCCTAACCTAGCAAACAACAACCAAACAAAAATATTGCCATTAACAGCTCCAAACTTGAAATTTTCTTGCCTGAATTTCAAAAACCCAAAAGTCAGACCATCGTTCTTACATCTTTGCACCAAACAATATCTGAAACAAGCAAAAATTAGGATCACTTAGGCACAACCAATGTTAAGGAGCTTTCGTAACAAGAATTGATTTGGTTAATCAGAAAGTGCACGAATAAAAAAGAGAACAATTCGCTTCTCCACGTATTGAAAAATTGCAGCAAAACACCACGCTAGGCAAAAAACAAATTATGGATGAACAAAGTGAATATGCACTGTTCAAAAAGTGCCACTATAATAGTTATCCTTGCGTTTACTTGCAACTCTTTTTTAAAAAATAGTTAATTTGTAATGCAGAACATGGGGAAAATCAGGACATGTACACATACTTGAGCAAGTCTAGCTGCCATTGTTTATTCTTAAACAAACGCAAGCAATACTGCCAGTCTATTGCTCCAGATGCATTTGGCTCCATAACCTGTTGAGGGTGTCCAGCAAATTGGATGGTTTTCTTCTCCTCGTTCAATTGAGTAGCTTGAAGTAACTGGTCTGAGGCCCCATCGGCAAAAATCGATCAGAAGATTCAGAAATTGCCAAGAGGCATCCAATAGGTTTACCTTCAAACCAATCAATCTTGTTTTGAAAAAGGTCATCAGTAAGCAGCAAGAAGGCAAAGCAAATGGACAAATAGAAGAATTGCGAGAACAAATGGTTGGCGGACAGTTTATTTGAATGGACATGCATTTACAGTTAGAACAAATAGTGATTGCCCAATTTCGCAAAGAGACAACCAATTTCTTGAGCAGTTGTTAAAAGTCTTGGGATAGCAAAACCCACCAGGTGCAAATGAATTCTTAAACCACCCACAACAGAGATACTTAGTGTTCAGCAATCTCCACATTGCCATTCATGACCCCACTTTCTATTAGAAGCACAACTGGCGGCCTCAAATTGCCGCTTTTTCTCCAACCAAAATAAACTCAAAGCACCAGAAATTTTACATTAAAATAAAATACTCAAGAAGTAGAAACTACAAAACAGTCTCTTAAAAAGCTTATGGATAGCTCCCCTTTTGTATTCTTCTCTCAAAGGATCACTCTTACTGTTTCTTTTTTATCATTCCTTGGCTCCAAATCGGAAAAACTCATAACACAATTTACTAAAACAAAATGACAACAAATTGAAGGTTACTAACTGGCAAAGTTAACCATCCATATCCCCACTCCCCCATAGAAAGAGGATACAAAAAAAACAAGAAGAAGAAAAAATACGTAATACCGCTCTACATGCTTTCTCATTAGGGTTCTTCATTCTCACGAATCCAGGGAAAGATATGACTGTAGCATCGAAAGTTCGACACTATCAGATTTTGAGGAATTCTCTTGTGAATCACGAGCGCACCGCTTTGACCACTGAGGTCTGGCAAAGCAGTTTGAAATATTACTGCTACCAAACAATATCATCAACTTCTGACTCGTTATTCGCTGTCATTCCCACGAAGGTCTCTTTATAGAAGTTCTGCATCAGCATTTAACCTCGCCATTGTTATCCCTTTGCTTTAGGATGTTACTGCGAAATGTCCAAAACTCAGATGACGGTTAGTCCTGCATTTGTATCCATCGGTTCAAAGTTTGGGAACCTGGTAATGTTTGAAAAATTAAATTTATAGGTTAAAGAAAAACCAGAAACCAATAATGTGAAGGGATATATAGCAGTGATTTGATTGTTGTAGTACCTCTCGGATTTGATCAAGAGCAAACTCATAAAACAGTTCGGTTCAGTGTCAGGTGCTGACAAGAATCCCCATCAATCCAAGGGGGACTAGATATAGAAGTGTCACTGCGACTATTTAGGATACCAACTCCCAAAAAAACACATTTTGCTAACACAGCTCCACTGCGGGATATCTTAACCAAATGTTTAACAATGTCCAACTGAAAGAGCGAGTACAAAGGAACTCCAGGTGTTGCTGAGGAGGCGGACTAAGCAATCTAGGTTTAGCATCTTTTGAGGGAGGGAAAGCAAATTTATTGTCCGAGCAACTCTAGGGCAAGTAGGAATGACAGGAATGCATGCCCATCCATGGACCAGGGACCGTGGTGGAAAAAAAAACAGAGGACACATGCTGATATAACTTCAATTGGGACAAAAATTCAGCACGACCATAATGGTCAGCTACTTTTCCAGCTGGCATCAAGTTGCTGCCCTCGTTTCAAATACAGAGCGAGTTAGAAGCTGCAAAAGAACACGACAGTTTAGAAAACTGCAAAAAGATTCAGATGAATTAGAAGCTGCAAAAGACCCAATGAATTAGAAGAAGCTGCAAGAAGTAAATGGATATTAGCATGACTACATCTCTGATGAGGTGGAAGCTAAGGTAAGCTAAATTCCAGCGTCCAGTTCTGAGCCAAATATGAAGGCATAAAAATATAAAGCAAAAGAGAAAAATTGGTTTTCCATTTGCCAATTGCAGAATGGGAAAAATTAAAATTGTCCTGAATTATAATCAAATAACATACTGAAAACCCTTTATTTCAAAAAACTAACTATGAGGTCTCTAACTTTTGATTTCATTAACACGTTTGTTTCTTCGTCCAAATTAGCCTTTTGTACTGTCAATTGACTTAAGAAATTGATCCCTAAATATAGTTCGAAACTAACTATGAGATCCCTTAAACTCTATGGATTTCTGTAACACTTTGTCCCTCTATTATGGATGGAAGGGACCCAAACGTTAATAAGCTTCATAATTTAGGGGACCTCATAGTTAGTTTTTGAAAACAGAGGGTACTCATGTTTAATCTGATTATAATCTATGGAGACCAATTTATTTTTTCCCTTTCAGAAATTAAGATGACATGTTTGTTACGATTAAGAAATTGCTTTTTCAAAATGGAAAAAGAAAGAGATCAAATTTAAATGATTGTGGTTAAAATATTTTGAACTGATATTCATATAAAATTGATGTAAGAAGAATAATGGTGTCACCAAAAATATTAAAAAAAGAAGGGCGGCCGGTTATTATGTGGCCTATATTTAGTATCACTTGTATTAATAATCCTCAGATTCCATCTAACTTCCTCCCTACATTCACCTCAAAAGTGTGATGAAACGCCAGTAAATAGGTATTGAATCAAAAAATAATAATTGCTCTGCAAGTCCACAACCCCCATATAAAAAATCACGTGTAAGTAGTCCCACAAGGTTTGATTGTAAAACAAACAAATCCACCACATTTTCAAAAGTCACGTTCAATGGAATTGCTTTGGCCCCATATTTTTCCTACAAAATAATCAATGTATGGATTTTGCTTGTATATATAGTTAGATTCTATATTAATGTTGCCCAAGTACTTTCATGGCTTCGTTCAGCCGCTAAATTTATAATTGAAGAATAGGCACAGTAAGATTTAAATGAAAAATGGAAAATTACTTGACCCAAAATAAATAATCTCAGTAAAGATGATAGAAATTGCTTACATTCTTTAGGCCCACTCATAAACAAAGAGAAAAAGTTGAAATCCATGGGTTTGTTATCACAGTCCCATTCAAACTATGTCACCGATTGCAGCAAGCAATATGGAGAATAAATTGTGACAATAATGTTGTAGGCTTAGAAACTTAAAACTGGCCAAAATATCTCTCCCAGCATTCTTTTAAATCATAACCAACAGAAGTGGTGTGCTAATTTTTTCTATATATCTCTTGCTGGACTGTGATGGAATCTGTTTAACAACTTTTAACCCAAGCCCAAGAAGCCCATCCTTATCAAGATCGGCCAAAACTTTCCGTTCCATATATTGATGATCACCTTTAATCCAAATTTAAGCTCTGTTTCTTCATTCAGCAATAGCCCTTGCAAGATTATAATCTTACCTTGATTTATGGGAGAAAGAATGCATCAGAACTGCAGGAACATCCACCAGTTATAAATAATTAAGAAAGGTATAAATCTTTTCAGAAAAAACTATTTTCAAAACAAAAGGACCACTAAGAAACTGGCCTCTTGCCTGTGAGCATCTTCATCATCTGATGAAGCATAGGCAAGAGCACGTTCTTTTGCCCCTGACGAATCCAAAAACTCCTTTGATGTTTGAAAATAATAACATCCCCAGATAAAATTGCTGGAGACCAGGATTATCATCCTGAAAAGGAAAGATATTCAAGTCATGAGGATGATTGGGATCAAACCAAGAGAACATTTTCCAACATGTAAACACTTAAAGCATCCACCAAGGGAACTCTTTCAGGATCCCACAAGGATCAATATCCATATACAACATTCCCCAAGATGGTTCACGGTACTTCTATGGATAGCATTTAGATTATTTGCCTACATAACAGAAGTAAGAAAAATAAAGATTACAAGAGTGACAAGAAAAGTTGTATTGAAATTTCTTTTTTCTGTTCAGGTAGGTCAAAATAACTGGTTAAATAAAAAAAAATGTTCAATTCCACCATTTCCCATTTCCTCATTCTTCCTAACCACCATTTATTTTAAAATTTTCTTTATTCTTTTCATCTTAAGAATTTTTTTTTTTCTTTTGTATTATTTTTAAGAATGCATTGTACACTATTTATGTATATTATATTTAATATATTTACATGATATATATTAAAAATTAATTACTAATAAAATCATAAATTTAATAGCTACATATTACAATTAAGCCTGTAATCTCAAATTTTAGTAATATTTATCATGTGGTCGGGTTCAGATGGGTTATTACCTGAATTCAAAAACTAATCGGGTATGTATTCAGGTCGGGTTCAGGTGCCCTATGTTGGGGGGGGGGGGTGGTGTGCCGAAAATTGTTCATTCCCAACAATAAAATTATCAGCCCTAGTTAGCCAATCAATAAGGCATGAATTAGGGGGGGGGGGGGGGGTGGTTGCGAAATTGTCATTCCCAACAATAATTATCAGCCTAGTAGCCAAAATCAATAAGCATGAATTATTTATAAAAATTATTCAGCCTATAAATTAACTTACTTGTTCCAACAATTCGTGCAGGCGCTTTAGGATACGTCGTGAGACCGAAATAATTCCCACTTCATGGATTTGATCCCAGTAAGTGTAGCCTGTTTTAGGAGAACCTCCTGGATATATCTCAGATAACATGACTTGAGCCTGCTTGTGATACAAACAATGCATAAAAGCAAGATCAAAACCAAACCAAAGGAGCCAAAGAGGAGTTGAATGCTATAGGCAAACAGAGAAACCAGAGAGTTCAGCTGCAATTCTTATAGCTGGAATACCTTATATGCAATTTTCAAGTACTTGAGATTATTATTGGTTCGTAAGGAAAAACAAGGATTTTTTTTAATTTATTGGCAAACAAACATTTGATTGGATAAATAGCTTGGGATACTTTGAGCAGTTCACAGGCAACTGATTTAATCTCATTTCATCAAGAGGGGAAGATTATATGTGAAGAATTTAAAGGCAATATTTCCACTGATAAGAAACCAGGGAATTTGAAAAGTTAATCAACAAGTGAAAACTGCAGTGGACAAGGAAGATAACAAAGGGAACAATATTGCCTTAGCTAGGAAATTTGAACTTTTATGCACTGCTTGCAGAACTAAGATATATATGAATGTCAGAGGTAAAAACAATAAACACAGTAAGATAAGCTTCAAGTTCATAGGCAGGTAGGCATTGCCTGATCCAAAAGTTGTTGGGACATATCTCCCGACCTTGCACAAGTTGCCGCAATATCAATACATAGAAGAACCTGGGAACAATTACAAATGCGTCAGTCTATACAACTCTTTCACCTGAATTGAGAAAGGGGGAATAGAATACAAGCATCGAAAGCACTTACTGCAGCCAAAGGACCTAACTGAGAACGCAGAGAAGAAAAATCTAAGTCTTGCCCTGATGAGGTTCCATCAGCAGCACGAGAAACTGTGTCTTCTACCTGGTAATGAAACAAAACATATAACCATCAAAAGGAAATTTTGAATAAAGAATCCTCGGGCAAAATTAATGGAAAAGTTGCCTAGATAAATGATAAATAATACAAAAGAAATAACAACACAAAGGCCTTCTTTTAAGCAATAAATTGCACCATAACAGTATCGCAATAGCATCTGAATTTATCCATCATAAATGACATAACATTGCCTTCTAACACCTTCAAAGCAAAGGTTATGCAACATTCATCCCAAAGAATTCCATACTCAGAAGATACTAGAATAACTTGTTAACTTCAAAGCAAAGGTTATGGAACATTCATCCGAAAGAATTTCATACTTAAAAGATACTAGAATAACTTGTTAAGCACAACAGAAGAGCTACAGACTCACCAATCTGGATTCAGATGCTCTTCTGAAAGCACCATCAACCCATTCAGCCAATTCAAGGGTAGCTCTATCTTCTGCTGACAATGAGAAACGATGAACTGCTTCTTCCCCAATGTCATACTTTGCCCTTTGCATGCAACTGCAAAATAAAAGAGCATCACATACCTGCATCAGATTCAATCAGAAAAAAATCTATTGATATTAAATATGCATTCCCTCCACCATGAATACTATCATTTCAGTTCTAATACATTTACATCATGTAAAAGTGACTCAGTCCAACCCTGGTCAGTAGAAAAATGCAGCAAGTCATACTCTGCAAGATATCACAAGTGAGAACTAACTTGTCTGTATATGCCTTAAATAAATGTTCAGAAAAGAATTTACTAAATTTACAGGTTAAGTAGCTTGGATGGGGCCGCACGTAAGACAGTCAATGCCTCTTTCCACTTCCACTGGCGCTCAGATAATGGTAGAAGACGCTGCAAAATTGACAACCTCCATTGCCAATCTTCAATAAAATGTTTAGCAATGGATATTCTCCAATCTAAAGCCTGTCTTCCACCCGAATTTGCAGTATCATTTAATGCGTGCTCTTCAATAATGCCAGGTGGAAGGTTGCGATGCAAGATATCGAGCAACAATCCTGTGAAAGAAATAACCAGTTCGTTTCCCCCTTCACATGTAGTGACATTGGTAAGCTCCCAAGGACATGCAGAGTGTGATTCAGAATTGCTTCCTGGTGAGGCACAATGCGTCAAATTGAGAGAGATATCATCCATATGTAAAAGTGAAATTATAACATTCACCATCAATATCTGCATCATTAAATAGAATCAGCATTATACAAATATCCCAATGAGTAAAACTAGAAAAATAACTTTTTAATGCTACCGAGAAAGGAAAAGGACTGGATTCAAATATCAAATTATTTAAATAGCAAACATACCATAGCAGCAATAAATTGTTTTTAATGTCAAGTACATTGACAAAAGAAATCATTATTAATCTTTTAAAGGAATCACTTATAAAAAAACAACACAAAGAATTTTATTACACGAGTTCTTGATAATATTACTTCTCGTCTCTAGAAAAAAATTGCAAGATGTTCAGACAACAGAAGATATGTGTGCTTGGTGAATTTGCAAGGACTTGATAGCCTCAAGACAAATACTGGAATGACCACTCATCTGGACAACACCCACACCCCTCAAAAAAAAAAAATAATAATAAATAAAAAAGAACACAAAAACACACACTCACAAGAGAGAGAGAGAGAGAGAGAGAGAGAGAGGAGAAGAAGAAGCAGCGTGACCTTGCGTGGAATATTTGTAATTGCCTCCAAATGGTTCTTCAGATCTTTCAAATGGCACAAAGCTGATTGATGATGACTCTCTTTTTCATCATTGGTAGACCTTTCCATTATTCCTAGGGCGAGAATAATAGATTCCAAAGCATAACGCATGTGCATAAGTTCAATGTCTTGCATCCTACCACAAGATGGACTAGATGAGTGCAAAAATAACAAAAGGAACCCAAACAAGAAAATGAAGTTGGCGCAATGAGATGATCATTAAAAAAACCAAGGGATGCATCACATGCATATTGACTTTGCTGTCAAATACACAAGAACCAGATTCAAGGGAAACAAGAACATAGACAAAAGAAAAAAACCATAGATATATTATTGCAAATTTTCATGCAATGTGGAATAGATTAAGAAATTTTAGTGAATCTTAATGAATCTAACAGGGCGGCATGCATCATATCCGTAATTGGGTAGGTCCATTTGCCAAAAACATATGAATAGCATAATGTATCTAAACCGGGCACGTACAAGCTGCCAAGAATTCTGCATGACATACGATAAGAATATGCAATTACAAAGTTCTCGATTTCTGAAGCTATAACCCATAATAGTCAACACCATGATGAATTGAATTGCATCCATGAACAAATTATACCTATCATCCTTTCTCTCTACTTCTTTTACTTTTTGTTTCAGTTACTCTCTCTCTCTCTCTGAAGGCAAAGTTAAAGCACCTACTGACACAAAGGGATATTCAACTGTGCAATATTTTATTAAGAAATCCCTCCAAAGCAAGCATCTATTAGCTCAAGTACAAGGAACTTGTAAAAATTCTTGTAAAAATTTAGAAAACACAGGTCAAAGGTAGTTGCAATATCTTTGTCTGGTACGGAGGATTGAATGAGCAAACACTCTGCTTCCTCCCATTATCACATCCTGAACCCACTAAGCGAATACCAGCCTCTCAGATCTCAACTAAAATGCAGTATTAAGAACAACCAATCCTGCTTTTTAGTATCTTTCAACAAACATGTACTGCTATCCACGCTCATCAAGTGGTCATAAAAATTAAGTTAGGCCAACGCATGTACAATACCTAATATCACAATGAAATAACACAAAATCCACCTACAGACCTTTTCCAGGCTGATACTGTAGAAGCAATTGGCTGCATACTTATTAATTCAATGGCATCCTGGAATTTTATGATAGGAACAACATCAAAAAGCACCTACAGGAAAATTTTTCCACTTTCAAGTCAATATTTGAACAACTTGAATAAGAATAAATCTATACAATATATGTTAACTCCAGTTGCATGATAGGATAAGCAACAGAAGTAAAATAGTGTTGTGCAGCATCAAGTATTTGTCTTACAAATAGGACAACAGATTTTGAGCACAAAAGGCTACTGTGAGTTGTAATCGACATATGAGAAATAAAGACAAGAAATTGCCATTCAGAAAACCTTCTCTTCCTCTCTCTTTATTTCCCACTCATCTTCCTATCTCAAATTTCCTTCACTTCCTCTAACTTCTCCGTCCCCAAACACTCTAGTTACCAGGTCCTAGAAATCGCATGCCACTTATAACTGAATCTGCTATAATTATACTCATAATGATCATTAAAAGAGGAAAAGTGAAAAGCAATCACAAAAATGTCTAATGTTTGATGATGTAAAGACAATTACACATCAATAAAGACCATATATTACAGCAAAAAATATTTTCCTATCTATGAAAAAGAGGGAGAGAATATTTTTATTAAAAATTCCTTCTTAACTGTGCAGAGTCTCCCAACCAAATAAATAAATACGTAACTCAGATTGGCAACTAAGACTGCCAAGACTTTCCAAAGTATAGTGTATGAGAATCTTACAAGAAGAGGACTCTGAACAGAAAGCCTTTCCAGCACGAAGTTTTCAACAAAAGGTTCTGCTTGATTAACTTCATCTCCAGAAATTATTTGTTGGTTGCCAGACAACAATAATGAGGACCTTGAATTCCATGCTTGACCAGAATTGACACATGCAACAAAAGAGGCAAGATCAAGCTGATAACATAATGAATCACACAGATGTTCCACACAAGATATCTGTCAAAACCACAAACATGAACCAATTATTGTTTATCCTTTAGACAAATAAAAGAATATACCAGGAAACATAGAGAAGGCAAATAAAGGAAATTACCTCATCCATTTGATTACTGTATAGTGAAGATTCTTCCAGTCGAAATACTTGCGATTTACTAGAAGTCCAGAGAAGTTGCATTAATTTTCTTCGAGCTGTTGTCTTGCCAGACAACAGATCCCAACCCATCACAGCTACCAGAGGCCTAAGTCGTGGAAATAACATAAGAACCTGGAACATGAATCAGTAAATAAGACGTGCGCTGAAAACTCCAATTTTTAACTGCTAAATGTAAGAGTATGCACATACATTGCTAGCCTCTTGAAGCTGCTCCCTCTTGACAGCAGAGAGTGCCATATCCATGATACATTCGAGGACATGAAGTCCAGAAACACGGGCATAATGGTACATGTCTCTCATGCAAAAACTGACAGCAACATTCAAGGAAGAAGCTGGATCAGTAGAGTCTGCATCCATTCTCGTTTCTTTGAGATATTTTTGAAAGCGCTCCAAAGGAGGTGGAATCTGGCTGTTGTCAAGTGTTCGAGAGGTTCCAATCTCCTTACGGAGCAAGTCATCCTGGATAACCTGCAGAAACCACCTTGTTCAAACCAACTTATCCAAACACAGATTATAGCATAAATAGCATTAGATGGAATCAATAGATATTCACAAAAGTAACAACATATTCCCCTCCTCGGGATGAGATCAAACGCTCATTTAATTGACAATCCATCATTGAATGTATCAAGAAATAATTAAGGATGGTTGCAGGTATGCATTCCAGTAAGCAACAGTATCAGATTCTAAGCAGCTAAAAGATCTTTTGGGAGTTTATGTAGTTAAGTAGCCAAGATCTGCCTCCTTCAAGAAAAACTAGTTCATATGTCGAATCCCACTCAAGCTTGATCTAAATTTGAAATTCTGAAACGAATTGTACAATTACGAATGGAATATCTAAAAATTCAGAAAATAGAAATTTGAAAGTGGATTGAGTTCACTTTAACAACCAGCCTTTGATATAAACTGCCAAATTACCAAGTAGTTGCAGTTGCCACACAGTTTAAAGGTGTTTTGTGCATCATATGAGGACACCAAATTGAATTCTCAAAATCATCGATTAGAACATGACATCCACCTAAAAATCTTGCCAAACAAGAATTCAACCACTACACTGCCTATAAGAAAACAAAATTGAGTATTACCTGAATTATTCCAACAATTTGTCCACAATTTGACGAAAGGGCCTCTCTATAAACGCATAGCAACTTTTCTTGCATGACTCCCCGGGAGTCTCCATATTCTTCCCTTCTTGACAATACCCTCACAAGGAGATCTTGCAAAACCGTGCTATTAGAAACATCAAAAAGGCAATGTGAATAAATATCTAGAAGATGATGAAGAAAATATGCAACATATTCACATATTCTATCCAAGTAGAAGGAAAAAATGGAGTGAAACATCAGAAAATTATCTAGATAAGTTTCGATCCGAAGAGATCAGTGTTATCAATAAAGACCTCCAAAAAGAATTCTGTGGCATAAAAAACAAGAGTTCATCATGAATGAAAACAGGCAGAAAAATACTAAAGGTCCTCCTTAAATAAATGGAAGGTACATAAGAAGTAAAAAGGAGGATATAACCAATGAAAAAATGTTGCATTAAGAAGACTCAAACTAAGATACTAAAAATTTGATTCAAGAAGAGAACTCCCTGAGAATTTTAAAACAAATGAAAAGAATAAGAAACAAACGCCAGGCTAACAACCAAGGATGAAGTATCTTCAATTGTCATCCAGTTATACATGGAGGAAATGCTCTACAAGCATATCAGTATAATGCCTGTAATCCACAGCCACACAACGGTTCTTCCAAAATAAAGATGATGGTTTGTTTTAAGTGGCAAAATCAACTTTTGCAATAACAAACACTCTCATATCTTCTGTTCCAAGAGTCACTAGCATAAGGTGTGTTGGTTTCCTCCTATCTAAGCACTTTCTGAGAAATGGTTTTGTATATTTTTGTCTTCCTCTGCTTAATTACACAATTACAATTCGTACATGTACATATACACTCCCGCCCCTGCCAATTGCGTTCAGTTAACAATGATGGAAACCGTATAATTCAGTTTATTTTTATTCCACAATGACACGGTACTACATGTAAGAACATTTTCCAAAGGTAATTAAGCAGCAGAGTAACTTCCATTTCAAAGCCAAGGCCAAATAGACATACCGATATTCAGCCTCCTCCACTCCACGATCAAGGTAAAGATAACGAATGTGAGAAAAAGCTCCTTCTTCATCTCCTACCCCCAAACACTTCTTCACGGCGTCTAAATGAGCTAACTGAACACTTCTTTGAATCAAAGTAAGCAACTTTGTTGCCTCCTCCTCATCCTCAGCAATATCCTTCAAAATATCCATGCTCACCTTCTCGTCCCTCCTCACGGTTATAGCTAAACCAGATTTCTCAACCTCATCGCCCTTCAACTGCTGCTGAATATTCCAACACAACGCTTCAAAAACATCAGCATGTTCCAAAATTGCCCTTCTCAAACACATAATTTCTCCTTCTTCAATAGAAGGAACAGCGGAACCCGCTGTTCTCTTACTCCCCGGGGCCTCTTCATTAACAGTATCATCACTATCCACTCTAATATCTGGCTTCAATCTCTTCACTCCCAACTCCAAAACCTTATCCAAAACCCGCAAGCAATCCCCCAATTCATCACTTCCATCCTTCAAATCCTCGCTCCTACCCAACAACTCCTCTTTCTCACTAAAATCATCATTTTCCTTCTCTCTCTCAATGCTCTCTAAGTCCACATTCTTGCGCATGCTCTCTGTCACCATGTCGCTTAGAACTTGAATCAGTAGAAGAAACTCCGCGCGCAATCGCAAGATACCTGGATCGAAACTCCATGTACGTGACGTGGAATTACTGTATTCTAAAAGCTCTAGGGTTGATAGATAGGTGAGAAGAGAAGGCGAAGGGCAAGATGGTGACCAGAGAATGTTCTCGAAGCGACCTGAGTTAGCTACTAGAGTTTGAAGGATTGCAAGCGCTAGTTCAGGGTTTTTTGATCGGAGAGCTATCAGAATAGCTCGTAATGGCTCGAATTGAGCTAAGTGGAGATGATTCGCGGCTAGGCGCGATAGTAGCTCGGTTTCTTTGTCCATTTTTGCAGTGGATTCTTATTACAAGTTCCGATCGATCGTGTTCTTTGCATAAGAAAAACGTATTGATAGCAAGGATTGTGCCACTTTGAGATTGAAAAAGACAGTAGATTTGGATTTCCCTCTTTTTCCAGTTTTTTTTTTTTCGGTTGTCGGAGAAGAAACGGGAAAAACCCGATCGATGTGGTTAATGCTTAATACTTGGTGTTGATGGTTATAGCAAGAGAAATGATCAGGAAATGATGGTGGACTGGCCTATTTTGAGTTGAGTCTATCAGCCTGAAGGTACGGAATATGGGCCAGGCCCAAAACAGCTCGCATTTCAGATCTACTATTCTGTATTCCGCCCATATATATTTCCCGGTAACAGGATACAATTAAAGAGGAGCATTGGATTTGGATTCTATTAAATTTTAAAATATTTTAAAAATATAATAGTATTCAATTTATATTTGTTTTGAGTCTATTAAAATTTTATAATATTTAATTTAAATTCCTATAAAATCCATAAAAGTATTCTGTCTACATTTATTTGGAATTTATTAAAATCTTGTAGTATTCAATTATAATTTTATAAAAACCTATATAAGTTTGATGGTATTCTGATTTAGAAGGATTTTATAAATTTATTAATTTTATTGAATTTTATAATAGGTATAAATAAGAAAGTCATTCACAAATCCAACCTCCAATCCAAAGATTTCAACTCTCACCCAATTGACCTTTATCTACGAACACTCTCTTCCAATCAAGCTTCAAAAAAAAAAAAAAAAAAAAAAAAAAGTCATTCCAGCGAGAATCATCTCTGGAAGCGCCCAGCCCCAAAGATCCATCAATGCATTGTACTTTCAACCACGCTGTACCATCGCGCATCCAAATTGACCGCTTTTATCGACTTCACGAAACCACTCCCCTCCGTCTCCCAATTCAAGCTTCAAAAAAAAAAAAAAAAAAAAAAAAAAATCACCCACAAAAAAAAGCAAACATCAAGTTGCATAGCCGCTTGCGAACTTGGTATGTTAACTTGATATTCTTTTCTCTTTATATCATGTCGTTGGTGTAATTATAGTTAAAAAAAAAAAAAAAAAAAAAAAAAAATCACCCACAAAAAAAAACATCAAGTTGCATAGCTGCGAACTTGTATGTAACTTGATATTCTTTTCTTCTTTATATATGTCGTTGGTGTAATTATGTTCTTTCATTTTATTTGGGAAGTGAGAGAATTTTGATTTTGCTATGAATGGTTGAAATTATTATAGTTTAGGGTAATTTAAACATTTTCAAGCAATAAGAATTTTTGTTATCTGACTATACTCAATACTGAAAATCTATCAGCAGTGGACGTTCAAAAAAAGGCCCCTGCTTAATCTATTCCAATTAATTGATCTCTTCAATATACTTCATACCATCCTTGATAAACTGCCAATCACGAAAGAGAGGAGGTGTTATGCAACCCTAATAAATTGAATAAAAAGACGTCCATTTAAAACCATGAATGCTTATTATATTAGGTGTTATGTCATCGTCAGATGTCTCAAGCAGCAACAACAACTTTGTTTGCGTGCACTGTAACTACATTTTTTTTTTTTTTCTTTTTTTTGCATAGGTAGGTTTGTACAAGGATGGTAAAAAATATAGAATAGAAGAGTTGAAGGAGAGATAAGTATTAACTGTTTTATATCAAGTTACAGAGTTAAGAGTAAGTGATTACATACGGTAATGAGATGATAAGGAGATATGCATGTTGCACAAGTGTCAAAAAATTCTATTTTCTAATTACACCTCTAAGTGAATGGTGTAAGGTTCATTATTAGATAACTTTGCACTTTGGATTTTTTAAATATAGGTTTGCAACTTCTTTTTTTGTTTATCTATTCTCTTCTTCTTTTTTTTTTTTCGTTTTGAAATTTTTCTCCTTAATTAATTCATGTCATCATTTAAATTTTTTACTTGATTATAAATTAATTGATTAATAATTGTTTAGCAAATCTCATCAAACTTTCTAATAATGCAGTCATGTCCATATAAGGCAAGAAAACTCATATTTATTTTATAAATTTTATTACTGTAAATAATATTATGAATACTTTATATACACATATTAATCAAGTGCTCATTTAACACACAATAATAAATTCAAATATAATTTATTAGAGTTCTATTACATATTTTAATTTTAATTTTAATTTACTTAGCAATAGTTTTGATAGTAGTTGTTGTTGCTTATAATCACTACTGAATCTCTATATAGAAGCTACTGGTAACTTTTCATCATTAGGCAAAGTTATGGTAGCAGCATTAGTTAATGTCATAGAATTACTAGCCATTATTTTTTGTTTCCATTTTATCTAATCATGGTTATTGAAACTTTTTATGTGTATATCTTTAAATTGATGCTCCTTTTATTCTATTTTGATATACTAATATGTTGACACAGACATATTATTTACAATGGGAGATGCACAAGGAAGGTAAAAATGCATATAGCACATGGAGTTTCCAAGAAAGTAAATTGTTGTTAGATTTAATAGTTGATAGTGCTAATCATGGACGGCGTGACAGTAATGGCGTGTTCAGCAGACTGATTGTCACAACTAAAATACTTCCTAAACTTAATGAAGCACTGGAGTGTACTAAAAAAACATATACTCAACATCAAAGCCGTTTGAAATGGGTTAGAACATGTTATCAAATATTGGCTCATTTCATATTATATAACTCTGGTTTTGGATGGGATGAAACATGGGAGAATTACTTTAAGGTTATTTTAAAAAAAGAAATAAAAGATATTTCATATTATATAACATGTATTTATTTTATACTTTTTATCATTAATATGTTATACACTTTTATATTTGTCAATCTCATCCAAACCATAAGTACCTTCACACAGACAGTTTTTCTGACATTGAGGATTTGAAAATTGCTATTGGAGATAGAACTGCTGTTAGAAAATACTCTCTTGGATTAGGAGGAGATGATACTGATGCAAGAAGTTATAGGCAGAAAGAAAATACACATGTTAATATAGAAGATCTTTTATATGATGAAAATAATGAAGCATATATGCAAACTAAAAGTGATTCATCATATTAAGAACTTTTATCTGAACATAATGAATCACTAGTGCTAGAATCTTGTCCCTATTTAGAAGTTTCCACAGAAAATGTTGTTTAAAGAAAACGAACTAGAGTTGAAGGTGAAGGGAGTATTCGCTCGTATGGCCATAACATTAGACGAGTTGACATTCTAGAAAAATTTCGTAGGGTCTATAATCAAGAAATATGTAACCTAATGGAGAAAAGGGAATTGGAAAATAGTGACATAGAGAAAAAAAAAATGATATTTGGAATGCTATTAAGGAGACTCTCAATTTGGATAATCTTGGGCGCTGCAAATCACTTGCATTGATTCAAAAAATAAGAAGTAAAGATGCATTCTCGAAGATGTCTCTAAGAGAGCATTTTGACTGGATATCTAGTATCGAATTAGTATTGTGACATCCTACTCCGAGTCGAGTCTTAGCATAGAGTTGAGTAGTCGAGTTGAGTCGAGTTGAACCAAACCCGGTTGGAGTAGAATGGGATTGAGTAGTCCGAGTTGAGTCGAGTTGAAAACCAAAACCCGGTTTTGGAGTAGAATGGGAATTTTAAGTGGACTTTTTGAGTGAGAAGAAAAAGATCAAGCACATGGGGTGAGGCAGTGATTTGCATTAAAGATTGAGCTTGGGTATTAAGTTGTAGCCTTGTTTTACAATTGACGGTACCATTTAAAACTTTTTACACACAAATCCTTGGATTTTGATGGCTTACCCTTTTCTTTTTTTTTTACCCGTAATAACCATTTCACTTCCCATTTTTCAATGTTTTATCTTACCATCTTCTTCCAATTTTTACTTTCCTTTCGCTCTTCCACCCTTACTTTCAATTTTCATGGTAGTTAAGCCCTTAACTTCAACTTCTCTTTTTATCCAAGTAGTTAACCTTCTTGAGTTCAAGTAAGTAAACCTTCTTGAAGTTCATAATTGAATCATTTGGTGTTGTTATTTTAGAATTTATAAGAATTCTTCTTTATAGGTGAAGGGAGTTCTAAGGGAGTAGAAAAAAGAAGCTAAAGAGGAGCTCAAGCTTTTGGAGTAAAGGTTTGATATCTCTTGTTCTTTTCCATTTTCTTTGCATGAGAAATTGTGTGGTGTGTTGCTACTGAGACATATTGCTTTATGTTGAGTGAGAGGACTGGTAATGGTGAGAAAACAGGGGAAAACAGGGGAAGTATTGAATAAATGAAGTGAGTATTGAGTTTATGTTGAAACAGGTTTTGCTCTTGCCTGGAAATTTCCAGTAACTTCATCTTGAAATTTTGACCCCCATTTAATGATAGAATTAGGAAGTGTTCATAAAAGAGTTTATTTGTTCCTCTACTGTGTTAGGCCTTTACTGGTTTTTGAATCATCCAAGATTGGAGTTGTATATTGAGAGATATGACCAAAGAAGTACAGACAGTGCAGGCTGGAAACGCGCGCGCGAAATTGCATGAATTGAGTTTGCGTTGCCCTTCTCGCGCTCGCAAATTTGACCTACGCGCTTCCGCAACTTTCATCCTGACTCTGACTCTTTTTAGCAACATCTCGCGCTTCCGCGAAGTGCGCGCTCGCGACTTTCACCTGAAACTCACTGACTCTCATTTTGCACATTACGCGCTCGCGACTCTCAGTGCGCGCTCGCGACTCTCAGTGCGCGCTCGCGACTTGTGCTTTACGCGCTCGCGACCTTCATCGTGCGCTCGCGACTTTGGCCTGGAAACTCACTGTCTCTCATTTTGGCCTCTCGCGCTCGCGACTTTGCAAGGCGCGCTCATAACTTGTCTTTTCATGCATTTTTGGACTTCATTTTCATTGCAATTGGATTCCTTTGCTCACCTTGTATGCCTCCAATCATTCTAAAACAAAAATATAACATACATTAACCTGCGGCAGTTGGAGGTCCAATATATGAAGGCAAAGGAACTCACATTGCATTGAAAAAAGAAAATCCATAAGAATGCATCGAGAACGACAGAAGCTACGCGACTTGTGTTTTCATGCAATTTTTGGATTTCCTTTTTCAAATGCAATTGTATTCCTTTGCTTCACTTATCTTGCCTCCAACTCATTTTAACATAATAATCAAACATTTGGAAGCATGTATCAAACAACATTCAAGCATGCAAATGATGTGAAATCAAATATTTAGGAAATAGAATCCTCATTAAGTAAGAAATCTTTTTGGAGATAGGAAATTGTTTAGGCTTTGGATTTCTTCTCAATTAGGACTCTTCCATCTGCCAAAACAGGATTAGATTTTGATTTGTATGTCAGGAAAGTATCTGAACTGAGCCCATGCAAGTGATAGAGACTGGCTGGGGTTCTCAACTTAAGACAGCACTTAATTCGCAGCACGGGCGTACTGTACGGCAAGGTCGGGGCATGCCAGAGCCTGAGTTCTAAGGATGGTTCAGCACGGGTCGTGCTCAACAGCACGTCTAGAGAAGAATCTGTGGCACGGGCGTGCCCCATAGCACGGCTAGGGCGTGCTAGGCTCTGAGTCTCTAGGATGAAATGCATCGCCTAAGCGCACCTTTGTGTTGATGTCCTCTTTAGGCACGGGTGTGCCAGATAGCACGGTCAGGGCGTGCTAGAGTCTGAGTCTCCACTTGATTTTCCTTGAGTCCAGTACGGGCGTGCTCAGCGAGTTACCTGTTTAACTCGCAGGTTTTGAGTTTGGACCGTAGAGAGTCAGCTTACAACTGCTGCAGTTCATCTGTAGAAGACTCAGTCTATCTTCAGGTAGCTACTCATTTGAATTATGTTATCATTGTCTACCCTTTATGGCCATGTACAGGGCACGTCAGTTGGGCCCATTTCCATTTTGACACGTAGTATCATGTTTTGTAAATATAAAGTACATTATTTTGTGTAAACAGTATCACAGCATGTTATTTTATATTCAATATACATTATGACTTCTGCTAACACCTTTCCCGTCACCGTACCCGTAAATGAACCGAGTCGAGATGCACAAACTGGATGACTGTAATGGTCCTGACGATGCTGAAACTATACTGTATATTGATATTAATGACACATGCCTGGTACTCGTTTCCCAAAATCAGATGTAATTTTAAAAAACATGATATCCAAGCATTTTATACAAAATGAAATACTTGCTATTCATTATGCTGTATGACTTATGCACTTTTAGTCACATCATATAAATTACGATTAATAACATCTCATGACTGTATGACTCTTTACAGAAGCAATAATTAAACGTGTAAGCATATACAACAATATACGTTCATGATCTTACCTGATGTTCTTTATGTTGTATGAATTCTGCAACTCTGATTAAACTCAGTGAATATTACAATGAATAATGAAACATAGAAACATATAAGCACATACATATGTAGAAATAAACATGTACTTACATATGGAATGTAAGCACACAGATCATGATATTTTCATTTTATCTTGATAATCTTTCTTGCTGTATAGTAGACTGTATGATTCATGAAATGTTATGTCAAGATATCTGTATGGCTCCATAAGGTCATAGTGAAACCGAAGTGATAAGATAAACTGTATGAAACTGGATGAAATTGTATGCCATAGGCCCCAAACCGGATTCGCCTATGCCAATATTGTCCGTTTTGGTGCCCCTAACCGGATTTGCACCGCACGGTTTAATCATATCCACTCAACGGCCTGTAGCCGGAGTTCCAAACTGGCTATGGGGCGAGATCTGCTATCTATGTCGCGACAATAGCCTTACTCTTACATGGTCTTTCTCACCCAAACCTCAATGGAGCTTTCATATTAGGCATATCAACCAATGTAACACATAGCACATACAATGGTCTTTTGCAACCTTCATAGTTATTCCTATTGATTTGATTTCGACACTCATAATAAAATGCTTAACATGTTGTTTTGATTATCATAAATGGTTGCATAACTTCATAGTTCATCATGTTGATTTAATTTCACATCATATGAATGCTTACATGTTGTTTTAATCCATGTTCTTATATTATAGTTTTGTTGTAGAAGGATTGGATGCATATATGTTGAGCAAAGAAATGTAATTACATAGAAAAAGAAGTCCAAAATGCATGAAAACATAAGTCGCGAGCGCGCAGGAACAAGTCGCGAGCGCGAAATGCTTCCCAGGGAGAAGTCGCGAGCGCGTCTTCAAACCTCGCGAGCGCGAGAAGTGAAATCGAGAGTCAGAGAGGTTTCTGGCTCAAGTCGCGATCAAGTTCCGCGACCGCGCAAGCAACAGTCGGCGAGCGCGAGATGGTGAAGTCGTAGAGCGCGCTTGCTTGTCATATAAATGCTTGTATGTTGTTTTAATCCATGTTCTTAGGTTGTATTTTTGTTGAAAAATGATTGGATGCATGCATGTTGAGCAAAGGAATGTAATTACATGGCAAATGAAAGGCAAAAGAGTGTCACAGCATAAGTCGCGAGCGCGCAATGGGAAGTTGCGAGCGCGACGTGCTTTCCAGCATGCGCGAGCGCGCGACGTGATTCTGTGCAGTCTGTATTCTTTTGGCCATAACTCTCAATAGCTAATTCCAAATTGAGTGATTCAAAAACGCGTGTCAAGCTAACACAGAAAGGAACAAATAACTCTTCTATGACAATTCCTAATTCCATCATTAAAAGGGTTCAAAATCAAGATGAAGTTGTTGGTAAAATTTCCAGCAAACTATGTTTCCACTTCATATAGTCATCCCCTGTTTTCACATCATATCCAATCTTCTCACTCAACAATAAGCAACATATCATCTCACTAGCAACACCACACAATTTACATGCAAAGAAACTAATAAACAACATGAGATATCAAACCTTGACGTCAAAAGCTTGAACCTGTCTTGCCAACCAAAGCTGGGAAAGCTGGGGCTCTGTTTTAACTTCTCTTTTCTGCTACCTTTGAACTTTCTTCTCCTATACACAAGAATTCTCATAACTCATCTCCAATATAACTCAAATAAAGAGTGGATAACATATAACTTCAAGGAATTCTACTTACTTGGAGGTGACTTAGTGCTTAACGTGCATGAAACTTGCAAGGAAACGAGAGAGAAAGTAAGAAGAGAATATGAAAATGGGAAAGTGAGCTGATAAGAACGGGTAGTCTCTAGAAGAAATGACTTGGCTGTGTAAACTCTCTAATTGGTACCTCAAGTGTACAAAGACACAACTTAATACCCACACTGTTGTTTGGAGGCCACCAACAAGTCCTAAACTTTCCATGCCCAAATAGTTCCATTATCATCTCACTGCTACCGCCGAACCGGGTTTGGTTCAACCCAACTCACCCTTCCTCTATGATATGACTTCACTCAACGCACTAGGATGTTACAACTTTCAGCCATGTCAGACCATACAGTCACACCTAGTTTGCTACGCCGTCTCGGTTTCCGGTCATTCGGCGTTTACGGGTGGCCGGGAAGGGTTGTTACAAAATTTGTAAACAAGCCCAGCCTAGTGTGATATTGTCCGCTTGGGTGCCAAAACCTCGGCCTGAACCCTCACGGTTTTTGTTTCCTGGGCGACCAGGGAACCTCCGCTCTGCCAGCCCAAAACGCGTCAAACACTAGCTTCAAGGTTGCCCACCCTTTATGTATATGGACTTCCACCCTTGGTGCGTAGCGCTGTGGGGATTCCCCAGGTGTTGTGCCCCAAACCTGGGATCTCACAAGTATCAAATTAAACCTACAAACATGATTAATTACTGCAATTGATATTTTTCTGTTAGTAATCTTGTTTAGCACCACGTACTTTTTTTTTCCTCATGGTTTATGTTTGACTTCAAACTTGCCTTTTTAAGTTTAATTGTTCTTTACTATATTGAATATTTTTAATTAAGTTTGATTTTAGTTTCTTTTTTTCTTTGTTGATTTATATTGTTTCTTTATTGTACTAATTTTATTCACTTTCAGTTTATGTTCTTATGTACTCAATTTTATTCATTTCAGTTTATTTTTGTTTTTCATGAAAATGTTATTTAGAACTTTCAACAATTTATTACATAGTAATACATCTAATTTATAATTTTGTTTTTATGAATCATATAACAGAGGGAATGGAACGAGAAGAAGTAGAAAGAAAAAATACACGAGAAGACGAAGAGTTTTATGAAACCATTAAATTAGTATTGCTTGGAATTCAAGCATTACTTGAAGTGTTGAATGGATCGATGATTAGCATATGGAGTAGCCTTTATGATGAATATATTGAATGTTTATTAATTTGACGACTAGTCACAATTAGAGGGTATAATTATATACATAAAGTATTAAAAGAAGATCCTCAAGATTTTTGACAATTATATATGATGTATCCTGATGTTTTTTTGAAGCTATGTAAGATTATTAGAGAAAACACACATTTCCAGGAGACAAAATTTATTTGCATTGAAGAAATGCTTGCAATATTTTTACTTATTATATGTCAAAATTCTCAATATCGGATGACTCACCAGACGTTTAGTTGGTCATATTTACAGCGCGCAAAAGTTTTAACAAAATTTTGAAAGCTTTGAACACAATAGCACCTGATACGATGGTTAAATCAAAATCCACAACTCTAAGTAGAATAAGAGAAAGTTAAGATTTTACCCTTATTTTAAGGTAAATAGTTTTAATGATAATTATATATTATTTTTATTGTTAATGTTATAATTATTATTACATGTTAATTATATATAATTATTTATTACATCGTATAATTAATATATATATATACTATATATATATATATATTAGGATTGTATAGGTGCCATTAATGATGCAAGTAGTTATCACAATCGTCGTGGAACAATATCACAAAAAGTACTAGTAGCTTGTAACTTTCATTTGGAGTTCATACATGTGATTAGTGGATAGGAGGGTTCAGCTCATGATTCAAAATTATTACATGATGCTTTATCAAGAAGGAATGGACTTAAAGTACCACAAGGTATATATACATATATTATTATGTTCAATATGTATTCATATTTTGGCAAAATTGTATTACTAATAAATTATTAATATCTATTATATTTAGGTAAATAATTTCTTATAGATTGTGGATTTTCAAATTGTTGATAATTTCTTGCTCCATTTCGAGGTGTTCGATACCACTTGCAATATTTTTCTGGTCAAGGTCGTCATCTTGAAAATGCACCTGAATTTTTCAATCTTCGTCACTCTTTTTTAAGAAATGTAATTGAAAGAATATTTGATATATTTAAATCTAGATTCACAATTTTTAAGTCTACATCTCCGTCTCCATTTAACACACAAGTAGAGTTGGTATTAGCTTGTGCAGGATTGCATAATTTTCTTCATAAAGAATGTCGTTCTGACGAGTTTCCTACAGAACCAAGTCATGAATCTGCACCATTGTCAGTAGATGAACTTGAAGTGAATAATTTTTCAAGAGGTATTTGAAAGTCAGAATCAACAATGAGAAAATGCCATTGAATGGAGAGGTACAATATCTACAGATATGAGGAGAGATGCTCAAAATGAAAGAAATCAAAATAATGAAGAATGGAGGCAATAAATTGAAAAATTATAAAAGAGAGCATGTAAGCTACTCTTGGCAAAACAATTTTTATGTTTTCATTGTAAAACTTCCATTGATTTGATTTGGTAAAAATGTTTGATGGTTATCTAAGTTTTGTAGTATTTAACAAGCTAACGTATGATGGATTTATTTGTTTAATTGTGAATATTTAACATGTACGCCACTCGATTAATTATATAAAAATCATTGTAATTCCATTAAAGTCAATCAAAATTTATTAAAAAAAGTCCCACTAATTCTATTAAATTCTATGTAGAATTCTAATAGAATCTGTGAAAATTTTAAAAAATCCTTCAATATCATCAAATTCAACAATTCTTTAAATTCTAACACAATCCAATCCAATACACTCGCAAGGTTGGAAAAATGGTGTTTGATAACACTTCACTGTATAATATAATAGTTTTTAATTTGTTTTATTAAAAATAGGATGGTTTTGTTTTGAATTTTGATATTCTGGAAAGGAAATAAAACGGCGCGTTTCATTGCTAAAAAGGATAGGGATAATGGCGGTGAGTCCAAAAGCCAGTCCTGAAATTAACCCTAGAGCAGTAATCTAACCGCGATCAGAGGTAAAACCATTTAGGCGGGAAACGAAGATCCCCTGGAGGCCTAAACAATTGCAACCCTCTTCGTCTCTGTATACCATCTTGCATTCAACGACTCTCCACATACTTCACTCTACTCTCCACAGAATGGCCAGTGGTCGCCGGAGAAATGCGCCGGCGGTGCTCAAGAACGCAGTGGTTGAAAAGGCGCTTAAGACAGATGAAACCGATGAAAAGTCATTGATAGTTTTGGATGATTCGTCATTGGAATTGGGAATCGCTGAGCTTCGTGGACGATGGGAACTGGCTTCTGTTCTCAATTTCTTGAGTGTAAAATCCTTTCTGTTCTTGATGCTTATGTTTTCAAATATTGTGTAGCATTGTTGATTTTATGCACAAATTTAGAGAAAGGGATTTGGTTCCTAAATTGATTCTTACTTGCTTTTTTAAACTCCCAAAAAACATGTAGAGTTTGTACGGATTTATAGGCCTGTTTAGAACTTGCAGGTTTTGCTTTTTTTGTTTTGTAAGCATAAGTGTATGAATTGATAGTTTTTATTGTGTTGGGATCGATATGCAGGTTTTTGAGCCAGTTATTGGTAGTGATTTGAAGTTGACTGCAGAGGAGATTGAGACTGGTCTTGTGAAGCCTAATAGTTCGCTTGCCCAACTTCACATTAATTTATTGAAGGTTTCTTTTTTTGATTCTTATCATTGTGACTACGATGATTTTGTGTCAATTATACTGGGTTGTTATTGCATGGATCTATTCCTTAAAATAAATTAACAAAGCGTGTATGGGAATCGTGTGAATTGCATATATATATATATTTGTTATGTGGGAATCGTGCATTAATTTTCTTTTGATGCTGCTGAACTTGATCCCAGCTTGCACTTTTTTGACAACTTAATACAATCTTCACTTTTCAAGTTCAGAATCCTATATGTTTAATCGTTTACATATATGTGGTGCAATTTCTTCTGTACTCTATTAGCTTGTTTTGTAAAAAATTAGAAATGGCATCTGGAAATTCAGTAACGATATCATATTAAGTTTAGCATTGAAGATTACACTTGATGTGACGGCCTAATAGATTCATGCTAGATGCCACAAATCATTAAACAAAATGGTTGCGCTCTCATTTGGTTCACGTTGTTCTTGTTTCCAAAACTTCCTGAATATATTTCTTTCTTTCTTTCTTTCTTTCTCTCTTCTTCTTCTTCTTCTTATTCTTCTCTCTCTCTCTCTCTCTCTCTCTTTTGGATCCATGGTTGTAATGATTTCTTAATCAACTGGAATTACAGGGCATACCACCTGTGAGTAAAACATTGAATGTCTCTGAGGCATGGGTGACTGCACTTTGCAAGAAAATTGCCACATGGTGGCCATGGGTAAGTCATCCTTGGCATAGATATTGCCAACTCTTTTTATATGTTTGAAAATAGGATTGCCTTTTAATTTGCACACTGAATTGCCACTATGGCAGGTCGCTGAAGGCGAGATACCCTTGACTGCAGGAAATGGGTATCAACTACATGTTTCTCATCATTTGCAAAATAAAGCCTTTTCTTTTCTTTGTTAGGCCTCAGCTAACGCCCTGAATGCTTCTGTTGACTTGCCTTGTGCAGAAAGGAGATATCCAGATATAAGGAACTAAAGCCAACAAATCGTTTACAAATTCTGAAAGCACTTTGTGAAATCCGTGCTGATGTAGATTTCATTTCCTTTATGTATTTTAAGAGATTTTCAATGTTCTCTTGACTTTGTCATTATTTAAGTGTGGTTATGTATTTTTATCTACAAAGTCGCGTGCCTCCTTTTTTAATTTTTAAAATGTTCTTATTTACTTGATTTGCTTTGCAAATTCAATAATATTCATTGTTTTCCAAAAGCGTGATAAATCTAAAAAGATATTAAGACAAATGATCTACATGATGTTTCTTTTGTTTTGTTTTAAACTATAGTATAACCTATTTTTCCTATTCACAGCAAGATGATGCTGTATGTTATATTAATGATGCGTTGAAAAGTGGAACTGAGATCTCATGTTTCCGCAAAGAGAAGATTGGGGGAGATGGTAATGCAACTTCTTATTGGTAATTCTCTAGCTTTCTTGTAATATTGTGTTATTATTTATTGCTTGAATGTTGATCATATCAACTCTGCTCACAGGTGTGATGGGGGTACAGTAATTGGCTATAGGTTGTATAAGGAAGCAAGGAAGACTGAGGCAAAGATGAAAACAAAAGGGAAAGCATCTAGTAGTCTGCCAGCTATCTCCATTCAATGGCAAACCCTAGCAACCAACCTTGAGGAATTTCAAACAGTTGTGGTGAGTTAAATTGTTTTCTTTTCTTCTCAACTGGGAATCTTAAATTACCCTGTTTCTTGCTGGTGATCATAGGATGAATGTTCATCTAGCAAGGTTATGGGAGAAAATGCTGTTGGCAAAACTATTGAAACCAGCTTTCTTCCTGCTGTGGAGAAGCTCCACAAGGTATGTTTGTGATTTCCTTTGAGATTGCTTGTTAACATTTACTATATTAGTTACTTAGTTTATATTTTGTATATATGCCTCTTTTTTTTTCATTTTCATTGCATCCAATAGAAGAAAGAAAGGGCACTCAAACAAAAACAAAGGCAAGAAAGGCTCCTGAATGACTTGAGATCCTGTAGGACTGGAATTACTCGTTCCTGTCGCAATCGTAGGCCTATCAGTTACACCTTTGGTATGCTGTACAATTATATATTTTACTTGAATAATATGATTATTTGGCATACACTATGGATTTAATTACAACCTGGATCTAACTAGTACTGTGTATCAAATATGCAGATGAGTATGATTGTGCAATTGATGAGGCTATAGAAATAATAAAGTAAGACCTGCTCAAGCTATGTAGCCTAATATAGAAACTTACTATTTTGTCACATTGGCCTTTGAAGTGCTTTTCTGTTCTTTTTGTAATTACAAGAAAATTTATACTGATTTTTTGTAAAATTCTGAAATATTTGTCGAGTAACTGAGAAAGAAAAATAGCTACCTTTCTGTTGGAAGTTTTTTCCTACCTTTAAATGGGTTTGCCACATGTGCTTGTCATATTTAGTGCAGGAATCTGAAAACTATTGAAAGAAGCTTTATTCCTGTGATAATGATACCTTATTTATTCCCCGTGTCCAAGCCTACATGTTCCGATACTTACCCCCATGACAATTGGGTTTTTGAAATGTAGATTCTCGTTAAGTTAAGCTTATTACAGGTAGAAATAGTCTTGCTCCTGTTTATTATTCTTTTAGATTTAGGTTTCAATAAACATTGTTTAATTTGGTGTTCTTAGACTATCAATAAGTTGTTCTTAACTTTAAGTAACACATTTTTGGAAGTGTGGCTTGATTGTATGATACACACATGTTGTATGGTGAAAGATTAAAGGTTGGTAGATTCTATATTTTTTAGAAGTCATAGATGTTGATTGAGAATAAGAATTGTGATTATTTAAATGTTGCATCCTCATCATTTATGGTCTAAATTGATGGTCACTCTTCATAGGAGCATTTTTCACGCTGTGCTCTGGAAAGAAGGGAAAACTTTTTCTTGTTGATTTATGTGATGGAAGGAAACCCATCCTCTACTATCAGTGTGTTACGTATTTCTGGATTGAACCACCTTTTGCTGCTGGTGACATAATTTTGTGATTCAGGAAAAGGAAGACGAGTAAAGAACAAAGGATCAAAAAGAAGCACATTGGGCGAGGAGAATCTGCTTTTGACATGGGCACCGAGTTGAAAGAAAGTTGCACTAATATTGGTCATTCAGACACAGACACAAACTCAAAAGATGAAAATATGAAACAAAATGACTCCTCAGATAGTGAGACTGAAAGTGACCAGATTCAACAAGAGGATGATGGTGATGATGATTATAACAGCAAACATGATAGTGATAATGATAACAGCAATAAATCAGGCAATTCTGATGAGAAAGAGAACAATCCTGGTGACCAGAACTGTTCTCAGAAGCTGTTTGGGTCTCGGTGGAGTAAGAGACTGGCAGGAGGTGTGAGCCATCCCGCTGTGGCAACCGGAGACTTGGCTGCGAAGAATAGGATGAGGCAAAGACCTACACGTAACACTGCCCTCGACTCTGTTGTTCCTGATTCAGAGGATGAAAACATGTCAGAAAAAACTAAGGGCGAGACATCAGAACATGAAGACTTTCCACCAATAGCTGATTCAGAAGAGTGGAGCGATGGTTAAAACTTTTGAACAAAATCAAATATGCAAGTGCATGACGTGCATATGCTCGAAGCAAGCGCCCTTTTTTGGTAATTTGGTATATATATTTCGGAATGTTGTGGAAGTATGTTATCGGAATTCGGTCAGTATTTTCCTTTTCTTTTTTTGCCCTTTAGCCCCATTGTTTCAAAGGATCTTGTAGTCTATTGGAAGAAAGGTAATCAATTTATAGCTCAGATTTACCATCAAGCAAACGGATTCTCTTGAAGACTCTTCAGTAAGCTTACTAATATAATTTGTATAGATTGATAATGCATATGGCATTTTTTGCCCCATTGCCATATTGCTCACTCTGGGAGCGTGTAGACAGCTTATGGCTTTGTAGTAGTTGCTTACTTTTTGAGTTAAATCTGCAATTGTCTCTAGTATCAACTTCACTCACATGGAGATGGGACCGGGGTGAGGATTCCTTGTATCGGGCCAGACGGATCAATTGGACCAATATTCATATAATAAAATAATAACACAAATTTAGGAAACAAATTTATTTAACTAACCTCATTAACTTTATCATTTGGATGGATTTGCTTGTTTTTTTCTTTTTTAAGTATGGTATATATGTCATTTTATTTTCGCTATCAAATTTCATATGCAATCATTTTACTACTAATTGGAATAATCATGATAAATTATTTTGATCAAGTGCGAGCGTTTAAAAATTTGATTTTAAACAATTAACTCTCAAGTGTCAACAAAGAAATTTAGCTATTTGATTATTTGCTTCATTCCTTCTCCTATATCCCCAACAAAAGTAATTAATCCGAAGATCTACGGAAACTAAAATAAAAGTGATAGCAAATATTAAAATTTGGAATACGTAATTTTATAACCACCAACACCAAGCCACTGTGGCTGCTGCTTCTACTGCAAATTTAATCGTCTGAACAGCTGCTACCACTACCAGTAAGTTTGCCTTGTGCTAAGTGCAGACCAAAATAACATTTCTATTTTCATATTTATATTGCATAGCAATTAATGTCAAGAGAAAAGTAGTAAAATGCAGTGTCATTCACTTCTGTTAGATTCCTTTTCTTCTACCTCCTGAGCCTTTCTCTTGTGAATCTCAACCTTTCTCCAATCTTCAGTGACTGATAGATTAAAGCTCTTTGGACACAACCCCAGTAAGTTGATGAACTGAATGCGAACACGAACAAGGAAATCAAATCATGAAATGTGAACATGAACTTCCAAAAAATAAAAATGTAAAAAATTGATGTAAATAAAAATGTAAAAAATTGATGTAAGTTCACTTACGTTCGGATCACCAAGAATAGGGGACTTATGCTCACATTTTATCACTAGTCTCCTTAGATTTGGCAATCCCTTGAGGAAGGAGACAATGACTGGAATTTGGTCAACCAATGAATCACCGACCATCAGAGTCAAGCACATTAGATTATCAAAATATAGTATCTCATCGTTTTGCATAAAGAACATCTGCAGCATGTAAAAACGTAATAAATGCTATGAACACAAAAGGAAGAAAGAAAGAAAAAGATGATTCAATGTGCTTGTGTGCTCTATTTGGAATATACATGGCAAGGAAGTACCTGGATGGGCCAAATGTTAATATTCAAGAATTTGGCACGTTGCAAACTTTGAAGAAGCATAGCGACACAATATATTGAACTCTTAACAAGCTTGCAATGACAGGCAAATGTCTTGCTATTGTGCCGACAAGAAGGTTTAATGTCAATTAAGGCACAGTCTAGCGACGGGAACCTCTCCATACAACTAAAATCTACAGGATTTCCTTTCCAAATTAAAGTATGAATATCTGGAGTAAAAAAAGACAATGGGAACTCATACAAATACTCATCAGACGAGTTTATAGTCAACTTCTGAAGCTTTTCAGCCTCCACATTAATTCGTCTTCTAGGGGCAAGGAGCCTTATTTGTTGGGGACGAACTACTTCAGAATCCAAAATAGACAAGTCTTCAAGATATGAACTATTCATTTCAATATTGCAAAACTCTTCAAACTGGCAGTTGCTTATCTTTATTTGCTTAACAGAGTGGCAACAAATGCAGAAGCAGCTGGGTTTATAGAATTTAGACCTACAGACTTGAATATTTTGGAGCGACCCAGAAGCTATCTTGAAATTTGAATGCCTGTCGAAATGCGACCCATGAATTGTGAAATTCTCTAGAGACTCGCAACAAATGATCATAAGACATGGGGCCTCAAAATGGCACCTGGACATACTTAAAACCTTCAAAGATGGACAAAAAATGTTGAACTTCCTATCCACATGCTCCCCATTCCAAACATGGACCCTCTCAATTTTGCAGTTGGAAATTTTCAACTCTTCAAGAGAATGACAAGTTATATTAAGATTACCAACCAAATGAACCCCTTCGAGATTTAATATTTTAAGAGACATCCAATACCCAGAAATCTTTTCTCCAAAATCTGAATCAGAGATTGTTAATGAATATAAAAATAAACCCTCAACTGAGTCCATCATTCTCTTTATCAGATAAAAATTCCCCCTCTGTAAATTCAATCTCAACACCTTCAAAGACTTGCACCCATAAACACAATCAGGCAACGTATAGCATTTCCATCGATCTACATCAAAAAGAACATCTAACTCTTGAACATTACAATTTGTAGCAATTCTGATCCAGGCATCAATAACACTCCCTCCAACATTAAACCTAGGTTGCTGACAAGACCAATGAATAAGAAATCTTTCTAACCCCACATTTAACTGTTCTCTCAATTTCATCACTTTATCCACATAAGTACAAAACTGAGCATACTTTTTCCCACACTCTTTTGTATCAAAATTGGCATAGAAATACAGAAAAGGACTATTAAAACATAATTTTCTAAACCTTCTTGAAACCAAATTAATACGAGCAGTTTCATTAGGCTCAAGGAATTTGAATATACGATAGATGATTAATTCTGGAAGAGCACTGAGTCTATCATATCTACCTAAAGGAGTGAGTGTATCTTGAAAGCTTACTGCCATGGCTTTACGATCAACTCCCATGCCCAGTCAAGGCAGGCAAACAAGAAAAAAGATCAGCACCACTGCCAACTGAAATTGAATCGAAGTTAATAAAATGAAATTGATATATGAATCAAGAATTTGATAAAAACAAAGATTAAAAGGAACTCATTTGTACCTGAAGTGGTGCTGTGGCTGTTCTTGTTGATGAATTGGACTAAATTTGTCTTAGGGTTTTTCGTTGCTGATCATATACGTAGCTTTTGTTACAAATTCAGAAATGGAAACTCGAACGTTTTTGAAGGAATTGGTAGTCTGATTGAATTCTTTCTTATAAGAACTTCTCCTCCGGAAAGAAAAGAGGGAAAAGCCTTTTATTCATTTTTATCACAAACGTGCAGGGGAAGTTAGGTGTTGGGCTTACATGGGTTTGGAGAATAAGGAGCCCAAAATCGTTCCAATCGTCGTCCACTTGAAATGTACCCAATCTATTAGTTAAAATAGTGCTAAAGTTAAGAAACGAGATGTGAAATTTAAATCCAAATAAATTATATTTGTTATGGGGAAAGTAATTTATCTATGGAGAAGTATTTTCTGAGATAATATTTTTATTTTGTTATTAATTATATTATCAAAAATTAATTAAAACTTCTTTTTGATATTTTTAAATACATTAAAAATATTAGTATTACTATTTTAAAATTTCCAAGCCTTCCCTAAAAAAAAAAAAAAAAAAAACATTCCCTTGCCCTAAACAAAATTTTATGGGCTGCAAGTTATTTATGGATTGGTCTAAAAGGCCCGGACCGGCCCAGCCCAAATAAGAGATTAGCATAGCGAGAATCACAGTTGTAGTAGTCATTCACACACAGATAATGGCGACGAACAGCGCAGCCAGCCGAGAAGCCCGCAGAAGAAAGATTCTGGAAAGAGGAGCTGATCGATTAGCTCTCATCACCGGCCGGACCGAAACCCTACCATCGGAATCTCACAATGACTCGAATTCCGATCAATTGCTCCGTCTTCAAGACCCACCACCACAACCGCCACCATCTCAACTCTCCGATCAAATTACTGGTATAACTCCTCTCCCTCTCCCTCTCTTACCTCATATTATTGGATACATTTTTTTTTGATTCAATAGACTTAACTTGGACTAAACTTATGCTGTTGTTACCTGCTTTTGATTTAGCTGTTGTTTGGTTATATTAAGCCATTTGTTTAGTATTAGTCTGTTTCTATTATTTAATCTAAGATTGAATGCCATTTTTTTTAGTGCATTTATGTATACTTGATTTTTATCTGTTGCGGCTATGTATTACATTTTTTGATACCTTGCAAAATTTAGATTTCCTTATGCTACCCAGAGCTCAGTTTATGCCTGTGGTTATTCGCCAGGGAAAGAATGATAACATTTTTGGTAGGATTTCTTGCTGGTTTCCTGTAGCATCTATTTTTTTGCCCATCCAAATAGCTCAATCAAGGATTGTAACAGATAAGAGAAAAGTACTGTTGATGAAAATAAGTTGTGGAAGGTTGAAATTGTCTTCCTTTCAAACATATTCTGGTTTAAAATTTACTCTGGTTTGCTGGGTTTTATGTCCTCCATCACCGTTAGTGGTTTCATATTATAGTTTGTCACAGAATATCCCTCTCCATTTCTGAAGGAAGCTTTGTAATGTAGTGTGTGTATTTTTGAAAGTAAAATCCTCATGGTGATTGGTTGTTAAAAATAAATTTCATCAAAATTTTCTGATTTTCTTTTCCCACGTTTTGTTTTTGCTGTTTTGGGTAGTAGTGCTTGGGGTGGGATCACTCTGTAATTTGATAGAGGAAGAGAGAGAGAGAGAGAGAGATTTCTAATGTCTCTCCTTTTGTTAACGCACAATTCCTTATAATGCATCTGATGGCAACTGAAATTTTATTATTGCTTCTTGCTCATGCTTCTGATGATTTGCAGCTTTTCCTGATGGCGGGGACAGAGGATTCAGCTCTATATTGCCAAGTAATGATCCCATTATTGATGCTGGCAACATAGAACCTCCCTCGCACAGACATGAGAAAACTATGGAAAGCTCTAGAGCTTCAGCTTCAGATGGAGACAGCAATGAGCGATCACTTTTGGCCTTATCAATAGATGAGACGTCGAATATGTCCGCCTCAGGCACTGTGCAAAATTTAGATCCGCAGAGACGCCCAAATAGATTTTTCACTCCAAGTCAAATAAGCTCTGCCATTGCAACTTCAGAGAGATACCGTCTTTTTTGTTCTGTAACTATAGCCCTCTTTGTTGTCTTGTCATATTTAGGATTTCCACTGCTAGGTGGCAACATGATAAAAAGCATTGTAAGTTTTAGGCCTCTTTATCTTGTTTTACTAACTAACCTCACTCTTGTGCTGGCACGGCTTCTTTTCAATAACCAGAGAGGTTTTGAAAGGGTTGGTGGACGAGAATCTACTATTCCTTCGATGAACAAAAATGACTGGGCTGACCAAGCAGGCAGGGTTTTGGAGGTGGGTTTGGTGATTCAGAAGGCCATCGAGGCTGTTTTCATGGATTGCAGTGTATATGTATTAATTGTAACTGCTGGCTTCTCTTTTGTCCGGTGACTTAGTTACTTGACTACTTTGATAGTAGTATTTGTTTGAACATGTATTGTTTCATATTGATACTGTTGATTGTGCCTTGAACAAGACCTTTTTTCGGTGACTCTCTGGTTGCTAAATAAATTTATGATTTTTTCTAGTACATACCCGTGTAGTTCACAAAAATAATTCTGATAATTTTGTTATATGAACGTAAATTCTGCTTTCAATCATCATTAATTTGCAAGTGGCTTTAATCTGATGCATAGAAAAGACTTTGCCATTTGGCAAGTAACCTAGGAGAAACAAATGATTCTTTCCTTTGAAAATGGTATATCTATTTAATGTTTGCAACTACAAAATCATTTGCCGCCAAAAGCTTCTCATCTTTAAACTCTTGGCACCAAAGCTTGTTGACTCTAAACTGTTCGTTAACATACATCCTCTGGCAATATTTCAATTATACGTTCAAGTATGTCCTGATGAAAAGCCAGCAACTCCAGCAACCAGAAAATCTCTTTTGAAAATGGCTTTGAATTATCCCCTGATACAAATTCTTGAACAACATTGTTGATCTCAATTGAACTGCACCCAGGAGTTTTCTTCATGCGCGTACTTCTTATAAGTTTCCGCATCCTCAACACCTCCTCCCACTTGCCAAGATCTGCATATATATTGGAAAGCAAAACATAATTCCCTGCATCATCTGGTTCAAGCTCTTCTAGGTGCTCCATCGCAGTAACAGCAATTTCAATATTACAGTAAGTCCTGCAAGAACTTAATAAAGAACCCCATATCTTTGAATCTGGCTTCATAGGCATCTTCTCTACAATGCCCAGAGCCTGACTAAGGCGTCCTGCACGTCCAAGAAGATCAACCAAACTACCATAATGCTCAATTGTTGGCTCTATATGAAAATCTTTCCTCATGATATCAAAATACATCAACCCCTCCTTCCAGAAACCAGCGTGAGCAAAGGCTGATAAAAGACCAACAAAGGTAATACCATTTGGTTCAATTTTTGCTTCTTTCATTCTTTCAAACATTGCAATTGCTTCACGAGCTTGCCCATGATTTGCTAGCCCCGCAATCATTGTACTCCAAGAAATGACATCTCTTTCACGCATTTGATCAAACAACTGACAAGCTTGGGCAATACAACCACACTTTGTGTACATTTCAATCAGAGCATTGCATATGCAAGTTCTCGATAATAACCCATTTTTATCACAATATATATGTATCCATTTACCAACCTCTAGAGCTCCTAGCTGAGCACACGCTGGCAAGACAGAAACAATACTCGCCTCGTCAGGCTCGATTCCAACAACTTGCATTTGACGAAACATATCTAATGCATCCAAGTAAGACCCAATACGATTATACCCAGAAATCATCGCCGTCCAAGACACTACAGTCCTGTTAGGCATTCCATCAAACATAACTCTGGCCTTTCTCATTTGACCCATTCTAACATGCCCAGAAATAATACCATTCCATGAAATTGCATCTCTTTCATCCATTTCATCAAACACCTTATGCGCATCAAACAAATTATCGCACTTCGTATACATATCAATCAGCGCATTCTCTGTAATAATATGAGACTTTGGCCCAAATTTGAGGAAATGGGCATGGACTTGCTTGCCTAAATTGTGGCACGCAAGCCTTGCACAAGATTTTACTACAAATGGGAAAGTAAATTCATCAGGAGAAATGGCGTTTTCACCTCTTGAGGAATTTTGCCATAGCATTTGCTTATAAACAGCAATCGTAAAGCTATACATAGAATTATGTGCAGATGCTCTTATCATTGCATTGTACAAGTAGGCGTTCGGTTCTTTAACTTCTTTAAACAGCGAGTCTGCATAATCCATATCCTTACTGCTATCACAAACTTCTACCATTTTTGTCACAAGGAAATTACTCTGTGACAAAGAGTACTTGATAATAAGAGCATGGTTTTTCTTCAATTCTTCAGTATTCTTGCAATTCCGCAAAATGGGTAAAAAGAGATTCTCCAGTTCTCTGATTTTCAAGGAACTAATTCCTTTCGCCATTCAGGACGGATTGCAAAGTAGAATTTGGTCTCTGATAAACAATGAACAGGTTTTTGAGTGAGAGGCAGAGACTTGCAGAGCTGTTGCGGTGCTGTTCGAAAAAACTTTTACTTAATCAAGGGCTGCAAGTGCATGGAGCTGTAGTAAAAGAAGGATATGGATTTGATTTGATGTTGAATAATGATCTAATAGATATGTATGGAAAATGTGGTAGAATGGAAACTGCTTGTAATGTGTTTGATAAAATGCTTGAAAGAAATGTGGTTTCCTGGACAGCTCTTATGTGCGGGTACATACAGAATAGCAATGCTAAAGGGTCGTTATTTTTGTTCTCTCAAATGGGATTATCTGATGTAAAACCTAATGAGTTCACTTTCTCGATGAATCTTAAAGCATGTGGATTGTTGAATCTTGCTGATATTGGAATGCAGATTCATGATATTTGCTTGAAGACTGGATTTGACATGGTGATTGTGGTTGGAAATTCTATTGTTGATATGTACTCGAAGTGTGGAAGAATCAACGAAGCTTCTCGCATGTTTTATTTTATGCCGATCAGAAATCTTATAACTTGGAATTCGATGATAGCAGGTTACACTGTTGCAGGGTTTGGTAAGAAAGCTATAATTTTGTTTCAAAAAATGCTAGAATATGGGCAAGCCCCTGACGAGTTCACACTTACAAGCACATTGAAGGCTTGTAGTGGTCTTGGTGCAATTAGAGAAGGATCCCAAATTCATGCTTTCTTGATAACTAGTGGCTTGCGATATTTGATTACGACTAGTGTTGCAGGTGCTCTTATTGATCAATATGTGAAATGTGGGAAGTTGTGTGAAGCTAGGAGAGTGTTTGATCAGGTTGAACAGAAGCATATAATATCATGGAGTGCACTTATTCTTGGTTATGCTCAAGAAGGAAACTTAGCAGAAGCGATGGACTTATTTAGGCAACTTAGAGAGAGCAACATTGAAGCAGATGGGTTTGTTCTGTCAAGTATGATAGGTGTGTTTGCTGATTTTGCACTTATAGAGCAAGGAAGGCAAATGCATGCCTATAGCATTAAAGTCCCCTCTGGCTTAGACATATCAGTATGCAACTCAATTGTAGACATGTATCTCAAGTGTGGAGTGATTAATGAAGCAGAGAGATCTTTTGCTGAGATGTCAACGAGAGATGTGATTTCTTGGACAGTTATGATCACTGGCTATGGGAAGCATGGTCTTGGTAAAGAGGCTATTTCTCTTTTCAACAAAATGAAAATCGATAATATTGAACCTGATGATGTTACTTACCTGGCTGCACTCTTAGCTTGTAGTCATTCTGGACTTGTCAAAGAAGGTCAAGAATACTTTTCTAAGTTGTGTAGTGATTATAAGAACAAAGCTAGAGTAGAGCATTACGCTTGTATGGTTGATCTCCTTGGACGAGCAGGCCGCTTAAGGGAAGCTAAGGATATCATTGACAAGATGCCTCTAAAGCCAAATATAGGTATATGGCAAACCTTGCTCAGTGCTTGCAGAGTTCATGGAGACTTGGAATTAGGGAGAGAAGTCGGTGGCATTCTCTTGAGATTGGATGGTTATAATCCTGTCAACTATGTGATGCTGTCAAATATATATGCCGATGCGGGCAACTGGTATGAGTGTGAGAGAATAAGAGAATTGGTTAAGACAAAGAAGTTGAAGAAAGATGCAGGGCGTAGTTGGGTAGAAATTGACAAGGAGGTTCACTTCTTCTATGGTGGAGATGACACACACCCGCTAATAGAGAAAATTCAGGAAGTGTTAAAAGAAATGGATAGGAAGATGAAAGAAAAGTTGGGTTATGTTTATGGAATGAAATATGCGTTACGTGATGTAGAAGAGGAATCAAAGGAGGAGAGCTTGAGACTGCATAGTGAGAAGTTGGCAATTGGGCTAGCACTGGTTTGTGGTGGCTGGGAAGGAAGCGGGAGGGTTATTCGTGTCTTCAAAAACTTGAGAGTTTGTGGTGATTGTCATGAGTTCATTAAAGGTTTATCAAAGATTCTGAAAGTTGTATTTGTTGTGAGAGATGCTAATAGATTTCATAGGTTTGAGAATGGCCTGTGTTCTTGCGGAGATTATTGGTGATATTTTGCGTCCATTTTTCTAACGATGATTCAAGACAAGACCTTGGCCTCCATTTTTGGAATCGAATTAAATAAAATTTTAAGGAAACTTGACTTTCATTTTCGAGTTCGTACAGTTGATGAATAGAGACTTATTGATTCAATCGAGAGAGACAAAAATATCATAAAAACAATTCCATTAATTTCATGTTTCAATAAGCACAACTGATCTACACAAGCAATCCATGTCTCAGACAACCAACATGATAAACAATGGGTATCCTTTCAGGATGTCATTCTTAGGTAGGATTCTTGAAAAACGGATGATTAAGAGCTTGATGGGCTGTTAATCGTTCAGATGGCTCATATTTCAATAATCCAAGCAGCAGATCTACAAGCGGAGATCTTGAGCTCCCAATGTGACGAGATACCGTATCCTGTATTGACACAAATGATGATCACAGAGAGTTAACATTTGCATCATGATAATCCAAAATAAAAAAAAAAACGCCAAAAACAAAACAGATCCTAAAGCTTAGAAGAAAAATAACCTTAAGACAATCAAGCTTCCTCACAGCCCTGATACTCTCCCTAGAGATCGCTCCTTCGGGCCAATTTAATCTTGACCCTCTTCTGAAATATTTTTCAGCCCCGCGGCTGCACAGAACCAATGCAAAACTTCAGTCTAATATATTTGGAATCTTGAATCAATTGGCAGTTCGACAAACATTAAGCAGCCACAAAGAACAATGAATAGGAAACTGCAACTAAAACCCATCATGAGATCTTTACTCAAGAACTCAATTTATACATTCAATCTCATTGGACAAGTTATCAAGTTTCTCTCAAATTCCTAAAGGAACGTACTTAGCCCTTTGAACCATGTGCTCTGGTAGAGGCCCCAGCACCCTCTCCATCATTGCCAGATGTTCCAAGTTCTCATGTGTCTGGAATAGTGCTTCACCCTGATGCAAAAGTTCCCACAGCTCAATTATCTCTAACAAGAAATTCCAAATCAAAATCAGGTTCATTAAAATATTAATGGCTTGCAGAACAAACCGAGCATAACTCGACGAGTATACAGCCAATGCTCCATAAGTCACATGGATAAGTCCAACCTAGACCTGGAACAAATGGGTAAATGCCCGAGTCAGAAAAAATTATGTGAGCCCAGAATAGCATAATTAACTTGACTTGACGCCAAAGACATAGCAATCAACCATGTAATCTTGAATCTATCCCAAGAGATCACACCGTCAGTTCCAACATTTTACATTTGCTGGAACACCAATTCAGATTCCTTATTCACAAGTTGGCAGTTTTTTATTCACAGGAGACACAATTCAACATACAAAAGCTGGAGGGTTCACATCTCAGATATAGTTCAATTGAAAAGCGAGATGAGAAAACCCGTTCCAAGCAGAATTATTAGTTCCCGTCCTAAAATGGAAAACCTCCAAAAGACAAAAATATAATACGAATTCAAAAGTCAACCCTCCAGAATCTTTAAGCATAATCATACAGGTAGAGTCTGTGATAGTGCTCTTAAAACTGTGCATTGGAACTGCCAAATAGGCATGATACACTTAATGAGTTGCCAGATAAAGACTTCAAAAAAAAAAAAAAAAAAAAAAAAAAAAAAAGGATGAGAAAAAAAAACCCGTTCCAAGCAGATTATTAGTTCCCGTCCTAAATGGAAAAAACCTCCAAAAGACAAAAATATAATACGAATTCAAAAGTTCAACCCTCCAGAATCTTTAAGCATTAATTTACAGGGTAGAGTCTGTTGATAGTGCTTCTTAAAACTGTGCATTGGAACTTGCCAAAATAGGCATGATACACTTAATGAGTGCCAGATAAAGACTTCAAAAAAAAAAAAAAAAAAAAAAAAAAAAAAAGTAAGAGTTGAAACAGGCCATATGAAGTGGCCCAAAACCTTCACAAAAGTAAGGGATTTCATTCTGGTGGCATTCAAACAAATGCTTCCTACGTTCACCTAATATCTAGGCCTTAAAAGAACATCTGTTTTATTTTTTCTATTGTTTCTCAAAACATTCTACCAAAAAAAAAAAAAAAAAAAAAAAAAAAAAAAGCTAAGAGTTGAACAGGCCATATGAAGTGCAAAACCTCACAAAAGTAAGGGATTCATTCTGGTGGCATTCAAACAAATGCTTCCTACGTCACCTAATATCTAGGCCTTAAAGAACATCTGTTTTATTTTTTCTATTGTTTCTCAAAACATTCTACCACCACGACCCTCTACCAATCAACACGCTCTGTGGGCATAACACAAAAGCACAACATGCATAATAGCAAACAATGAGGTAAGCACATTGTCGTTTCTCAACACGGTAACTGGTTACCTAGAATAACCTCAGGGGCTCTGTAATGTCTTGTGGAAACAATGGAGCTATGATTCTGATTATCAAATGTAGTACTACCAAAATCAATCAGCTTAATGGAACTTGACTTTGGCAAGCATCTGAAAAGCGTTTCATCTGAAGAATTCCTCTGTACCATTTCAAGCATTTTTTTTTTAACATTATAACCAGGACTATACTCAAATCTAAACGATAATCTTTTTCAATTATGAAAGGCCAAATACCTTGCAGCCTGGGATCTTTATATATTCAGAAGATACAAGAAGTATATTTTCTGGCTTCAGATCAGTGTGAATTAGGCGTAAATCATGCATATCTGCCAGATATGATAAATCATAAAAATGAAAATGTTATGCAAAAGGGGACAAAAAAAAAAACACAAAAGTAATACTGCCCCTGGGTAAACTACACAAGCCTAGAAACAGAAAGGGGAGATTGATCAGGATAGGTCAGGAAAGTAATAAAACAGGAGGCAAGAAAAATCCACACATGATACAGATTCCAATAGCTGACGTCCAAATTCCCGAACAAGATCCACAGGGAATGGGCAGTATTTATTTCTCTTTAGAAAATCAAATAAACTCGGTCCAAGCTTCTCAAATACCTGGTAACACCATTAAAATGCATTCAGAGGAAGGTTTCTGTTTAGTTCCACTCTGAATGAAGTCAATGTTGACAAATGACATTCAAAAAACAACTGAATAAACACACCTACATTCACCTTAAATTATTTTAATGAATTCATCAGGCAAAACTATAGAATCAATGAAGTTAAAAGGCAAAAAACCATTCCAAGTCATGCAATTGGAGTTCCAGTACTTAACAAGAACAGTCACAGTGAATGAGAAATAATATCAGTTGTTAAGTGACATGGAGATCATTCAGTTCCAATCATTTCTTCAGCATTAAAAGTAAAGCTGAGCACTGAATCCACAACAAATTTCATAAGAAAAGACTTGCAACATAAATTAAATTAAAATAAAGTGACAGTTTAATTGGAATACTTACAATACAAATGTGATTGCGGTAATCAAACCAGTTTCGAATCTGTACACAGCTGCACATGGAAACAACATGCAGGAGGATGAGAAAATGCGGTGGGCAAGTGAAGATATCCACAAGTAACTTTCTATCAGCTGAAACCCAGAATAATATGTACCGTGAGCCACTGGCTTGATCATTCTTAGCAAGATGCTGAAGTATATCAACTTCAATCATGGCTGCATCACGATATTTACGAATACTACGAACTACTTTGATTGCCACATATTCCCGTGTTTGACGATCCCAACATTCCAACACTCGGCCAAAAGTGCCTACAACACTAGCAATTTGCTGAATGGCACAAGCAGAATCAGAAAAATTTAACATCTTGAAGATATCATTAGCACTTGGCTGCTAACCTTCACCCATTTTGCTGATTATTTTATCTGTTACACAGTATTTGATGAATGAAGTTCTTCATCAGAAAGTATAACATAAATAAATATATATAAAAAGCATTGCATTAAACATTAGCCACTAGATAACAACCCAAATAAATAAGTGAATACCCCCAAAATTTTCAAAACTTGATTTCCAAATAAATTTGCATTCTTCATTCAATTATAACAAGCCAAAACTCACTGCCTACCAGCATGGCTGCTCTGACACACAGAGAACAAGTTAAACGACCAAACTTAATCAAAAACTCACATCGTGGAGTTAGGTTCTCTCCAAGATTAAACACGTAATGCCCTTCACGATCATCGTCTCTTCTCGGTGGTGAAGCATGCCTTGAGGTCCCTTCTTCATTTCCAATCACTACCAGTGCCCTTTGCGCCTACAAACATCCATGCCCAGCCAAATCAGATTATTAGCCCGAACTTTTCAGACTCGTGAACTCTATCCCTAAAACTAGCCTGAATTGAAGATCCGGAAACGAACCAACCTCTGGTTCAGATGGCCTCACATCCCAGGCGAGTCGAGGCCGTTTTCTGATTCGCTCCTTCTCCATTGTCTCAACTTCCAGCTCTATCGTACTTAATCCGTCAAAATCCACAAATATGTATCTGCAACACCCAAAATTCTAAAAGACCTTGAACAAAATTAGGGTTTTGTAGAGAGAGGTTGGGAGGTTTCGTTCCTATAAATAGAAACACGAGTGAGCGAATTAAGAAATTTGCAGAGACAAGGAAGGATTGGGAGAAAGAGTTATTGCTATCGCCGGTTAGGGTTCGTTAAATAGCCTGGTACATACTGCGACAATTCAAACTGATACATCTATTCTTTGCACGACCTGTCGTTTGAAGACCAGGAAGTAGCCAGTTGGCAGGTTATAAATGTCCACGTGTAACAATTTCAGTCTTTAAACTTGACTAAAAAATTAAAGCGAGTCCTTATGGCAAATGTTAAGGACAATTATTGTAATTTTAACATTTTTGTAATTTTTATCACAATGTTAAGGACAATTATTTCATTCATACAATTTTGAGTTATCAAACATATGAGACCCATAAAATAATACTAAAAAATATTTTTCAACTTTAAATAAACTTAAATAAGTAAATTGGTAATTAGGAATTATTTTGGTGGCTAAATTTTGAAAATTTTAGAATGTAATCAACTTAGAAATATATTCAATTTCAATCTAACTTGTTTATTCTGCGTGCTAGGCGAATTATATTTAATGTTATGATAATTTTTGACACTCTTATTTTGTACTTACAAATAAAAAAGTTCAGTAACAACTAATATAAATCACCTAAAACTAGTTATATGATTAAAAATACTTAAATTAGAATGGTGTGTCGAGTAGTTAAATCGGGATGATATTGATTTCTTTTTTGTTTTTAATTTTATTGAGGTGCAATGCACTCAAAATAATATTATAAATTACAACCTTCCTTTGACAACCAAAAGATTAAAAAATTATATGATTGAAAAAATTCAATTTTGAGATTTTCATTTCTAACATTACGATAAAATTACGTATTTTTACAGTTATAAATATAAAAAATATTATAATTTAAATCATATGAATATTTGAAATTTTTTTTTGAAACAAAAAACTTTTGGAATACTTATTCAGTAGAAATTTTAAACTTAATATTATAAATCAAGATTGATATTTCTAAGTAAAGCCTGGAACTCTTTTTTTTTTTAAAAAAAAAAAAAAAACATTATTGTTTTTCTAGTGGAGAAATAATTCTCAACCCAAAACACAAATGTCTAACAACATAATTTCGTCATAATGGCTTCATAAATAACCAAAAATGGAATCATCAAAGTTGGGGACCGGCCCACAGCAAAATAAAAAGCCCGCTGTTTTGTCAACCTCTGAAATCTCAACACCATTACAGCGTGCAGACCACGCGACGACCACGAGTCTCTATATAACACTAAAACCTTCCGCCATAGCTGTTTAATAGCTCACTACTGAAAAAAATGCAATCGCTGCAAGAAAAGGCCTCTCAATGGAGCGGAGTTGACACAGCCGATGCTTTCGCCATTGACGAAACCAATTTGTTTCAGAAACTTGGCCTCCAAACCTTCATTAACCTCTCAACCAATTTCTACAACAGGTATATTATTATCATTGTTTGTTGATTTTACTTATTGATTTCGGTTTGAGCTGAATTTGAAGTTTTGAGTTTGTGTTTTTTTTTTAATGAAATTAGGGTTTATGACGACGAAGAAGAGTGGTTTAGGTCCATTTTTGCAAATTCGAAGAAAGAAGAAGCGGTTCAAAATCAGTACGAGTTTTTTACCCAGAGAATGGGAGGTCCTCCTCTTTATTCGCAAAGGAAAGGTTCGTATTGCTTGAATGTTTTTGTAGGGATTAATCAATTTATAGGACTTAAACGACATATGAATCCACGTATGTGTATTTGAGCCGCTTTGTGTTTTTGTGTCGTTCGGCAAATTCAGATTTCTTCACGCTTAAACAAATGATAGAAAATGCAATTTATATCCATTTAACTTGATTCCACTACCTTTCACTATTTGCAGGCCATCCGGCGTTGATCGGACGTCACCGACCATTTCCTGTCACACACCAAGCTGCAGAGAGGTGGTTGCATCATATGCATAAGGCATTGGAAAGCACTCCAGAAATTGACGAGGACTCGAAAATCAAAATGATGAATTTTTTCAGGCAAGAATTTCATCAAATCGACTCAATCAAATGCATTTCTAGAGTAAATCATTCCAGAACGGCTTATCATTCCTTTTGCTCTAAATTGATGATTCTGTTTCTCAGGCACACTGCATTCTTTCTAGTGGCTGGAGATGAGTTGAAGAACCAAAACCAGCAAACTCCACCTTGTAAGCATCAGGCTAGCAGCAAACCAACTTAAAGTTTAAATTCTTATTAAAAAGAATTCCTCATTTGTTGGTGACAGAACAAGAGGATACCCATTGATTCTAAATCTGTTAAAGGTCATACTGCTGTAGAAGCAAAACTTAATCACAATTCTTATATCAATAAATCTTGAAACTAATTTTTAAGTTACAGTTATCTATGTTCTGAAGCAAAAGAATCCCACGAACTACCCGCATTTACTTTCTTTGCCTCCTAGCTATCGAGCCCCAACCCCAACTGGCTACATAACGGGTCGAAATATCTCTCAAGCCCTGAGTATGTCTTCTTTGGCTGTGCAATTATTTATCATATGGGTTTCCAATCTAGTGATTTTGTTGGAAAAATTGTTCAAGATTTTAATTTTAGTTGATTTACGTGTTATGAATACATGCCAAAATAAAATTATATGGTCAAAGTTGATTTATCATTGTGATCTAATATATATGCAGTGAAGGAATATGGTTATTCCTACACTTTTTACTTTCTGAATTGCAAATGTATTGTGAGAACTTGCAAATTTGTGAATGGATTTTGTGTATGTTTTCATCTGAATGTGTTGTTGGCTTCGATGTAAGAACTTGCATTCCAACTACTTTGAACAAGTATTTGAATTCTGAACAACAAATGAAAGAGACGGTGTATGAGTTTTTGAGTTTCCAGGTTTTTCAGGTTTAAAAGGTTATTATGCACTTTTTCCTATTTATTAGTGATTTTGCGTTTTACGTTTTGGATTAAGGGTGGTGATGCAGAAAGTGATTTTGATGGGGTGGTGGTGATGGCAGCTTGGTTATAACGGTAAATTGTGAATCGGTTGCAAGAAAGGGAGGAGAGAAATGTGAGGAAAAAGTGAAATCCAACTTCGTTGTGTTCGGAACTTCTTTTTTTTTTAAACAAAAAAATTTATTTTTTTAAAATTCATGTTGATTGTGTGCTCTTCGTGCAATTATTTCGGTTCAAAATTTCACCCAACTTGGTGCGCCTTGCGGAGATTGATCTATTTATTGTATTTGTCTTTTGTTTTGAAAATACTTTTATTTATAATTTTATAACTCTAGACTAAATGAATAATAAAAATAAATTTAAATTAAACTTGTTTAAATTTTTTAATTTTTAAAATTTTAAATTATTTTTATACATTATAATTATTTTTACAAAAATAAAAGGGTAAGAGTTAATTACTATTTAATTTTTAGAAACTCAATATATTTTATCCAATTATAATTTGATGCCGTTGCAACTATAAATTTTCAAATTAATTTATAAAATTCTGTGATTATTACGTAAGTTGATAATGTAAGTTTTAGTTAGGTATTTTACGTGATCTTATAAAAAAAAGAAAAAAGAATTTAAAATTTAAAATTCAAAATTTGAAATATATATATAGATAATTATTATAAATAAATATTAAGTTAGTTAGTATTTTACGTGATCTTATAAAAAAAAGAAAAAAGAATTTAAAATTAAAATTTCAAAATTTGAAAATAATATATAGATAATTATTATAAATAATATTTTAATTTAAAATCTAATTATTAAGATATAAAATTTTAAAATTTTAAATGATAAATATTATTTAATATAAATATTAAATTTATTTTTAATTTATTGATGTTATCTAATAATAATAATAATATAACATCAAATAAATAAATAAAGATTTGAAGAGCACGGATCAAAAAATCTTTAAACAATTGAAAAGCAAAATAATTCCAACAAACAATAAAAAAAAAAAAAAAAAAAGAAAACCATGGAAGAGGATCATTTAAAATTAAGAGATTATATATAGATATATGTATTAGATATAGATAAGAAAAAAAATATTTTAAAATTTATAAATTCAACAATTTCAAAAAGTTTTTAAAGTTTAATTATTCAAACTTTTAGATATTATATATATATGTTGGCTCAAGGGTCAATTTTATCTTTGAGATTTTGATGATTATACAAAAACAAATAAATTTAATATTTCTTGTATGGTGTAAATTATTTTATTGCAGAAATTATTTTGAAAATTATTGAAGAAATGAAGTTCCTACATTCCCAAGATTTTTTATTTGAAGACCATGAAGATTAATGAGATATTTTCTATTGGTTAGTATTATATAAGTTTTTCTATTGGTTAGTATTATAATAAGTCTTAGGAAATTATTGTAGGATAGAGAGTAAATAATTTTATAAGCACAAATCTATTTTATCTCTCTCTCAAATTTGTTTTGAAATGTTTTTGACTAAATTTATTAAAAGGATATAGCCAAAATCTTTACTCTTCATGTTGTCCCATCTAAAATATCTTTGGAGTAAATATTCTTGGTAGCTATTAAATGAAATTCTGCAAAAAGTATTTTCTGATTTAATACAGCTGTTGTTTCTGATACAGCTGGCTGTTTCTGATATAAATGTTACACTGCTTTCTTTTCTAAACTGAACCTTTCACCTTCAAACCTTGCATGTGTGAATATTAAATGTGGTCAAACAACCCTTTTAATTGCAACTCATGCATTGCCTCGTTAGTTTAAAATCATCAGAAACTTTATTGCTCATTAATAATCTCAACGTTAATTTCAAAGAGATTATCATCTTTTCATATAAAAACTCTTTCCTTGTAACACCCCTTCCTGGTCCACCCATAAACCCAAATAAATCGAGTCGAGACGTTACAAACTGGTTGACTGTATGGTCTGACATGCTGAAGTCATAATGTATATTGAATATAATAGCATGCTGATACTGTTTATTAAGAGAAAAAGAAAATTTATTAACAACATTTTCTGAAGGGAACAGTTTCGATCTTTAAATCTGTTTTTTCTAAATTCGTTTTTTCTGTTCTTCCTTGTGCTTATATTTTGCATTCTCTCTGTCTATATTGTTCTGTATCTGTTGTAGACAGGCTCTTTATTTGAAAAACTTTTGTGTAATAGCTTAGGTGAAAAGCTATTAGCTTAGGTGAAAAGCTATTGTGAAATAGGTTATCAAGCGACCTTCTCCTTGTGTGGGATTCTAATGTCTTGATTTGAGTTTCTGTTCTCAACAAAAATAAAAAGGGTTGAGGTTGACTAGAACCTTTTGGAAAATCTAGTGGGACAAAGGGTAGATCTAGGAGTGTTGATCTATTTCCTTATATTGTTGGTTTGTCTCTTACCCTTGAAAAGAGATAACATAGTGAAGGATCTCAAGATGAGTCTTGAGGAGTGGATGTAGATGAGTTAGTTCCGAACCACTGTAAATCTCTGTGTTTATCTTCTTTTATTTTTTGAAGTTCTGCTTAATTATATTCTATTTTGACAACTGTTAATCTATTCAAAAATGCAAAGTTGTTAATGAGTTTCTAATTCTAAACGTGAATTAATGAGTTTCTGATTCTAATCGTGAATAAGCTTTATCTCTGTGAAACATTAGAACTCTGGATTTCTGTATTGTGATTTTACCAAGTTCTAACCTGTCCTTCTATATTCAGTGTAATTCACAATTTGAATTATAATCATTTTTCTAATCTTGCTTAAAGCATTGTGAACCAGTTCTAAAATGCAATAACTGTTGTTTATAGAGTCTTTCTAAAATTGCTTAAGCTCTGTGAAGCTCTTCTAATCGCAATAGCTGTTCTTCACAAAGTCTTTCTAAAATAGCAATAAACTTTGTGAAGCTGTTCTAATCGCAATAGCTGTTCTTCATAGAGTCTTTCTTTTCTAATCTTGTTAATAAGCTTTTGTGAGGAAGTTTCTAAACTTGGATAACTACTCTCACAAATGCTTTTCTAATTTCCGCTGCAATAGAATTTCTGTTTTTTTGTTTTTTAAAGGTTTAAAATTTTTAGAAAAAAACCCAATTTCACCCCCTCTTGGGTTGTGCCATACATAAATGGGACCCACAATATTATATTATATATATAATATATATATATATTATTAATTTAAAAGTTTTAAAAGTTTTAAAATTTTAAATTCAACAATAAAAAAAGTTTTAAATTTTTAATTATTCAAATTTTTATATTTATGACAAGTCAGCTTTTTTAAATTTTTTTTTTCAAGATTATATATATATATATTGATTAGTGTTTTTAGTTAAAATTTTCGCTTTAAATTTATTTAATAAATTAAATTAGCTAAATTATTAGCAATCAATTTATAATTGATGATTGCTCTTAATGATTTAGGCAAGTATTTAAAAAATTAATTAAGCTTTACTCTTCGTTGCAAAACAGATATACTGTAATCCCATAACCATGAATGATGATATATTATATTATATTATATATATATATATATATTATCTTTAATAATTATTGAGCCAATTATTTATCCTAAACCTATATATATCTTTAATAATATTGAGCCATTATTTATCTAAACCTTTGTTTAATTTATTAGAGTAAAGGGAAATTGAAGACACTAACAGTAAAAAATATATTTAATAATAATGTAATACCTGAAAATCTCAAATCCTCATCTAAAAACTGAAGTAAAAGTAAATAAAAATTAAAGTATAAAAGAAAATAATGTTGGATTCTTCCTTCTTAACAAGAACCACAATTACCTTACCATACTAAGTACATTGAAGAGCAGAGCCCAATATAAATTTAAAGCCCATCAAAGAGCATAGTTGACTTATCTTTAATTTTATAAAATAAAAAGAAAAGAATTGCAGCATGGCTTACCTAATGGTAGAACATCAAGAAAACAAATGGCAACTCTGCAGGATTCTATTTGCTTTCATCATATTGTTCTCCACATGAGAATAATAAAAAGACTGCAGCTCAAAGATTCCTTTACCACCATTTTCATCTACTTGTGCACAAAGTAATATTACCTTCTGTATCAAAAATATTTTTGTATTATGGCCTCTGTATTAATTAATTAATTAATTAAAATCATAAACTAATTAACTTCAAGAACTCTCATAATCAAATAGAAGATGGTAGACACATTAAAATAAATTAAATTTATGAACCAAAGAAACAATTCTTTGACTCGTATCCATTGACATTCCGTGTAGGAAACCACTGCATACGTAAATTGCATTTATTTGTCAATTAATGTTCTAAAATCTTCATTTGATTACAATCATTAACTTAAGATTATCATGTTTGATCAAAGCAAAAGAACTCAAAATCAATCAGGGGAAACAAAAACCGAAGATCAAAACCATGAAAATAACAGAAATAAGAGAAATCAATTTCTGGGTAATTAATTAATTAATTAATTAATCTAACGTACTCAGAATAATTTTATGTTTGATCAAAAGAAACAAAAACGAGAACCGCACACCAAAGATCAAACCAGGAATAAAGAATAAAAGAAATGATCAGAAACCAAAACACCATCTTCTTTGTAGATAATATGAACATTATAATTAAGGTTAAGACATACTTTTTGTTCATATTTCAAACTCCTCTAACGCATCTAACACTAGAATTCTTTTTCAATGATACTACTAATCTTGAAGGATCTGCAAATCTAGCAGAGAAAGAACGAGGAAGATTATCAGGCTCGGCCCATCCATTTCCATGATCAAAATTCTGATAATACTCTTCTGGATCATAAGAAGCTGCATTAAAAACTTCCTTCTTCTGATCTTGTCTATTATAGATTTTTCTCCAAAACTTAAGAAAATGCCACTTGGGTTTTCTTGCTTCTTCAATAATATTCTTTTGATTACCAACTTGTACTTGCACGCTGTTGCTTCTACCCAGTTGAATGGTCTCTCTGTATGAGGAGTTTCTCCACTTCTTGAGACTCATTGCCATAGAACAGAAGAGAGATATTACAGCTAACTTATTGAGTTCATCTAGAGACTAAATGGAGGTGAAAGGCTTTCTTTATATACTGAACAATGTCATTTGACTTGGTGATGTTTACAGCAGATAAATTTTATTATTTTTGCATTCTTTAAGACTTAAATGTGAAATTGATAGTTCGGCTCGCTGGCTGGCTGGCTGGCTTGCCATCTTTGTTTGTGTATAAATTGCTATATTAAACACGGTTTAATTAGGTAGTTAAGCTGAACCGGTTTGCTGTGCAATCTGACGGTTTAGTTGCAAACCGATAAAACTGAACATAATAAGTAAGAATTAATGAGAGATATTAAAAATAAAATAAAATTTAATAAGAGTATAGTAGATAATTTAATGATTAACTATAATGAAAAAAAAAATGAAAATGGACTATAATTTGGGATAATATAAATAAAATGAATTATCTTTTTTAGACGGAATGAGTATTTTTTAAATCAAATTGAAATCAAGTTATAAACGTTATAAAACTAAATAAATTTGATTTTAGTATTTAGTTTGATTTCTTTAACTTGGCTTTTATAATCATACTTTAAATCGATCTTTAAATTTTATAAAATTTATTAAACGAACCCCATTGATTAATCAAATAACCAAATTGAAAAATCAAAGTAGATGGATTTGGTTTCTTTTTGAATTTTAAAGGATGTAAGTTGACTCCTAAAGCTGGCAGCTATTACTTTTTTTTTTTTTTTTTTGATTGGTTTCTTTTTGAATTTTTAAAGGATGTAGTTGACTCCTAAAGCTGGCAGCTATTACTTTTTTTTTTTTTTTTTTTTTTTTTTTTTTTTTTTTTCTAATTATGTAATAATTATTATTGGATTCATTAAGAAAAATAGAAAAGGTTTTCAAAAGTAGTGATTGAACTAAGTGGCAAAGCCACCATAAGTCAAGAAGGTAAGTTTTCATCAAGTTGGCAAGGAAAGTAGAATTGTAAAACAAAAGAATGAAACTCTTATTCAAATACTATAGGTTAAAATCTTGCTACATAGAATATAAGTATACATTAACATTAAGCTGGATCGGTTGAAATGGACTGTAGTCGCCTGGTCTAATATATTTGCAAAATGATTACATAATCAAATTGATTATCTCAATTAATAAATATTTTCACTTTCAATTTTATTATTAAAATTTAATTTTTAAATCAACGGAATTGATCTAAGTGAAAAAAACCAAATCTCTTAAATGAAAAATTGAGTATTCAATCATTGTATACGAACAAAATCACTATTGTTAGCTCCTCCCTTCGTAAAATATTAATGCAATTATAGTATTATGGAGTATATGTTCGGCTAATCCGGACTGGCTGCAGGCTTAGTGCTATTGCTATAGTCTATACTCTATAGAAACAGAAGTAGGAGGAGCTTTTGGGCCTACTAGAAGAACCCATTTTAGCAAATTTTAAATTTTAATAGTAATAATAATTTAATGTCAAAGCAAGACCGCCGGAAAAGTCTATTTTTGCGAGCGGCCGTGTACCTAAAAAGTCTACATTTATACGTTGGTAAATATTATATATATATAATTACATCATTTTATAAAAAACATATCATGTCTATATTCTTTAATCTGTCTTTATAAAATTACCATAAATTTATGAAAAACGTATCATGCCTATGTTCCTTAGTCTGTGAAAAAATGCACGTTGTTTATTCCTTTTTAACCAGTAATAATAATAAAAAAGCATAGAATTAAACATATTTGTCCCAAGGACTTTGACTGCCATAACAAAATACGTTAGTTTATATACAACTACCGTATTCCAACAAATTCAAGAGACAAGTTCATAAATAGAAAGGTCAAAAATAAAAACCTTGACCTCCTCTACTATTAAATTTATATTCTTTTGGCGAATTGTGTTTATAATAATCTTTTGGTGCGACGTGTGTTTGTAATGTTCAAAATTGCTATTTAATTATCTATTTATACTATATATCTATACTGTACTATGTGTATTTATTTTTAATGAATATATATGATAATGAGATATTTGAAAATTTTTTATGTTTTATTTATTAAATATTTAATTCTTTTAAGATATAGACAAAAAAAAAAGAAAATATATATTTTTTATTAATATTATTATAGAACAAAAAAAAAAAGAAAATATATATTTTTTATTAATAATTCTTTTTTTTATGTTTTGGTATGATCATGATTAGACTATATTTCTTTAAAAAATAAATTTTTAAATAGAATATATATAAATATTTTATTTAGGGAGAGGAAGAATATATATAATATTTTATTTAGGAGAGAGATAAAAAAGAAGAAAAAATATATTATTTTTATTAATATTTTTGTCTTTATGTTTGGCATATTTGATTGGATTAAAAAGCAAGTTTTCAAATAGAATTTACGTAATTAAACATGAGATGATAAACAATTGAAATTTTAATTTAAAAAAATATATATTTTGTTGATATATTTATATATTTGTATACATTGAAACATTTTTTTAGGTGAGTTTTGAAAGAGTTTTATTCTTAATAATAATTTTTTATTTTCTTTTTTGTTACTAATAATTTATAACTACTATCATTTTAATTTAATAAAAAATTTATATCTCCCTTACAATAAATAAATAGCCTATTGATGGTTAAGGTTAAGCATTTTTTTTTATTTTTTTGATATTTTTTTCTCATATATCCTAAATCTATTTGACTTAAAAGAAAATAGTATTAAAAAATTGAAAAAAAATTATAATTATATATTTATGTTTGGGTCATTTTTTGGGTTTTAAGAAATTGTATGTATGTATATATATTCATTTCTCTGATACACTAGGTAAGTAATACTGCCATTATGGTCAAAGTGATTTTCATTATTAATTCAGATTATCTTTTCATTTATTTTCTTTGATCAGCAATAAAAATATTTTATTATTATTTTTTTTCATTAGAGTTGTATATAAATATTGATTTAGGGTTGGAGCAGCAAGTTAGAAATTGGATGATAACTTGATTTTCTTTTTGAGTACCTATTAAGGTTTTAAAAATCTGCATTTATAAATTATGGACTAAAGAATTGGATTGAATTTCATTCTAAGATCACTTCATTATATAAAAATAGAATTAAATACATAATAAGTAACATTATAAGTAATTTATACGGCAAAGTATAACAAAAATTAACATAACAAAAATTAACTATTTGTATTTATTTAATTAAACAAAACTTATGATATATATATATAGATAAAACTGAATATATACACGAGCATGGTCATGTGCAATGCACGTCGTTACAAAAAAAACTAGTCATATATTTAAAAAATTCAACTAATCAGAATTTTGATTAGCTAGAATGTTAGTTTTTAAAGAGAAATTTAAGAAGATCAATGCATTTCTTACAGACAGCTCAAACTTCAATCAGTAACATGTCCTAAAGAATTGAAAAGACAATACTGGAATTTAAGATCACTTCATTATATAAAAATAGAATTAAATACATAATAAGTAACATTATAAGTAATTTATACGGCAAAGTATAACAAAAATTAACTATTTGTATTTATTTTAATTTAAACAAAACTTATGATATATATATATAGATAAAAACTGAATATATAACGAGCATGGTCATGTGCAATGCACGTCGTACAAAAAACTAGTCATATTTAAAAATCAACTAATCAGAATTTTGATTAAGCTAGAATGTTAGTTTTTAGAGAAATTTAAGAAGATCAATGCAGTCTTACAAGACAGCTCCAAAATCAATCGTAACATGTCCTAAAGAATGAAAAGAATCAAATACTTGGGAATGAAAAGAATCAAATACACATGGATAGATAGATAGAGAAGACCTGCAGGAATCAGTTTAGATTGAAGAACAAGAGAATGGAAAGAACAGAACCTGCTTGACGCACCATGTAACCTTCCAATTCAGCACCATAATAAAATAATTAGATTAAACTACCTAGTTACCCTTCTCCAGGACTAGTACATATAAAGCCTACATACATATATATGCATGGTGGGGGCAGTATTGGAACATAAAAGCAAAACTTTTTCAACATAAGAAGATACAAAGATGGCCAGCATTCTAGAAGAACATATTGTTTCATACAAAAGGTAGAGCTGACTATAGCTTAACATAAAAGGATTAATTTACTAGCTGGATAGAAGTGTACATTGTTATGGTGGACAACGAGTTGAATTCTGCAACTGAGTGAGGGCCCTCAATTTCTCATAAGCATCTGAGCAGGCGTGAGCATAGTCTGACATAGCTCGGAATAGCTCAGGGAGGCGAATCTTGAGACTTCCAAGTGACTTCTCTCTCACCTGAACGCAATGTCTTTGGTGAGCTTCTATTTCTTCTTCCAACCTCTTCTTCAAGCTCTCAACCGCAGATTGCCTCTCGTAAACAGGATCTTTGGCATTTGCATCTTCACCTCTTTCAGCATCGATTTCATCAGTTGGGGTCCTTCGCTGCATGTGCTTTTGATACCATTCGTCGAATGCCTGACTCCTGCGAAGAAATTCCTTTCTTGTTTCCTCACATTTCTCCTTTAGCTTCATCTCTTCTTCCTGATGTAGTTCAATGGTTTTTATGACAGCTGCAAAAGATGAGATAGCAGATTTCGCCACTTCATCCGGAAGCTTTTCTAGATAGTCATGCCATGTATGGAGGAGGGGTTGAATAGGGGGATTTGGCACTTTTGGAGGAGATGATATTTTCTCTTTCAAGCTGCTTTCAATTGGGATTAGATTTAACTTTAACCAGCTATTAAGAATTTGAATGTATTGTTTTTGATATGTCACAAGCTTTTCAAAGTGTGAATGCCACTCTTGCACTACATTATGAAGTTGTTTGGTGCGATCATGGTGTTGTCTGGTGGTTTCCTTTGCAGAATGGCTAACATCAAGGGACTTAAGGTCTGTAACAATTTTCAGCTGGCTGTCATGATGCGCGCACATACTTGCCCACATTTTGGCCATCCTGCACAGGTAGAATAAGAGAATCATGTGACTTTCCGTATTTGGCCTCACTTAAATGATAACAGAATTATAAAGACATTCTAATGACCAAAAAATCATTGTACTGGGGAAAAAGGTTTTTTCAGAGGCATCACCACATCAGCAATATAATCTGAGGGGAGATGAAATGTATGCATACCACTTCATAAACAGGCTTCAGATATTTTGCGTAAAAAAAAACATGCGGTGTAAATCGTATGTAGTTCACAATTTTGACATTTTATATTGCAGAAACTTGGCACTAAACAAATTTGACCCCATACTTAAAGATTTTCCTCAAAAAGAAAAAACTCCTAAAAGTTAAAATGGAAAACATTAATGGTTCATAAACCTTTCTGTGAAACTTTCCTCCCAATTCATATGAATTTATGGCAATGCAAATATGAAATTAAAACTGCTGTTTCAAATAGGTACTAAACTCCACAAGATATATCAGGTTTTGTCTAGCTCTGGGATTCCTAATTCAGCACAAAGAGGTGAGAATACAGACACATGACATTTACATTACACTGGCATATTTGTGGTCAAGCACGTGGTATCATGAATAGACACATGATTTTGTTCCTCAACTCAACTCACATAAAATAAAATAAAAAGATATTCATGTTCGACATAGGCATGTCCACATATGAATTCATGAACAATCAACATATTATAACAAAAAAGCCGGGATTTAAAAAAAGAAAAAAGAGAAAACTCTGATTTCTTAATAGCTTTTTAACGAGAACATACCCTTCGACAAGATCAACGAGTTTTGGATACAGTTGCTTGTCTCGTATATCATTGACTTCTGAAACAGTTGAATCCATGGACTGCATGTCAACTATATATCTCGTATGCAGATGACTTACAGCAGCTTTTGTTTTTTCTAAGGATTCAGCACTGGCTCCACGCTTCTTCTGCTTATTTAGCAGAGACACTTTTTTCCTGTATTCGAGCTTCATAAGCTCACCTTGCTATTCAATATGAAGCAAAATAAAAAAAGATTAAATACATGGTCATTGGTCATACTACCTTCAAATAATACACAAAAAGAACCAAATTAGCACCATTCTACAAGAATGCATTAGCCACCTATAAATCAAATTTTTGAACCAAAGTTTCAATCATATTGTGCAAAGAAGCTTAAGATTCTAAGATTCTCAGAGAAGGTAAAACCCTAAATTCTATAGATAAAAAAAACAGTCGGCTTTGTTAACACAATGGTAACTAAATGTACCTTTACTTCGTCGTAGAGTTTCTTCTCCCATGCTAACAACTTATCCAAAACAGTGGCATGAGTCTCATAATCTTCAGAATCAAGTTCATCCTTGCCACCTTCACCATTGGGTACACCTTTGAACGACCGATTCCATGTGATGACACGCATGACTCTAGCAGAATGATCAACATATCCTACAATTGTTAAGATTCTATTATTAGCAAAAGACAAGATTAATTTGAAGTTAAATGAAAAATGAAAGGAAAACTCTTAACAGAATCATTGCTCTGTAAGATGAATGATAGGCAACCTTTCCAGTTCCTGACATTAAATTGGAAAATTATAAAATTTCTGTCTCGTGCATAAGGGGCCATTTCATTCCTAAACAAAAGAACTTTCTTTTGCTTTTGAAAAGGGGAAAAGTAAGAGATCTGAGGTTCTCCACAAAAAAGTAGGTGCAAAAAACCGTAATAAAAGCCCAGCTGATGTAAAAAAGTAGATGCCTCCATTTGGAATAACGTGTCCATACATTTTACAGCACTCAAATAAAAAGCTCAAATACTTTCAACTTCAATTTTTCTGCATACTGACATATAAACCCATTTTCTAATCTCCACAGACCATTAAGAATCGACTGCAAGTATGCAACACACTGTTAAAAAACACAAACTTTCAAAAGAAAAATGCACTAACATGGATCCTTCAAATTCGAGTTAAACAAAACTATCAAACTTCAGCCACTTATAACTAAATCCAAGTAGAAATTCACCCTTTTTTTGGTAAAAAGGGAAGGCAAAGCCTAAAAACAACTACATTATACATCGACTCAGTCTAGGTTATGATTTATGAAACCCCACAAATTCCCAATAAAAAAAAAAAATCCTGACTTCTCTTTTTCTGAGAAATTAAAAATTCAAACTTGTTCTGATACCTCTATTGTCCGCAAAATTAGAGTGGTAATGCAAGCGAGTGGCTTCAAGCATCTTTGAAACCTCCTGTGCACTTTCAGATGCCTTGAGAAAATGGTCATCAATTTCACCCAAAACCTGCATTAAATTCACACTTGGAACTGGAGCCACCTTCTTCCCCATCATCCTAAAATCAGGAGGTACTGTCTTTGCATGCTCGATCTGCCTCTCCTTCGTAGTCTCCTTTTCCCCTTCCTCCTCCACAGCGGTTGGCTCAGATAAGTGTTCCGTTGCTTTCTCTGGCGTCTTTGGCTCAACCCCGTCGATTTCACCACCACCTGAATTCTCTGTTTCACTAAACCGAACGCCCAAATTTTCGACATTGTCAAAACCGGTGTCGGTTGCATTCGTTGCAACTTCCTCAGGTTCTAAAGATGGCCCTTGCATATGATCAATCATAAAGAAGTAATCCCAAGCCATGTTCTTAGCCTCCGGCATAGGCGGCACCGAATGATTTTCCGGCGTCCTTGACGGGGACAGCTGCGTTTCCTCCGGTCCCACTTTTCCATTAGGTGGGCCCCGCGACACGCTTAAATCTTTGTTTTTAGTATTTTTATTATTATTAGCATTCCCACTTCGAGGTCTGTGATTCAACTCATGTTCTTCTTCCTCCTCGTCTTCCTCCGCAATGGCAATGGAATCGATTTCATTCCCTGGCTTTCTATGCTCCTTCATGGGGATCTCAGGCATGGTCATCGAGCGCTTGATGGGACTGGGAGAGAAAGGCAGAGGAGGAGGAGGCTGAAGGTTCTCCATGGACGGCGGCGGAGGAGGAGGAGGCGGCGGGGGTTGCGAAATGGGTTCAAGAGGAGGTTGCTGGAAATGGGGCTCAGGAACTTCACCATGGGCATAATCGCTCAGAGCAGCACCCGTGTTCTTGAGAGAGATGGTGAAACCAGAATGACCAGCTGCTAAGGCGTTTCGAGCAACCACCGCCTCCTTCATAAGCATTTTCCGCTCCTTGCACCTCGCCACTGATTCTTCATTGTCTACTTTAGACTGAGCACAACCCATTCTCTTTTCTTTCAAGCAATTTTTCAATGTTCAAAGCCTGGTTTCCACAAAAACGGCGTGAAGAGCTTTGTGACGGTTGGTTTGGTGGGTTGGGTTTGGTTAATTGGTTTGGTTTGGTAGACTTAACCTACAGAGTGAGACAGAAAGGGGGGAGAGAGAAAAAGCTTAATTAGTAATATCTGATTACTTTCTTCTTTTTAAGGAGAAAATGAGGGCTTTGGAGTGGAGAAGGTGATAATGGTGGAGTGCATGTTGGAGAGAGAGAAAGAGAGGTGGGAAAGATAGAGCCAAGCTAGTACAGAGGTGTGTCTGCAGTGTGCACAGAGCAGCGGGGCATGCTTTTGTTGTACTCGCTGAGAGTATGGATTACAGCATACTCCCTAGGTTTGGATTCCTAGGTGTCCTAGTAGTGCAATTTTAAATTAACGGTCACATTTTTTGAGGCAAAACAACGTCGTTTTCTGCGGAGAATTATCAACAACACACTAATGTTGTCGGGCCCATTCATAGATAGTATTCACTCATGTTCTTTTTGAATTTTTTTATCGCCGCTCTGTACAATTCTGCTGCGCTCTCTAACAAAGTGCAGTAAAAACTAAAATTACAAAACTTAATTCTCCAATTTCAATTAGCTTACTACACCGTCTATATTTTTACCCGTTGTCTTTTTAAAAGTATTTTATTCAAAATTCTAGTATTAACATCACTCCTTTTACAATTAAAAAAATCACCTCAATTCAATTAATTAAAATAAAATTTAATTCAAATATTTTTTTTAAATGTTGAAATAAAATAATTAAAGCTATTTTGATACTTAAAGTGTCATCAAAATGCAATTAAAAAAAGTCAAAAATTTGTCAAATTTAATACAATAGAAGAGATAATTTTCAAAGTTTAACCTTATAACTACTAAATACAACGATTATAGAGAATTATTGAAATCATAATAATTAAGTGAAATAAAACATAATTTAATTAAATTAATGTATTTTATTTACTATTTAAATTAATTATGGGACTCAACAATTGAAAAAGATTGTTGCATACTGGTCCAGTAATTTTCAATTTTGCTTAATTTAGGAAATTGCTATATCCAGTTAACATTCAAAATCCAAGTTCAATGGTGACAGCGAAAGCCTAAACAGACCAACTAACAAGACCTAAACATCAAACTTTCGGCCGAAAAGGAGCGAATTTTTTTGCTTCAGAACAAACAAGAACGAATTTTATATTGTCTGCTAGTAGGAACAACATCTCTTGGCCCATACCTGCGTACACCTTTTTAATGACCCAGCATCTCCAAATGAAGAAGCAAAGGTCCATGCTTTGGCTCCTGCTTCAGAATGGCATTTAAGATCTAGACAGCTGTCGACCTCAGAAATTTAAGACATGACAAAATTCCACCCTGATGAATATACTTGAACCAGAAAGATATTCTACATTTATATTATTTATAAGGCAACATCAAGGTGGGAGTGCCCTAAAACTAATCCGTTGAGGCCTTTTCATCAGGAAGAGTTTCCTTGGTTATCCCATAGAAGGAACTCCAGCCTCAGGTACGTTAGCATTCTTCCTATTTCGGCAAGAAGAAGCGCATTTCAGGAATCATTACCGTTGTTGAATGCCAAAATCGAACCATCACAGGCTTCCATTTACGTATTTGTGTTCTTTGGCCAATCTGAAACCATTTCCTGCCATTATTTACAGAGACATGGCTATAAGTTATGTGAGAGAGTAGAACGGTGAGGAGACAATACAAAAAAAAAAAACAGCTGTCCAACTATGCATTAGCAAATAAATGCATCAACTAAATCAGGCATAATACAGTTTCGAGTAATATATGAAGCTCAAGACTCTCAAACAAGGCTAAGGATCCTAGGCATGTTTATTGAATTGGGGGGGAAAACATCATCTTGATCATGTTCATCATAGACCATTTTAAAATGATTTTTGAAGAAAATTTTGGAAAGCAATTAAAAACAAACCAGTCAATTTAAGAGATTAATCAGAGAGCATAGATAGATAAAAACAGAGCTCATGAAAAATTAAAAAGGAAATGGGTCAGGATAATTGCCCATAAGGACAACAGGAACTGTAAATAAGAAAGGAAACTAAAATAATCAGCATGCTTTAAATGCATAATTGGAAAGGATAATGCTTTTGTTCTGTAAGTACTTACCAAGAGCAAACAAATAAACTTCAGTTCATTTGGACTTCAAAGTAGCCTTAAGTTTTCTCAACTCCTGCCCTTGTTGCTAAAAGCATCAACAAACCCAATTCAGCATTAAAGTCATTTTGGTTGCAACAACTATATTAAGGTCATTTTTGGTTGCAACAACTATATTTTTGGTTTGAAATTGAGAATGGAATGCGATTCCTGGAATAGGATTCTACTTTTTTGTTTCAGTCACAAGTAATCCAATAATTTCTTATATTTTTATATATAAGGAACTTCAAAATATATTATAAAGATATCTATTATAAATAATTGCTCATAACCAACAAATCTAATTTGGTGATTTAGAAAAAATTTGAATAGATATCCATTCCATTTCCAAGGTGAAACCAAAGTTAACCTAAGAGATCACTAGACCACAAGAAATAAAACAATTAGTCAGACCTTGTACAATTGTTTCCACTCTAGCTGTGTTCTTTCTTGTAATAAGCACCAATCCATGGCCATATCATACTCAATTGTGTTGGGCTGAGAACAATGAGAAGTAGATACAGCTTCTTTCTGCACAGGAAAGCAACAAAATGTCGCATTAATAACAGAATAGAAATATACGTGTCCAAATAAGCATAGTGTTTTATAACACTACTATCACGAACCCACATTAGAGAGAATGTGCAAGGCAAGAAGAAATACTACCCCAGGGCCCCCAAGCTTCAACTTTTGAGCCACGCTATTTTTGATTCATTTTCATAGGTGTTACAATAGCTAACAAGAAACATTAGGCCATAGTTGCAATAGCCAGAAACAAAACTAACCTGGATAGGAATACAAATCTCCGAAGCCACTCATGAGCTATTCAAAGCTTATGTCAATAATTTCTTGATCTAGTTTGTTCATTAAATCAATGCGCCAAGTTCATACTTGATGTTAAGGCTTGTCTAATAAAAGGATCAAGCCCGAGCTCCATAAACATGACTTATTTAAATTCATGAGCTAGTTCGTTTCAAGTTCATGAGACAATTTGTATGTAAATAAATATAATTTATGTTTAAAATCTATGTCTGTCTCTACAATATGCACAAAAGTACACATTTAAAAACTTGTTTCAAAAAATAATATTAAAAAATGCACATAGAGCTGTAAATGAACCGAGCCGAGCTCGAACATGCCAGGCTCAAAGATCAGCTCAATAGAATTTAGCTTGGCTTGAAACCCAGCAAGCCTCAAAATTTTAAGCTCAAGCTTGGTTCGATGAAAGCTCGAACTCAACTCGATCAAGTCAAGCTCGATTTGAGCTCAACTTCAGGCAGTAACTTGAAAAATTTTAAGCTTGACCTCAACTCGAGTAACCTAAAATGATATTTTATATATTCGATGAAAGCTCGAACTCAATCGATCAGTCAAGCTCGATTGAGCCTCAACTTCAGCAGTAACTTGAAAATTTTAAGGCTTGACCTCACTCGAGTAACCTAAAATGATATTTTATATATATATATTTATATATATATATATAATATTATATAATAAGTATATAGGAGCTTAGTTAAGAATTAATGAGCTTCCGAGCTGGAAACAGCATTAGGCCAAGCTTATATATAGAAGCTTAGTAAGAATTAATGAGCTTCCGAGCTGAACAGCATTAGGCTCAAGCTTGATTCAAGCCGAACTTTTTCGAACATTTTTCAAGTCGAAATCGAACAATTTGCAAACTTGCTTGGCTCATTTACACCCCTCAATGCACATGTAGTAATAACAATGATTAAGGCTCTGTTTATTTCTAGAAAATATCTTTCTTCTAGAGTTGTGTGACCTTAAGGTCACGAGTGCAAGTTGTGGAAACATCCTCTTGTAGGAAAATACAAAGTAAGGTTGCACATAGTGTTTAGTGCTTACCAAAAGGAAAATTAAGTGATTTTTAAGGAAATCGCTCCTCATCCTCAAGAGAGAAAAACTTGTTATAATGAAAAGAAAGCACATAAACATAAAGTTTTATCAATCACCAATAGTCACTGTGGCCAACCACAGCCAACAAATGGTGATCATTGACAATCACCATCCATCACTAGTGACCATCACAATTTACTATTTTTATGTATTTTTTCTTATATTTAACTATAGATTTTTAAAAAAAAATCATGAAGTACCTAAAATTCTAACCATTTTCGTAGTCATATGAATTAAAAATTTTAACACGTTTTCATTAATTTTCAAAATAGCAACCAAACAACAAAAAATTAGTTTACTGAAAAATACTTTCCAAATTATCTTTCTACAAACAAACAAAGACCAAGTATACTAAGATATTGAAAACAAGTACTTTACATATTCTTAAAAAAAATCTATAAATTATATATATTTTTTAAAAGAATCTATAAATGATTTCATTTCTAATTGAATACATGAGAAAAACTCTAGACCAACTTGGATCATTTAGGCACATATGGTCATAAAGGTGTTCCCTACTTAGCTCAACAAAGTGAGCTAAGCTTGAGCCAAAATTGATGATATTGGTGCATGTGGAATCAATAAACCCAATATTCACATTCGTCTGGGATCCACCTGAAATTATGAAAGGTGGATCCCGCATAAAAGTGAGGGTTCATGTTTATCTGAAAAATTTAATTCCCCTCTAAATTTAAAGCTCGTTAATAAAGAAATTGAGTACATACTAGCCAAATTTCAACTTGGCTCATTTGAAGCCTTTGGGCCAAGGAGAGCTTGATTTCAAGACAAAGAAGATAAATTTTAGTACTTTTTCAATTGATTTTTACTCGCACTAGCCTTTGAATATGGAAGGTCTTATCTAGAGCGTGGAAAACCATAACAAGAGCATCGTGAGCAAAGAAGGGAGAAAGAACACTCCACGTCCATAAGGAAAAAGGATCAATAAAATAAATTGTAAGGAAAAGCTTAAAGGAACCACTATCAGCAACGTAGGGGTTAATTGTTGGGTCGTGAGATTCAATCCTACTGCACCCTATTTCTTGGCAGTAGTCCACTCAAACTTGATGCGTATGAAAGGAAGAAAGGGAGAGAGAATCAAATTTACCATCTCCCGTTGCATTTGGAGCCTAAGTTTATCGATAGAGATATGACCGAAAAATGTTGATGACTTTCCAGGGAAATTAAGACTTGCAACGCTGCCGACCAGAGGCCTACAAATAAAATTGTTTACCATCAAATAGAGAACATGAAAAGTGGAAAAAGAAGAGGAAAGGTTTCAAAAAATGAAGAAAATCACAAGTCATATATTTTTAAAAACAATACTTCATACTCAATGAAGCTAGCTAATAAGTTTTCGCAACAAGAACTTCATAGTTATGCACAACTATGGGAATAAGGTAACATATGAGAACAAGTACTTCAACTGGCATATGTATGATATCTTCATCCAACTTCACAACCCTTCCAATCAAGGAGCCTCCAAAATAATGCTCCATACTAGTGCGTTCAGGTCCATAACCATGGGTTCCAATGTACGAGATCGCACCGTTCTTATTGAGAGAGAGGTGCTTTCACATCTTCTTAACCCAAAATTGGAACACCATGTATGTTGGTAAAGCACCCTTTCAAGTTTTTCCCAATAGTTGTCATTTCTACCTTCCAACAAATGCATTAAGACATTATTTGGTCAACCTTATACTTGTGCATATCCATTTTATAAGCATTCTCACTTGTTTCCATGCTAATTATGTGAACATGTTTCTCGTTGCCCTTGAATTCCTTCACGAAAAAAATGCAATGCACACCATTCCTACTTTAATCCTCTGGTTGAAAGACTTCTTAATCACCCCATCTTGTTGTGCACTAGATATTAAGTATTAAAAGTGCACTTTCAAAGACCTACATTTTGTCAAGGCTAAACCCACTTCAATCCCTTCCACTTCCATTACCAAATTTGCAATGTGCATGCTCTATTTCAATCATACTTGAAAGCCTTAAATAGAAGGATCTTCTCCTTTATAGCTCAACTTTTTGTTAATGTTTTGTTCTGTCAACAAATACACGACTAGAAGAAACATCATCAAAGTTGTCAACATCACAATAAGATTAACATAGAGCATGTCACAAGGATAGTTGTTGAAGGCACATTCCAAGTGAACTTGAGGTGCACAAAGGCACTAGCCCTAGCAACATTGCAAGGGTTGGGCAAACGAACCCCTAAAAGGCTCGCTTATACCTTAGGCATGTGGTCTACCAAGGGTATGGTAGAAGAAAGAAGCGCCTCAAAAGCATCCAATGTGCGCATAGAAAAAGTCACTAAGGATGTCATCATGTAAAAAAGTCAAAATTCTACCACCACCATTAGGACAATTGAGTAATGCATTTGATTCCACATCCACAAACTTCCAATCTCTCCACTCCTATCTCGTTTCGAGTTTTGTTTTTCTATCTCCACAAGCGTCCTTGTCCTCGTCCTCGTTCTCGTACTTGTCCTCGCCCTCACACTCGTCCTTTTGGCTCTATTGGTTCTTTCTTTATATGTATGCTTTACAAGAACAATAATAGAAACTTTTATGCAATAAAAGCTTCTTAACTAGACAAGATTAGACTAAAGTTTGTTCTTAAAGTATAGTAGATATCTATTCCCAAGAAAGATAGACACAATACTCAATATTTTTTGTGGGTTGATTACAAAAAAACTCTTCATGTTTGACTTGCACAAATTGGTCACAAATATTTCAAGAAATATTTTAATCCTTAACTACCATCAACAGAATCTACAAAATTGGGTTAAATGGACTTTCAAGGACTTGTTAAGACTAAAATAAAATAATTTTGGTAAAGCAAAATTGACTTCAAAATTCTAAGGATTAAATAGTTTAAAACATCATGAACAAAAATGTGGCAAAAAATTGTGGAACTACTAACTAAATTTTAAGCAACGGGTAAGGCACATTGTAGAGAGGATAGTCCGAACTAGTCAAACTTCTACTAGAATGTTTGTCTCCCAACATATTAAAAGGACCAAGCAAGAACATTTTTATGATCTCAATCGCTTGACGTCAATTATCATCATGAAATTTATTTTATACCTCCCATTTGATAGCAATAGGCAACCTTCATTGAGTTTTCTAACGACCATCCTAGTAGCTTCCCTTGTTTTGAATATAACAAGAGCTTGACCTATAGCCAGAAAAAGAAGAAAAAGATTAGCATAAATCAGGAATTTGTGGGTGCCAATTCCAAATTTTGATTTCCAATAATGGGCAAGTAGATAAAAATATCCCACCAGCCCACTAGAACTCTCTTCACTAAAAAGGTAAGAACTTGTTTATCAAACATGTAGAAATGATAATTGGTTGTTCTCATGTTTACCAGAGTAAGGGCTAGAAAATGCAGTCTGTTGAATCACCTTTGCCCTGCAATTTTCCTTGAAAGCATGCCAAACAATATCCTGTTTCATAGCAGGTAAACTATATATTCAGACGGCAAACAAAAAAGAATATGAAGAGGCAATTAGATCTTCATACATGAAACAAAACAACACCATCAAGAAACTAGATGTTCAGAAGTATGAAACCAGAGAAAAATAAAGGGGTTTGAGAGATGGAGGATAGACAGCAGTCACCTGCCATACTAGCAATACAATTTAACCTATTAAAGAACTAGGATTCCAGAATGAATATTACTTCCACTTCTGCAGCAGTGCAAGATGGATCCAAATTCTGAAGTAAGACAAGCTTCCCTTCTGCATGAGCAGTTCTCATAGATGGTTCCCATGGCTGCAAAATAAATACATGGCGATTGATAAGTTAGTCCAAGGTGTCTACTCAATTTCTTTGTTTAAGGACATAACATTCTTCTCCAGAAGATAGTGGGAAAAGATGCATTCCTTTACCGCTACTTGCGCACATTTTTGTGCTAAGAGAAATAAAAACATCAATGATAAAAATGAAGTAAATCGTGGTAAAAAATATATATGACGAAAACAATAAAAATTAAGAACACGCAATAAAAGAGAGAATGAGTACTTACAGGTACAGTAAACCACTTGCTCTTATCCTGCCAACATTAAATATAAAAAAACACGTAAATATTCATATCATCTGTGCCAAAACTTTCACATCGAAGAACAGCAATACAGGTGTTACAGAACATCAATGGCACAATTAAAACGGGAACTATGGCAAATCAATAAGTACAATCAATCTTTTATAAAAGAATCATATCATATATGGGTTGTCTAGGACATAAAATTAAATGGGACAAAGGAAAAGTTTTGAGAACAAAAACCAAACATTTGAATCTCCTTCCATTTAGAGCACACCTATTATCAATTCAATGGCATATGCAACACTTGCAGCAAGATGCAGCTCTGATGCATCTTTTCATCAACTACCTGGGGCAGTTCATTATTGGGAGGATTCTGCTCTATCCAGTAAGCAAGGTACTTCAAAAACACTCCTATCTTTTCACTTATAACAAAGAATAAAATGTGCTTCATAAAGGAGAATTTCTGCAATGCGCTGTTCAGAACACTTACTTCCTTTTGAGTATATGAAATTATAACACCAAAGGTGTTCACTAAAAGACCTTACATACAACAAGGAACTATGGGAGGAAGTCCTAGCAGTGCAACTTACAGCATCTGGTCTTCGAGTGACTTCCAATGCTTGATTATTAGATTTGCTGGCATCATTTGAAACATCTCTGGGAGATGCTTTAGGCAATTTGCCATGAGAAGGTTTTGTGAGCTTCTCATCAAGTTTTGGCTTCTTAGAAATGATATTCTCATTTCCATGCAGATCCATCACAAGTTTATGTTTGGGTTTGTCTTCAGGAGTAGTAGCTGTTTGATCTACAGTATTGACATCAATGCCACTGGAATCATGATTTAATTTTTGGTCAATTTTCTTGTTATTCTCACCAGATGCTTTCACAGAGCCCTCAAGTTTTGCTTTCTTAGATGGTCTCTCATTCCCTGTACCAGAATCCTTGGCAGCTTTTACAGTCTCTTCAACTTGAACCTCGACTGCAGGAACTTCTTTACTTTCATCCCTGACATGATCATCCTTAACCCTTGAAGCAATCTTCTCACTGGACAAGCATTCCTGTCTATTACTTTTTGCCACTTCACCCAACCCTACACCTAAATTGGATGCACAATTTTCTGCTATTGAGGATTTTTGTTTAACCAAGGAAGGTTTCTGATCTGCAATTTCTTTATCATTAAATCTTGAACAGGTCTTATCACTGGCAGAATTTTTCCGTGGAACATTAATTTTCACCACTTCACCTAATTGAACACCTATATCAGAAGTAGGCTTCTCTCTAAGAGATGATTTCTGTTTGACAGATGATTTTACCAACTCTGCATCTTCTTTAAGTTTTGACTTGCTCTTGTCACCAGATAAATTACCCTGGGGATGGTCACTTTTAACCATTTCCAATATATCTTTACCTCCAGAAGAAGCAAGTTTCTGTTCAAGCGAAGACTTATGGTCAGCAGATAAGTCTTTACAATGTAGTCTTTGTTTTGCTGAAGCATTAAGTGACCTTTCATCCGACTTTAAAGTTTTATGTTCCCCCAATGCATTCTCCTCAGACAAAACTACTGCTCCATCATTGACTACAGCATTTCCGCTGAGATCTTTCTTGTTTGAATCAGGTTTAGGATCAGCAATGGATTTCTGATTATTCACTCTGTTAAGTAAAAACTTAACTGCAGAAACGACAAACAGGAGAAACTTAACAATAAACAATCAACTAACTACGCGTTACAAACCAAAGGCGCATTCAAGGTTAGATAATATATACCATCAACTCCAGCAATTTTATCATCAATCTTATCTGAGATCACATGAAACTCAACATCAAATGTAAGGTAAAATATGAAATCAGCCATTTGAAGTTGTTCATTTGAAGGCGGCGGGTTTCTGCTGTCCTTTGAAATGCATACAACGTTGCACTTTCCAGCAATTGCTTCCTGATTTGATGCATGACAATTTTAGCAACTACATAGCTTAGCTTACACTAGGCAACTCCATAGACAATTAATATATTTTTCGGAAACAAATATAGAAATCAACAGATAATAATTTATCAAAGGTCATATTGCCCAACACTGTATATTTGACTAAGAATCTCATGCAGGATGTATTGACATAACCTTGAACCAAGATTTTGTGGCTGTACAAGCCCTACATAAGAGTTAAATCAGTTATGGTGTCAACGGCTCTTAAAACTTTTGAACAATCAATTTTGAAACAAATATTAAATGAACTCTTGAACCTCATATTTGTACAAGCCTAAGCGTCTAACTAAACTGATATATTTATTCACGTCTAAGGGATTATCCATTGCATTGAAAATATAACAAGTATATTTATTCCCCCAACATGTATATAAATCAATCATGTCTTATCTAATGTTTCCAGCAGATTGGCAAATCACTCATAGACCAATGAAAACAACATAATAATGGACTAATATCCTGTTGCAAAACAGGTAATATGTTACAAAACCACTGTTATTTAAAACCATGCTACAAGGAGCTCAAAAATAATAAGAATCTCATTGACAAACCTTCTAATAGCTCACATATCAGCTCAATCCATATTGATAAAATGTAAAACATTTATGAATGGCTGCTCAGAGCGAGATACATCAGACATAAGTAAGAACCAATAATGAAGCAACGACATCTTTCAAACTTCCCTAGTTTTTGCAAGCCTATGCCATTAAATTACTAAACAAATGCAGATGCATCCTTTTCAAGGGTATCTTGAGTTCTAACCAAACTTCAAGAAGTAGATAAGCCATGTGTACAATACAAGATTCTGTTGTGTGCATCCAGAATGTAAGGAATTAATTCACAGCAGCACAATAAGTAACTAGACTCGAATGAGAAGTCATTGCAAAGGCAACAGAGAAACACAGCATAATAGAGCAAAATCAAAACTGTATAATTACCAAAGGATTAACATTTGCAAGGCCTACACCTTCACCAGATGCCAAAAACAATTCATTCTCCAAGGTCTTATCAACTTCGATGTAATTTGAAATCTCACAGGGGCGAAAGAACCACAGAATTTTCACTTTCCTTTCCTTATTAGAGGTCTCCCATATTTTTATCAGTTTACCAATGTAAGGCTCAGGCTCCTTCTCCGCATACATATAAACAGAATCATAAAGTTTGTATTCCACACCATCGTATGTAAAAGATTCATAAAATTGTACATCTTTCTTCATCCCACCAAGTCCTCGTTTTTTACCCCATTCGAATGAAATGCTCCCTTCTCCGTTGACTTGTACCATTATAGAAGAACTTTTACCTGAAACATGTCAATGGAGAAAAGAAAAAAGAGGGGCAATTAGTTTTGTTTCTTTTTTCTTCAAATATAAAATAAAAAATGGAGATAGGGAAAAATGACACTGCATGGCACAAGAGATTCCACCTTAAAGAACTACGCTAACAGATAGTGAACTTTTCACGAGAAAATTGAAGTAAAAAGCAATCTTTTGCACACCATACATCCAGTACCTATTAATACCAAAGACCTTAAAACCCTAATTTCAGGGGGCAATTATTTTCTGCAATAACATAAAAAGACCGCCAAAAAGAGCAACATTTGATAAAGTAAATAAATAAACAAACATAGAAACATATAGCAGGCAAGAAACTCCAGTCCCTTTGTTTCATGGGCAAAACTTCAAAAGAATAGGTCAACTAAATAAAATGAATTATTTGGATAAAAAAATAAGAAATAAAATTCGACTTCAAAAAGAATATTTTTATTTAAAAAAAAAAAAAAAAAAAAAAAAAAAAAAAAATGCAATTATTTGGATAAAAAAATAAGATCAATAAAAATTCGGACTTCAAACAAGAATATTTTTACCTTTAAACTTAAAAAAAAGAAAAAAAAAAAAAAAAAAAAAAAAAAAAAAAAAAAAAAAAACCTTGCTCTGCTTTATTTTTCACTATTCTCTGGGGGAACAAACAAGGCCGTTTTCGGCCCTCTCGAATTATAAGACAGTAATGCTTGTGCACAAGGAACTCAGGAAACTAAAGGTGGCAACTGAGAGATGAGAATTGGCGATAAATTCTGGTTTCGAAGACATTAGTATAGTGCTGTCACAGCGAAAACCCTAGCGACAAGATCGCCCAGCAATTTCCTTTGCTTGTTCCTCTTCTGCTTTTTGTGTTCTTGATTTCTTTTTTATTTGAGCGAGTGAATCAGTTCAAGTGATAATTTCCGCTCTCTACAGAGGACACGTGGGGCTATTTAAATTGTTTTGGGCCTAATTTGGGGAATGGCGTCGTTTCGGTGCTGCAGTAGCCTAAGGTCCTGATTGGTGATAGTTCGGGCTGGGCTGGGTTTGGGTCGGGATTGTTACCTTAGGCCTTTGTCCATGTATTTGGAAAATTTATTACAAGGAAAATTAATGGAAATTTTGGAAAATTGATGGGTTTCATTAGCGAAAAAAAATTACACAGAAAATTAATGGAAAATTTGGAAAATCACGTTGCTATTTCTAAAGTTAAATTTCTTACAGCCAAAGCAATTCTTTTCCTTTTTATTCTTATTTGTATTTTAATCACAAAAACTTAATTTCTATATTAAGTAAATATAATTGCTATTTTCCTTTCAAAAAAGAAAAAATATAATTGCTATTTATTTTTTATTTTTCACGCGATTATTATATCAATAGTATTTTAGTGTATATAAGCAAATGAATTTTCAATTTCAAATATAATTATATATAGCTAAATATTGAAAACATGATTTAAGTTATGGCATATTAAATATGAAAAAATCTTTTCAAAATGAATTTTTAATGGATTTTTTACTTTGAATTCATTTATACAAAGTGGAGTGTAAATGTTAAAGATAATTACTATATATAATTAAATTATTAAATATATACATTTTTTGTTATTTAAAAATTCATTACTATTTGTTTTTTTTTTTTTTAACTAGAGGTCGCATGGATAGTAACAAGGTTTTCCTCTGATTCCAATAAAATTCAAATTAACACTTTTATGATAGAAAAGTCTTACTCTCACATTTTATAGAACGGAAAAAAAACACGTGTTTATTTTTATAATTAAAGGAATTGAAAGATAGGATACCATCGTCCATGGAAGCGAACGAGCGAGTGAATGCAACTTTTAAAAAAATATATATATCTTTAACAAATTTTTGAAAATGATACTTCAACCAAAACAAATTAAAAATAAAGAAATAAATTCAAAAAGAGAGAATAAAAATAATGTTATAAATGTACAGAAAAAAATTTAAAAAAAGAGAGAAAAATATTATGCTGAATGTCATATTTCTTTGCTTCAACTTTGGATAGATATAGATAGATAAATAGATACACGAAGATTGATATATAACAAAGAGCTGTTCAGCACCTCCACCCGGAATTTCACCATCCTGTGTCCACTGCGAACACGCGACTAACGATGCGCGGAGTGAAAAGATGCAATCCTTTTAAAACTAATTATATATTATCTACATTTCACATCATACAATTTTTTGAAACAGATGATACTCACTCACCCAACCAAAACTGCATCAATTCCAAACAATCTACTCTTATAAGATAACTCCAAATATTTCAAACATACTACTGAGAGAAGAATAAAAATATGTTATAAATGTACACGAGAAAAGAAATTCTTAAAACAAGCAGCAGATTCGCATACGCGAGGAAAAATATTAGTGCGTGGTAATGTCATATTTCTTTGCTTCTCAACTGCTTAGCCCGATAGATATAGACTAGCAATACAACATCAGATACACTAAGATTCGAAGTTATATTCATATTATATACTATATATATACTATCACTTATTTATACATTTAACCGCTTCATTTACTCTGATTTAAGTCCTCATATCATACATACACTACTCCAAAAAGATTACATAATCCTCCATTTTGTTGACTGCATTATGATTTATCTCTTCATCTGATTATTTCTCATGTCAGCATTACTCCGTCATGTGCAATACTCTGTTTATGATTTCTTCATTTTAAATTTACTCATATAATCAAAGTTCGCCACAATCCTTAATTGAAATGTTAAGCCTCCATCTCTGTCTAGCGCTCCTAATCAAAATATTCACCACAAAAGAAAAATGACAATGCTCTTACCTATATAGCCCGAGGCTTAGTACGATTTCAACAGTTAACCACTTTACAAATATACACCAATTAATAATACCTCTTATTACGTCAAACAAACTTTTCCAGCAGAATCTCACTGCAGACCATGTTGACATACCTTACTTCGAGAAGCTAAATTACGTTATTTACTATTTAAGTTCATAATAACAATAAAAAATAAAATTATTTTTGAATTTGATTTATTCTTCACTGATTATTTTCATCAGATATGTCATGTGAATATTTTATATTTTTCATTTAAATTACTCATATATCAAAGTTCATAATGAAATTTTAAAACTATAAAAGAAATAAAAAAAAAATGAAATTTATAGTAGCTAGTAGTTAACAAAATTTACAAATATAACCAAAAAATATTTATTGCAACAAATTCAGCAAATTATAACATTTGAATATTATTTGAGAGCATACACTAATACATAATTTAGTGGTAAATGCATTTACGATATTTAAATTCGAATTTCCTCCCATGATACTCAAACAAAAGCGGCAGTTGATCATAACTGATAATTAATAGTTAATAGGGAAAATTTTGATAGTGATTGTTGTTAAAATGTAAAATGACTATTAACGATATACTTATTATATATATATTATGCAAACAATGTATTTTTTTTTTTAAGATTTTTAAAGCAAATATATATTTTTATCTTAATGTATCTATATAAAATTAAAAAGGCACTTATTCAACTTTTTTAATATAATATTTAATATAATTTTTTTCATTTTTAAATGACTATAATAAAATTAATGATTAAAAAAAACTAATTTTAAAAATATAATTTGACTAGTAACTAATTTATAAGATTAATATAGTATAAAAGTAATATAAATACAAATTAAATTGTAACGGATAGAATTCACAACTATTTGGAATTTTTATAAACTATAGGACTAGAATTATTACCAAAACACTAATATGTAGCCGTTGAGTATAAATCAGCTATCAACTACAAAATAACCGAACTCATGTATTCTTAGTTCAATCATAGTAAATCAATTACTTTCTTTGATATCAATTTCAATTTAGATTGTTCTCACTTTTAAAACTTGTAATTTACCTTTTTTTTCCTCGATTCAATTTGATTTGAATTGAATCAACTATTTTCATTCGTGGTGCTAATTGCAGTGAATTTAGATATAGAAGGAAAAAGTTTTTTTGGTCTATGAGGCTCGTCCTAATCAATTACTTTGTCTTTTCAAATTTGAAATTTAACTTAAGCGTCCCTAAGATTTTCATTATTAAAATAAATGTTCATTCTGTCAAGTTGAATGGATGAAACCATTAATTTGACGGTGTAAAACTCTAGGATGTTTAAATTAATTTTTTCTAATAAAAGGACAAAATAATTAATTAGACATAATATTAAAGATTGAATAGTTTTTTATTTGATGTAAATATACTATGAGATTTATTAATTATGTTGTTGGTTTTTTAACACGAAACATCAACGCAAATAATTTAATCGGTAAGAAATTAACAAAGAAAAATAATTGAGGTTTTTTTCTAAAGAAAAAAGCTTCGATTATTATTATTTTTGCGAAAACATCAAGCTGATGTATAATTTGACAAAGGCAACATTGAATTTGAAAATCATGCTTAAGCAGTTTCTTTATAATTTATAATAAAAAAATACATTGTGCTTGAATTCTAGTTTGCCTCGTTGATTTATCGAATGAACTTTTTTTTTTAACCAGCATATAAGTAGATTCTTTTTGAGTCATTTCAATTATAATTTTTTATCAATTTATTGAAACAAGAAGATGATTATTCCATGATATTATTCTGTCCTATTAGATTTCCAATAAATAAATAAATAATTTACTCCATGAGTCGCGCAATTATTTTTCTTTTTTATTTGTTCCAAATTGTTATATTATTTTATTTTTTAAGTAAATAATAATTGAAGTTTACTATTTTACTCTTATTTAACATTACCATTAATTAAATATTTATACAAATAAAACTAAATATCAACATTTAATTTTTCACTTATATATTAGTCGAATCACTTAATTATTGGATAAAAAATTATAAGTTAATACATAAGTCATTTAATTTTAATAAATACTAATGCAAGATTATAATAAGAAAAATAAAATAAATAATAATTTAATTATTGTAATTAAAATTTATTAATTTACATGCAAATTAAGTCAGTGCAAAAATGATAAGATGAACAAATATTGATTTAGTAAATCTTTGTCTTTATTTATTAAGATAAGACTGTCTGTGTGGGAGTAGGCAAGTCATTTTTTTTTTTTTTTTTTTTTTTTTTTTACATGCAATAATTGAAGGTTCAGTTTGCAAATAATTTTGAATAAGATGACAAATATGTGATTTAGTAATCATTCTTTTCTTTTATTTATTTAAGGATAAGACTGTCGTTTGGGAGTAGGCAATGTCGATTTTTTTCCTTTTTTACTTTTTTTGTTTTTCACACATCCATAAAAGAGTGGCATATCAGGGGCATTGTTGTTAAATTTAAAAAGTTTAACACGTGCTTACTGTGTTCAAAGTACGGACACACGTTTGCTGCTCCTGCGACTGCGAAGATCGCTTGGCGCCCCCTGTCAAGAATTTGAAGACACGCATTACGCGGACGTTGTATAAGACGAACACGCGAGCACCACACGCATGAGACCGCAACAGAATCAGCGGTTGTGATCACGATCTCAGTGCCGAGAAACTCTCCCAATGGCCGGTCCATGGGGCGTCTGATTTCGCCTCGAGACTCGGTAATCGATACAGGTCTGTCTTTTAATCCTCTTCAAAAACCCCAAAATTACTTAACGTTCACTTCAAATTCACAATCAGCCTCTCTATCGCCTTTCTCTCTTGAATCCAAGCTTGGAATGCAAACGCCCGACATATAGATGTTCGTAAATCTGTCGATGAAAAGCTCATGGAATATAAGATCTATTACAATTAAAAGGGAGTTGAAAAATTTCTTTCATCTTGATTTTCATATTGCTTTCTCTCTAATTCAAGTTAAACTTAGGATTCTTCAAAAAACTGTTCGGCTCAACTGTAACGTAGTATTACAATTGGAGAACCTACCTGCCACTCCAGTTTCTAAATTCTGCAGTCAGACAACTTACATATCTTCGACTACCCGCCGCACCTGACAAGCAGTGTAATTCGTCTGTGCCTTCCCTTCTGCGCCCACTGCTCCTAGGCTCTTTGCTCACTCGATCACATATGTCCACGGAACACTAGAATCTCCTATCGTGCGCCTCGCGTGATCTGCTGACACTCTCCGCCTACCCCTCACCAACTGCCTCCCGATTCCATCCCCCCTGCACCCTCTACCGCCTCACACGTCCCTTCTCCTCTTTCTGAACCCCTTACCTTCACCACCGAGATCACTTTCACTGCCCGCCTAATATAAGGTCCGATCGCGCGACCCTTCAGTCATTACTGCTCTTCCATCGGTCTCTGTTCTCGATCCGCCTCGATCCATTCGCCGTTCGTCTCCAGCGTGGCCCCGGAAACTGGTACAGCCTTTGGTCACAATTTACTCTTGGTCTAATTTCACAGGAGCAAAGCAATGGCATACCAAGCTTTTCATATACAGTTCCGCGGACCTTGCTATTTCACTCAGGTCCACCCGACAAGGACTCGGGACCCTGCCCCACTCTACCCGAGCACGTTCAAACCGCTCGAGCTTGTCGGAGCATGGGACTTAACGACGCCGACCTCCTCAAAACATTCTCCCGAAGACTGAAAGAAAGAATCCAAATCTTTACGTTATGCTAAATTCGACCACTCCACAACACGACACTGCTCGAGTCCGTTTCGCTAGCCCGTCCTATCCTCCTGTGAAGCCGACTCTTGATGCAGCATGACGCATTCTCCCAAACCAAGGGGTCACGTCGGCGGAGGCTCTATCAAATGCTGGCCTGACAGCGGATGTTGCCGTTGGAGGCCCTACCAATGAATGATGCTTCAGTTTTTGAGTTACAAGTCCAGTCCGGCACGCAAACAAAAACCTTCAGAACTTAAATAAACAGGCTTTGAGCAAATTGACATAAGACATTTCGCCAGAAACGTTTAAGAAAAAACAGATTCCGCCAAATGACTGATCGTATCTGTCTTTGATCCATCGTAGTTTTTTTTTTTTTTTTTTTTTGTTTTTCCACACATCCAAAAAGAGTGGAAGGGCATTGTTGTAAATTAAAAATTTAACACTGCTACTGTGTCAAAGTACGGACACACTGCTGTCCTGCGACTGCGAGATCGCTTGGCGCCCCCGTAAGAATTTGAACGATTAGCGACGTTGTATAAGCGAACACGCGAAGCACCACCGCCAGAAACGAACTAGGGTTTTGCAGATCTCAGTGGAGCTCTCCCACATCCGTCCATGGCGTCTGATTCGCCTCGGACTCGGATCGATCAGGTCTGCTTTTTAATCCTCTTCAAAAACCCAGAAATTCTTAACGTTCACTTCAAATTCAAAATTTCAGCCTCTCTATCGCCTTCTCTTGATCCAAGCTTGAATGCAAACGCCCGACATATAGATGTCGTAAATCTGTCGATGAAAAGCTATGGATATAAGATCTATTACAATTAAAAGGGATTGAAAATTTCTCATCTGATTCTCATATTGCTTTCCTCTAATTCAAGTCAACTTAGGATTCTTTCATAAACTGTCTGGCTCAATGTAAGTAGTTACAATTGGGAACCACTGGCATAAAGTAACATAATCTGTACTGAACACAGTGTATCGTGCTTCTTGCAGTTTTTTGCTTCGAAAAAGAGGAAAACTCTATCGCCTGGTTTGAAGCATGTGAGAATTGAAAAAGATGCAAGAATAGCTGCCGAAGGGTCTCCTAGTGGGAAAGGTACATTGGACAATTACTTGGTCAATTCACAGGAGCAAAGCAATGATACCAAGCTTTCATATACAGTTCGCGGTTTATTGGTCAGACAAGATGGAGTCAAGAGAAATCTGGTGTTGGAGATGGATAAAATCTCCGAAGATGAAAGTAAAGATCCAATTTTGTTAGCTAAAATTGACACTCAAACCGGTGAAGGATTTGAAACCATTCAAAAGGAAACATCGGGAGGCTCATCAAATGTGGGTGATGTTGCCGTTGGAGGCCTTACAAAAGATTGCTCAGTTTTGAGTTACAGTGCCAAAAACTCAGAACTAAAACAGTTTGCAAATGACAAAGACCCAGAACTAAAACAGTTCGCAAATGACTTTTTGTCTTTGTACTGTAGGTACTGCACTTTAAGAATACCTGTATACCTTGGCTGTGTTTTTATTCATTCTATGAGGTTTACTTCCTAGTTATCCATTTGATGCAGTGAACTACGGTCAACTGCAACTTCACCGTCTAAGCTAAATTTGAATGACCATAAGAGACATAGTAGTCAATCGTTTGTGGATGGTGAGGATAAAACATCAAAGAAGAGGCATTGCATAACCAGCAAGTCATGTTCAGAAGTCAACACTGATTTCTCCATCGAGAAGAAGGCAGTTAATCCAGCTGGAGGGGTAAAACCAATTTAAACCACCGTTTTGGTCGGTATACCTATGTGTGTGTATTTATAATAATTTGTTTATGCTTCTTTTTGTCTCCTCATTTGGCAGGTCATTTTTGGTAATGATCCCACTCAGCTTGAAGCAAGCTTGAGAAAATGTAACAGAATTTCTAAACAAACTGTTGATATGATTGGATGCGTTACACCAGGCTCGTCAATTGTTAGAACATGTGTTAGTCAAACCCCGAGGTCAACGCGTGGAAGCTCCATGTTTTCGCCAGGAGAAGCATTCTGGAATGAAGCAATTCAAATAGCTGATGGTTTGTTTGCTGAACCTGGTAATCATCTTGCAGTGTCTGCTGAAGATATTACCAACGGAAGTTGTGGGGACAAAAGGGAAATTTTGGACAAAGCAAGCATCAGAGGCTGGCAGATGGGGGATGTTGGTTCCTTGGAGTTAAATGGTTTGCATACGAGAGATTCAATTAAAGAAGTGTCTCCATTGCCTGTCAAACATCTTCACTTTTTGTTTGAGGACAAGAACTTGGACGCAAGTTCCCTGTCCAATAACATAGATGATTCAAATGTGCATAAGGGTGCTGAGCAATCTGAATGTGGTTCTGTAAACATTAAAAGCTCACAAAGTGGCAAAATCTCAACTTACAATAAAGCTCAAACAAAGGAAGAAATCCAACAGTCTGCATCTGTTCATGGAGTGACCAAAAGGGAAGCAAATTTGTCAAATCAAGATACTGATAGCATTACATCTAATTCACCAGTCAATGAAATCAGGAAGTTTGTTCCTAATATTGGAGATTATGAAGCTGGGACTCCTTGCACCGTTGTGCTTCTCAAAGACAGATTAAATCTTGGCGATTGGCTTCCGCCAGAAATATGCACCATATACAAAAGAAAAGGAATTTTGAAACTATACCCTTGGCAGGTATTTAACTTAAAATGACTACTGTTGTGCTTGCTGTCCTGTTATCTGGAAATGGTGCAATGTTAATACTTCATATTACTTTTTTTTGATACTTAAAAATTGACTAAACATGGCTGTCATCAAGTCTAAATTTGGCTTCAGATTTTTGTGGATAGCCTTTGAGTTTCTCATCTTCATAGCCTGGGAAGGCAAAAATATTATTTGGTTCCTCACTTTCTGAATTTTGTTTGTTATTTCACTTTGTTCCCTACCATAAAATGTCTTCATGCAGCCACATAAAATTCAACTGTACATCTTGTGTGACCTGATATAGGACTTGATATGGTCTTGATTTACTAGTGTTGATTTCCCTCTTGGTAGTCTCTTTACTAAAAATGCTTTGTCGGATACGGTGGAAGAGGACGTTTTTGTCGAGGACTTAGAAGACCTTCAATGTGTTTTTATCTGGATGCATGATGTATTGATACGTTTCATTTACCAGGTTGACTGTCTTCAGGTAGATGGAGTTTTAGAGAGAAGGAATCTTGTATACTGTGCATCTACAAGGTACTTCTTTTATTCCATGAATTTCATCTTAACTTATTCTATCGGAATAGTTTCCATAAAAGTTTTGCACTTATTTCTGCCCAGTGGCATTTCTTCTGGAATCCTCTAGTGGTAGCAGAAGACGTTTTATCATTTCTTATTAGGCTTTCATTAATAGGTGCTTAATCTTTTTTCCTCTGCTACAGTGCTGGGAAAAGTTTTGTTGCAGAAATTTTGATGCTGCGGCGGGTCATATCAACCGGCAAAATTGCACTTCTTGTACTTCCTTATGTATCAATTTGTGCAGAAAAGGTGTCTTAAAGTTTACATGCTGAGAATAGTAGATACTGTTATATTTATAGTTTTCTTACTGCATATTATGGGCACCTTGCATATTGCATCTCCATCATAATTGGTGTAGGCTGAACATCTGGAAAGCCTTTTGGAACCTCTTGGTAGACACGTGCGAAGTTATTATGGAAATCAAGGTGGTGGAACTCTTCCTAAGGATACTTCTGTTGCTGTCTGCACGATAGAGAAAGCAAACTCTTTAATAAACAGGTTACTGGAAGAAGGTCGTTTATCAGAAATTGGAATCATTGTGATAGATGAACTGCACATGGTATTTTGATGGTGTTGTTTTGTTAAATTTATATATTGTATATTTTATACAATGGAAATATTAATAGCTTTTGGCATTGCTTCTGAATGTAACCTTTTTATGCCTGTATCTTGAAGTATGATTATTCTTTTGCTCATGTTTGCCGATAGGTTGCCGATCAAAGCAGAGGTTATCTTTTGGAACTTATGTTGACCAAGCTTCGATATGCTTCTGGTGAAGGCAATTCAGAATCTAGCAGTGGAGAAAGCTCAGGTACTAGCAGTAAGGGTGATGCTGCTCATGGTATGCAAATTGTTGGGATGAGTGCAACCATGCCAAATGTTGCAGCAGTTGCTGATTGGCTTCAAGTAAGCGGCATCCTGAGTTTATTTTCTAATTAACCTACCTTTTACTTTTGTTCTTGTCAGCCTTAGGCTGTGCGAATATATGTGTTGCACCGCAAAACTTTAGTCACAACAAATTTGATGTGCATTTCTGTACCATATAATGCATTGTTATATTGTCTTCTTTTCATGGGGCATAAAATCATTTTTCAATTGCTCTTACTTGTGGCAAATTTATGTTCAGGCAGCATTATATCAGACAGAATTTCGACCTGTTCCACTAGAGGAGTTCATTAAAGTTGGCAATACTATTTATGACAAGAAAATGGACATTGTTAGAACAATTCCAAGAGCATCTGACCTAGGTGGTAAAGATCCTGATCATATTGTGGAACTATGCAATGAGGTAGGACTATTTACCTTTTCTTTTTTTGGTTTATTGGGGAAGCCAAATGAGCTTGAATACTATGGCTACAAAACAATAGGTACTCCTCTTTATAATTTTCATCATGTTGGTGAAAATGGTCGGAAGGATTTCGACCTGAGACCTCACGCTTCCTACACTCTTAAAGGGAGTACAATACCAATCAAGATAGGCTTATTAAGTGACTTGGGATTATTCATTTTGCCACCTGAGTGAATATGTAGCTGGGGATTATTTGGATGTTGAACAACTATGAATTGTTGTTACATTTATCAGGTTGTTCAAGAAGGTCATTCAGTGTTAATATTCTGCTCTAGTCGAAAAGGATGTGAATCAACTGCCAAGCACGTTTCCAAGTTCCTGAAGAAGTTTTCTGTTAATGTTCAGAATGATAGCGATTTTCTTGATATTGCTTCAGCTATTGATGCATTGAGACGATCTCCTGTGGGATTGGATCCTACATTAGAAGAAACTCTTCCTTCTGGTGTAGCTTATCACCATGCTGGCCTCACTGTATGGTTCTAGCTCATCTTCCATCATTTCTGCTTGTATCGATCCATTTCATTATTTTTATACATTAGATTATTAGTCTATGTTCTTTTTGTTGCTTACACAGATGCATTTTAGAATATGTTAGTTTTGGGTGTATAAATTTTGCCATTTGATGCACTTTTGAAGGATAAGGATGCTCTTTTGATTTCTTTCAGGTTGAGGAAAGAGAAATTATTGAAAGTTGCTATCGCAGAGGCCTTGTTCGTGTCTTAACTGCTACATCTACCTTAGCTGCTGGGGTTAACCTTCCTGCTAGGAGGGTCATTTTTCGACAACCTAGAATTGGTCGTGATTTTATTGATGGGACAAGGTACAGACAGATGGCTGGTCGGGCTGGTCGGACCGGGATCGATACTAAAGGCGAAAGTGTATGTTTAACTTTTTTTTCTTCATGCGTTTGCAATCAATTTCTTCTGCTTGGTTGTAATATGCTATTTGACCAATTCGTTTTGGACTTGCATGTAATTTATTGAATGATGCCTTTTCACCCTATTTCAATACTATAGGTATCTAAGCGAACTATAGGTATCTAAGCGATGGTATAAAATTTATTTTGAATTAGAAGTATCATTCAGTAACAATTTTATGCTTCATCCTATCAGATACTGATTTGCAAACCAGAAGAACTAAAAAGAATTATAGGGTTGCTCAATGAAAGCTGTCCACCATTGCAGTCTTGTCTCTCTGAAGATAAAAATGGAATGACTCATGCAATTTTAGAAGTTGTGGCTGGTGGAATTGTTCAAACTGCTAATGATATTCATCGATATGTTAGATGCACTCTTCTCAATTCTACAAAACCATTTAGAGATGTCGTCAAATCAGCACAGGATTCTCTCAGGTGGTTGTGTCACAGAAAATTTCTTGAATGGAGTGAAGAGACAAAGTTATATAGCACCACACCACTTGGCCGTGCAGCTTTTGGCAGTTCTCTTTGTCCAGAAGAATCACTAGTAAAGATTTGCATCTTTTATTTTGATGCCTTCTTTCAATCTCAGTTTAATATTTGTTACCAGTGTACTTTCCTTTTTTCTTTTTTTCTGCTTTCCTCTCTTTTCCCTTTCTTTCTTTATTCAAAGTCTTGGGTTTCATTTCCTTAGCATTATTTGCTTGGTTCTCAAATCTAATAATTCTCTTGCTAAGCCAATAAATACGATCTCGCGCTTGCATTGATTTCACTTCTTTTTTTTTTTTATTGGTTTTGTAGATTGTGCTAGATGACCTTTCCAGAGCAAGAGAAGGATTTGTGCTTGCATCTGACTTGCACCTGGTGTACTTGGTCACTCCAATCAATGTTGAAGTTGAGCCAGATTGGGAACTGTATTATGAAAGGTTCATGGAGTTATCTCCTCTTGACAAGGTAATACTGCTATTCTCCCTTCACTTCTATTTAATGTGGAGATAGTTTGGAGCCTGGTACGAGGAAATTGATTATCATGTCAATCCGTGAGAGGTGTGCCTTAGTGTTGTAGGTCTTATATTCATATTCATTGTGGTTAATGTGTGACTCATGGGTGCGTGATAGAGTTCCTGAAGCCCGAGACAATGGGCTTTGAAGTCATTTACCTGCTTGGTAGTCATTAATGTCTGAAGGAAATCTTATGATGTTGCGTCAACAGCAAATCACCAACCCATCCCATCAGACAGTCAACTTTATTAAAGTTTCAATGAGCAGTGCAATTTTAATAGAACAGTTGAAGTTTCAATTAAAAAAAAAATTATAGGCATAGTGATGTTCATTTGCTAGTGTGCCTAACAAATATTTCTGTTATTGAATTTATCCTCAGCGCGCGCGCACACACACACAGATACATAAAGCAAAAAGAGCATACTGAACCATCATACTTTGTAATACATAATTGAGGTCACAACTTTCCATTTACTTGCTCACATTGTTCCATTGGCTCTATGGTTTGGCTATACAGAATTTTAGATCTGTATGCATCTCTATTGATTGTTGAATGATGCTCCTTTATTCCAACTTTGTAGTGTTGTTTCCTATGGCTCACCTTTATTTTATTTTTAATTCAAATGTTATGGAATAAAGTCTGTTGGAAATCGAGTTGGAGTTTCAGAACCATTTTTGATGCGTATGGCACATGGAGCACCTATGCGTACAGTGAACAGACCTAGTAATATGAAAGGGTTCAATGGAAAGTTAGAAACTCGATGTGGGAGTGCAAACGACAGTATGATTTCAGATGAGCAGTCACTTCGAGTATGCAAACGATTTTATGTGGCTCTTATCCTGTCAAGACTAGTGCAGGTGTCACAATCTTTTTCCTTCCTTTCTACTTTTTTTATCAATGTTGAAATGTTATAAGCTTAATGTTATTTTCCGTGCTTTGCCTAATTTAAGCATGTCCATTTGATGTACATTTGTCTATGCATGCATCGGTTCTTTTTCCATTTACATGTGCATATGCTAACAGCAAGAATTTGTGGCCCTCTTTCTGTTATGAAATGGTTAACTTTATCTTTTATTATGCTTGTGTATCTACATGATAACCTGAATATGATTCCCTATGTCTTCAATAAAATGGCTATCTGTGCTTGCTATGATATGTGAGTTTTTCTTTTCTTCCCTGCTTTGCTAAATACATGTTTAATCACTTGGAAAAAGGAAACGCCTGTTGCTGAGGTTTGTGAAGCTTTTAAGGTTGTGAGAGGCATGGTTCAAGCCTTACAAGAAAATTCTGGAAGATTTGCATCTATGGTTTCTTTGTTTTGTGAACGACTTGGATGGCATGATATGGAAGGTTTGGTGGCCAAGTTCCAAAACCGCGTTTCATTTGGAGTGAGGGCAGAGATTGCGGAGCTTACCACTATTCCATATGTTAAGGTAACTTGGCATTTCCACTTTTTCCTAAATAGCTTTGCTAACAGTTGTAATGGTTCACATTGTTCATTGCTGTTTGGTCATCGATTTAGAATTATCCATTATTTCATTGCTTTTTTGGTAGGGTTCTCGAGCAAGAGCACTATATAAAGCAGGCTTGCGAACACATCTCGCAATTGCTGAAGCATCTATTTCTGAATTAGTTAAAGCTCTTTTCGAATCCACATCATGGGCTGCACAAGGTGAACTTTTTAGAAATTTTTTAGAATTTTTACAGATCATTTCTTATGCATTGATCCCAGTAGATTTATGCATGATATATGTCCATCTTAAATTGCAGCATGATTGGAGGGTGGTTTTTTTTCTAGTTAATCTTTTTGTGTTGCTTGCAGTTATCTGTTGATTAATTTAGGAGGATGCCTTAACCTCCACATTGTTATCTTCTTTCTTCTCTTATAAAAGATTGTTGCTTTCCTCTAATATTAAAAGAAGAGAGAATAATTGATAAACGTAACAATGAAATAGTTTTTGTCCTTACTGGTGGATTTTGTCTCGGTATTTGCCCATTACAATCCCAATTCTGCATTACTTCTTAATGGTTTTTGTTTTTGTTTTTGTTTTTGCACTGTCATGACTTTGATAAATATTTGAAATTTGACTGCCAATATTTACTGGTTGGCAAAATAACTGTATAAGGTTCAGCACAAAGGCGAGTGCAATTGGGAGTTGCAAAGAAAATAAAGAATGGTGCAAGGAAAATTGTTTTTGATAAAGCTGAAGAGGCAAGGGTTGCAGCTTTCTCAGCTTTCAAATCTCTTGGACTCAATGTCCCACAGTTTTCTCAGCCATTATTATCAAATGCTTCTATAAATGTTGGTGAGCAAAGTGCTGTTAGTAACTTATCTGGAGATGGCACCGCTGATGTTTTTCTTTGTGTTGAACAAAGAGACCATGCTTCAAGTGACATGTGCATAAATGGTAGCAGGAATTCTGCTAAAGTTACTTTGAGAAGTGAAGCAGAAAAGCCAATGAAAACAATAGATGTTGGTTTAGTGGCTCCAGCAGAAATGAAGTCAAATTGTCTAGTGCAGCATAATGTTGATGCTGAAAGTTCTGCTGTGCCAATTGAGAAGACTATGACCCTCAGTAGTAAGCTAGATATTACTGGTAATCGAAATGCAAATGCAATTGCAGCGCTATCTGTAAAGCTGGTACATGATGATGGAGATGGTATAGGTGACAGGCTTATTCACAGTACGGTACGTGAACAATGTAGTAGAGAAAATTTATGCAGTGACAACATGGTAAGCGCATGTGAGAAAAGCCCTATTAATGCAAGTAACACTCCGGGTGGATTTGATTCTTTCTTGGCTCTCTGGGACTCAGCCAAAGAATTTTATTTTGACCTCCATTACAGCAGAAGGTCAGAACTAAATAACATCACACGATTCGCATGTTTTGAAATTCATGGCATGGCCATCTGTTGGGAAAGCTCCCCTGTGTACTATGTCAATCTTCCTAAAGATCTACTATGGTCTGATAACCAAAGAAATATTCTGCCTCCTGAGAATTGGTTGGAGATTGTTAGGAATAGGTGGAACCAGATTAGTGAAATAATGGGGAAAAGAGGGGTCAAAAAATTCTCTTGGAATTTGAAAATTCAGGTTCAGGTGCTCAAGAATGCTATTGTTTCCATTCAGAGATTTGGTTGCCTGAATCTTTCAGGGAAAAGTTCGGATATTGAACTCATAGACAGTTCGCACTTATTGTTGTCCCCGATCAATGTTAAAGAAGCAATCGACATGTGTGTTGTGGCATGGATTCTTTGGCCTGATGAGGAGAGAAGCTCTAACCCAAACTTGGAGAAGGTAGAGTCTGAAAATCCCATTTAAAAAGTTGAATCTCATTGGTTTTGGTGTTGGTCATTGGATTGATTGGCTTACGTTGCTATAATGATAATGCAGGAAGTCAAGAGAAGGTTACCCAGTGAGGCTGTTGCAGCTGCTAATCGGATTGGCAGGTGGAAGAATCAGATGCGCAGAGCTGCTCATAATGGTTGCTGTCGTCGGGTTGCACAAACACGGGCTTTATGTTCAGTTCTTTGGAAGTTACTTATTTCTGAGGGACTTGTTGAACCACTTAAGAACATTGAGATTCCAATGGTAAATTGTTTATTGACTTTATTCATAAATGTACAGGTTGTCATCCAGGCATATTCAAAGAGTAAACTATGGCCTTTGTTTTAGAAATCTCCATGAAAATTATTGAGTTAACATGAGAAGTTGCCATAGCAGTGTGTAATTGATAAGGTGTCTATCATCTCTTGGTGTTAGCTTTCCCTAAAGCTTGGCCTCTTTTGTATTTGGCCTTGCATATGCCTAATTGGGGTTTGAACTTTTAGATTAGGTATTTGAAATCCTATGCATGCCACTACATGTCTGAAATTAATCTAGGATGTCCTTTATTGTGGTGCCGCTGAACTGGTGTTAGCACTTGCTTCGCTACTTTTCCTTAGAGATTTGATATTTTGATTACTTCATTAATGCTTCTATCTATGTGTTAGGTTAATGTTCTTGCAGACATGGAGCTTTGGGGGATAGGTGTCGACATGGAGGGGTGCCTTAAAGCTCGTAATGTGTTGGGAAAAAAGCTAAGGCATCTTGAGAAGAAGGCATATGAGCTGGCTGGCATGAAATTTTCATTGTATACAGCAGCAGATATTGCAAATGTGTTGTATGGACACTTGAAGCTGCCTATACCAGAAGGTCATGGTAAAGGGAAACTACATCCAAGTACTGACAAACATTGTTTGGATTTGTTAAGGTAGAAAGCAGGTCTTTCCTTTGTCCTCTTTTAGTTAATATCTACACGTGAAATCTGGCTAAGAACATCTTGCAATTTCCATACGTATGAAGTAATAAAATTTCTTAAGAAAATGTTATTTCTTGGTGGGCATCTTTCATTCAAGACCATTGCGCCAAATGCTTGTAGGGCATGGAAGTAGCTGATTTAGTTCTAACTTATAGTCTTAGGCTGTGGGGTTGAAACAGTATAGGAGTAAAATTTCTACTTTCTAGGTATAAATATTAGGGGTACAATGGTCATTATTTTATGCGTACGGCTGCATTGGTATTCGAAGAGTAAGATGAACTTTATAATAGCTAAAATTTGCTTCATAAAAGGTTAAATAGTTAATAGATGTAGTCATTTTTCCACTTTAACTCCACATCAAGGACACTTAATATGGTCTATCATTTTTCACTTTAAACCCTTTATTAAATGCACATAAACATCATAAAAATTTTGCCCTTGATATGTTATCTTCATATTTACTTGTTAAGTTGGGAACATTATGAGAATTTGGTTCCTTTCAGAAATGAGCATCCTATTATTCCAGTCATTAGAGAACACCGGACATTGGCAAAACTTTTGAACTGTACTCTGGGCTCAATCTGTTCACGGGCTACGCTATCTATGAGGACGCAGAAGTACACACTACATGGCCATTGGCTCCAGACATCTACTGCAACTGGACGACTGTCAATAGAAGAACCTAATCTTCAGGTTGTGATTAATGTCTTCTTATTTTTCTTTCTGTTAGAATATGATTTTCATGAAGCTTTCCAATCTTTCTGAATTGCGTTTTTGCATTATGCAGTGTGTTGAACATATGGTTGAATTCAGAATGATGGATGAAAATGGAAGTGGTGAAGATGGAAATCTTTATATAATAAATGCTCGTGACTTCTTTGTTCCTACGCAGGTGAGAATTATTTGTTTCATAAGATACTAGGTGTTTCTGACTAATATTTGTTTAAGCTCATACCAAATATCTCAATTTCAAGTGGAAAAAAAACTGTTGGTTGTCTAAATGAAGTTTCCTAATTCTTATTGTAGGACAATTGGTTGCTATTAACAGCAGATTATTCTCAGATAGAGTTGCGTCTAATGGCACACTTCTCTAAAGATGCCTCATTAATTGAACTCCTTACTAAGCCGAATGGTGATGTTTTTACCATGATGGCAGCAAGATGGACTGGGAAGCCTGAAGATTCTGTTGCATCTGGTGAGCGAGATCAGACAAAAAGATTGGTATACGGCATTCTTTATGGAATGGGTGCCAATACTCTTGCAGAACAATTGGATTGCAGTTCAGATGAAGCTACTGAGAAAATTAAAAGCTTCAAAAGTTCTTTTCCTGGTGTTGCTTCCTGGCTCCAGGAAGCTGTCTCATCCTGCCGTAAAAATGGGTAAGGCTACAAGGCAATTTAGATGTGTGATCACTCACGACCACCTATTAATTACTATTAATGCTTTTTAAACAAGTTCATGTATCTAGTTCTTTATATTCATTTTTAAATTTGCATAATCATCTCCAAAAATAGTCTAGATCATTTTCTGTTCTCTTTGATTCAGTTAAAGTCTTCATTCTTCTGGATTATACAATCCCCTTATCTTGCAGCTTTCTTGGTTCATTATATTTTGGTTTCCTTCTTCACTTTTTTGGAATTACATCATTCTATCTCTCTCTCTCTCTCTCATGTAGAGGCATTACATTATTGCCAACATGAAGTATATAGAGATATAAATTTTGTCATCTATTATCTATTACTGAATATTTAGTTCTGTCTATTTTTATTAAGCATCTCTTCTCTGTCAGATAGGCCTTTGCTATTAATGTCTTTGTTTTGATTGCATATGTAAATTAATGGATATTTTGTGCATTTAATTTTAAACATCTGTTGTATCTAATTACCTGTGATCCAGTTATGTGGAGACCCTCAAGGGAAGAAAGCGATTCTTGTCAAAAATAAAATTTGGTAACAGTAAAGAAAAATCAAAAGCTCAGAGACAAGCTGTTAATTCTATATGTCAGGTATAATTATTTTTGGGTGGAAGACACTGAAGCAAGTTGTAATACGTTTGTTCTGACAGCTGATCTTTGCCAGGGATCTGCTGCTGATATAATAAAGATTGCAATGATAAATATATACTCTGTGATTATTGGTGCTGATGGCCCAGATTCTAGCTCTTCGTTTGCAGCTAAGTTTCACATGCTGAAGGGCCGGTGCCGAATTCTTTTGCAGGTTACCTCTAAAATTGCTTTGCTTTGCTTTTTAGTCTTTTATTAAACAATTCCTAAAGTTCTGACATTTTAAGGACAGTGTACATACTCAATGAGAAAAATGAAGATTCATGCTCTGTCATTTATGTAGTCTGCTAGTGCAACTGGGTTTGATGTTAAATTTTATCTCTGATTTGCCGTATATGTTATAGAATTGACAGTTACTCTTGGCTATTAATTTTAGGTACATGATGAATTAGTCTTGGAAGTTGATCCCCCTGTGATCAAGGAAGCTGCATCATTGTTGCAAATAAGCATGGAAAGTGCTGCATCACTTCTTGGTATGTATAATGTGATGCTCTAGGTTTTTTTGATTATTTTGATGTTATATATTGACGTTTGATGTTTACTGTACCATATGTTTTCCAGTCCCTTTGCAAGTCAAACTAAAAGTTGGAAGAACATGGGGATGTTTGGAGCCTTTCCAGGTTGATCAATATACAAATGAGGTTCTTGCCTTTGATTCGTAGGGACACCAGATTGTTCTGGCTTAAAGAGGAAAAAGTTTGAAGATGTTGGGGGAATGAGGATTGATGGCAATTTGGACCAATGTATCTAATTTGTGATTAAGAATTTAATTTCTTTCAAACTATCATCTTTTAATCAATAGTATGACATCAGATCTTCTAAATAACTAATTAAGATACTTTATATGCAGAAATGTGAACCCATATGCTCTGGCTGCACAGTGCATTCCTCAGGAAGGGGTAAGTTTGCATTTTCAAATTGTAGTTCTGCTAAAACAATCGTTTGGATAGCCTTCTCTAAGATTAAATACTAAATTTTGGTAAACAGTGCTCCATGAGAATGTCTCTGTTTCTCTCAAAAAGAAAATTTCAAATATAATTGTACTCATATTTTTTTTCTTTACATTTTTTAGCCATGTTCATGTTTTATCTTGATATCTATTTACTTGTTGTTAGTGGGGTACACAGTATTTTGCAAAAGAAAGTCTCCTGTATTTCTCTCAAAGGGCTGCTGTGATACCACAGAATGATAAGCAGAAATCACTCTGCTTTCCCCTTCCTATTTCAGAATTCAGAGCGCGTTTAGACACATGTAATTCTCTCAGTACAGTGTTTCACTGTTATTATTTTGACCCTTATGTGATTGTTGGAAGGAATCTAGGAGATTCACCTCACACACACTGCCATTAAGCATAGAAAGCTAGCAACATTGGAAAATAGTATTAATTACTGATACTACTACAGTAAACTTTATAGATATGTATAACCAAATATAGTGGGCCTTTAGTTACATTATTATAAAAATAAAACCGCTAGAACTCAAATTATTTGAATGCAAACTGTTTTGACTGGAAATGTAACTAATAGGGTTTAATATGTATGCAGGCTTCTACTTCGGAACCCAAACAATGTGGTCCTGAGGAAGGAAATGGCAAATTGGAACTGTACCTGGCTTAACCTTGAGTACCTGGAATGCCAGATGCTTGGGATTCCAAGCTGATGTATTTGTATGGCAGACTGCTACTGCTTTAGCCTTTGTTCCATCAGCACCCTCTAAAGAAACCATATAAGCCCTTGTGGTTTGTGTTGCATGGCAATAGAAGACAGCATATGCATAATTCTGCTTGTGGCATGCCACAGATTTGTCACCTGCCATCTTTGTTCTAGTTGTAATTTTATACTTCTGCATCTGGGTTTGGTTTTCCACCTCCGTGGAGATTGCCTGAACATTTTTTCCAAGTACAGAAGTGCTGAAGTCAATCATTGACTCGAGTGATGTTGCACAGTATTTCTTCTCTCCTTTAATCCCAGGTTCTTCACACTCTCTGATTGTTGTCTTCATTATCTCAGCTTCCGTTGATCCAGGTTTCACAGAAAACTCATTGTAGATCTCTGGCAACTTTTTAGATGTAAAAGGTATCGAATTGGCAACTTGGCGTGGTAAGAAAGTTGCTATGTTTGGGTTTTCGGTGAAGTGCAAGTTCATGGTTTTCCCGATATACATGTCCTCCTCCAAAAAAAAGAGAGCCACAGTTGGGTCATCGTGAAGTTGATTTTCAGTAGCAGCATAAACATAATTGAACGGGGATGGCCCTGGTCGTACTCCAACATACACAGGCTTTCCCTTGTGTCCCGTGGTAACAGTTACACCGCCTTTGCCAACACCTACATTGGTTCTCTTCCCCGGCTTTCCAGCGTTAACATTTACACCACCTTTACCTCCCACATTAACATTGGTTCCTGGCTTTCCTTTCCCAGTGTTCACGTTTACTCCGCCTTTCCCAACATTTACAGAAGTTCCTCCAGGCTTTCCCTTACCTGTATCAACATTTACACCTCCCTTCCCTACGCCAACAGAAGTGCTTTTATCATCTATGAAGTCTGCAATTTAACTACGTTAGTTAGAAGAGCTCAGAAAGGAAATGATGGGATTTTCGCAACTACTCCAGCGTTTATCAAGATTTTTGAACTCAATAAAAAACAAAATCATACTGTCATTATTTGATGTATCATTGTTTTACATGTAACTTGAGAGACACTGGCACCATAACTGCTATGTATCATTTCTTTATGAATCTTTTAGAATCAAACAACAAAAAACTGTTTGGAATGTTCATGTGGCCAAGCCAACATCTCTAGATGTTTATTTTGGACAGTGAATCAAATTAACAGTTTGTGTCAGCTGAAATTATGTAAGTACGACCTGGCTGTAGAAGATCTGTGACCGCTTTTGGCATTGGAGTATCAGGCAGAACAGAGTTCCAGTAAAGCTCAGGAGTCAGAGCAGCATGGGTTGTAGCTAGCGCAATCTGCAAATAAAGGTAACCTGAACTTTCTTAAAGTATTCTTACATGATAAAAATTAGGAATTTATGCATCATCTATATTATAGGAAGAGGTTTACGAAACATGAAATATTCTTTATATTGAAACAAGTTGAAGATTCAGAAGCTTACAGTTATAAAAAGAATGATGTGTGGGAGATGGAACTCCATTTGAACTCTGAACATGAATAGAAAACAAAGAAAGAAAAGAACTGAAATCCAAGCTTATTGGAATAAAGAGTGAGTTGTAACATTTATAAAGAACTTGTCATTAAGGTTGAATGACTAAATAGCACCTACATCATCTACTAGCTTAATTGCTTCAACTGTCCCTGGTTCACATACTTAACTGCAATTTATGTCATGTGGGACAGATGTAAGAAGAATAAGAGGTGATTCGCTAGTTTTCTGGTTAACAGAAAAATGTCACTGATAAATAATAGTAGTTTTCAATTTGCTTTTCATAAATTTTCTATTGTGCAAAACATGGACCCAGAATGGCTCCACATCCTTCGTATTTGTCAATTCATAATGATGTTTACTTTAACTGCAAAATCTATGAATCTGAAGTGGTCTTAATTTCATGGAATTCTGGTTCAAAATTTAACAAACAACTACCATATTAATGAGGTTAGTAGGGGTTGAGAAATACCGACCTCGCGTGATTGTGCATTTCTATATTCCAATTACATAGATTTTTCTGACTCTTTGTATGTAAGAGATTTAAGAACAATCCTCATGTTTTTTGGGCTTTTCCTTGGTGGGTTTGAACGGTCTGTTTCGTTAGCTTTAAGAAATTTGTTTGTCTAGTTTCAATCAGCTTATTTAACTTAGAAGGTCAAGCGATGTATAAATGAAAAGGTCTCTTTGGAAAGCAGATTTTATGCACTATATATGTAGTGCAACAACTATTAGTTCCAAACTAGTAGAGCGAGCTGTATGATTCCTTTTTTTTTTTTTTTTTTTTTCGAGCTTGGTATGATCTTCCTTTTTTTGTTTTTTTTTTTTTTTTCTGTTTAATAATCCGCTCTGATCCAAATTAAAGCAAAATATAATTGAAGAAAATTTTGAAATCATAATTGGAAAAATTTTTGACAATATTTTTTGTAAAAAGAATTTTTGAAGGGAGATATTTAAAATTCATTTGATACTATATATATATATATTATTAATATATATATATATTATATATAAATGAGAATACTGCATGCTATGAACAGGAAATAGTCAGGCGCGAGATCTTCAATGCTTTTAGTTGATGCGTAATAAATGCCTGTCCTTCAAAGACCCGAGTGGTCGAAGTGTATCTTTCTTGTTTAGCAGACATGTTTGAATTGTATATATATATAAATGAAGAATATGCATGCTATGACAGGAAAATAGTAGGGCGACAGATCTTAATGCTTTTAGTTGATGCGTAATAAATGCCTGTCCTTCAAAGACGAGTGGTCGAAGTGTATCTTTCTTGTTTAGCAGACATGTTTGAATTGTTCATATTTCTAGAATTCTTTGTCTTTGTAAATAATATATCTGTTTTATCCTTATCTTTCCTTGATTTAAAATGACAGTTAATTTATAATGGACTGTAACAGATTGTCCATCTATCTATCTATAATGTTCGTATGGTCTTAATGTATATATATCTTTTATATTTTATCATTGTTTTTGAAAATTTTTAGTTTTATTTAATTTCCCTCAGATTTTAATTTCTAAGAAGTGAATGCTAATTTTCCAATTTTTTTAAAACAATATAAGATAGCATGTGATAGAAATCTCAATTGGTCAGAGCATCGCCTCGTCAAAAGGAAAGCTGCGGGTTGGAGATTTTATATATCGACTGTGGAGTATGCATGTGTATATATTTTTTGATAAAGAAATTATTATTTCGTTCTCTCTCATTTGTGTGTATATTATATTTTTTTTTTTTGGTTTACTCACATATTATCAAAATAACACCATTTTTTCCATTTACTTTAAAATGTGGTCCATAATATCAAGTTGAGCTCTATTCTGATCTTCACTAACTAATAACTAAGGAATTCAATTATTCTCCTACGAGGACTTCCTATGTAGTCGCCCTTTTGGTTAGAAAACCTTTGATTTCAAAGTTTTTAGTAGGCAAGGGATTGTGTCATTAGTGATACTTAAATTCTAACCCCACTAATGACTATCTATCTACCTGTATAATTATGATACAGAAAAGCATGTTACACCAAACTTCTGCCTGCACCTCAATAAATTTATGTTGTGTTCCACGTACTCTGTTAGTGTCGCCTTCTTTACTCCTCTTTAGTGCTATTTGTCTAATTGATAAATATTCATTGTAAAAAGGCTTTGTAAAATATTGGATTTCAAGCCCAATTTTGCATTACTGTGCTGATGAGTTCATCTCGGCCTTTTGTAGATAATTGGGCCTCTATCCAATATTTGTTTTACTTTTATCAACTTCTTTTTATTTTTTTTTAAAAAAGAAAATTAGCTATTCATTAATGAATAATATAAATAAAGACAATTAGAGATATACACTGCTTAAAAAACAAACAAATAAACTAAAAAAAATAGAAAACTAACCTTTGGCAATTGTTGATTATACGAGAGGTTCATAGACTTTACACCCATCAAAGCTCTATGACCCCAACTCTGTTTTAGTCTTTTTCAAATTTTGATATGATATTTGTAGTCTTTATATTGCTGAATAAGAGAGAGAAAGAAGAGAGAACCTTGTTATAAAATGCCCACTAAATGCTAAAATGGAAAGAAAAGGAAATTAATTGCATGTTGTAATTGTACCTTTGCCAAATAATTGAAAACATTCCATGCCATATAGTTAGAACCAGAAGATTTGATCCTTTATAACCGTAATGGTTTTTTGCTCTCTTATCAAAATGCCTAATCGAATTTGTGTTTTCATCATTATAGAGATTGAATTCGTTTGAGTGTTTCAATCTAGGATCTTCGCATGAATTTTTGGATTTGAAAATAAATTCTGATTGAAATATATTTAGATTTCTTGAATTTTGACGATCGATTATTAATTGATTTTTAATGTGAAAAACAGGAAATCTACGGCTGGAATTTCCAATGATATTGTTGGCGCTCTCCGTCACAGCAAATAGTAGTTCTCCAATCAATTGCAGGCCACTTGTAAGTTTTGTTTTGGTCTCTTGTATTGGACATCAACACACAGCACTCACCTTTATAACCAATTCTCAGCCTCCTTATCTGCATTCGTCCCTTATGGACTTTTTGCTTTTATTTTGTGTTCTTCAAATTTATTTCTCTCAAGGTGTTTGACAAAATGCTCCTTTCAATTCCTGCAAGATATAATGTGAGAGGAGGAAGCCTACTAGGGCGTAGAATTATTATGGGTCCTTCTGCAGAGAATTGGGCCTCAATTCATTTAAGACTTTGCCTCTGTCAGGTACTTTGCTATTTCTCTATTTTAATATATAAGGAGTTGAAAATTGCATAGCATTGGAAGGTAGAATGGTCGGCCGCCATTTAAACTTTGGGAGGGAACGCTTTGGTCTTTTGATAATACTTTTAATCTTCAAATGATCAAATCCTATCTATCCTGTGGTGGCCTAAGCCTAATCGCACTATCTTTTCTTTTTTCACTTTCTATCACATGTAATGCAAAACCAATTTCATTTTTCAGCATCATCTATAAAACATCCCTTTGTCCACTAATGTAATGTCTCTTTAACCCCTTCTTTTCGTGTTTGTGTATAAAATAATTTATTGAAAGGCTCAACGAGTTTAACAAGATAATATCTTTTCTTTATCCTTTTCATATTTAGTAAATTATATTATATTTATAATATATTATTATTATCTAAAAAACTTTTAATAACAGTCAGTCAGATGTGATTTGGTTGGTTTTTTCAATTATATGAAAAGTGAGAGGATTTTAAAAGTGTTTTCACCAATTTAATAAGTTTAGAGTAGAATAAAAAAAAAAAAAAGAGCTTCTAATAACACAAATTTGGAGACTGAATTTTAAATATTTTCATAAATATGAAATTGCATGATGATGTCGATTAAGATTATTTTATATTAATTTCAATTTCTATTAATGTGTCAATTTTTTAAGTTATTATTGTTGATATTGTTATTGATTAATTAATAGAAATACTGGTGTTTAGATTACTAATCTATGGTGGGATATCGTCATCCATCATTAAAGATTTGCTTTTCCCTCTTTTAACTAGAAGCTTATTGGTTTTTCAAAAAAAAAAAAAAAAAGAAGTAGAAGCTGAGTGAGTCGATCTATTTGGCAAAGAAACATTAGTGGGGCGGTCCAAATTATTAGGCTTTGCTGTATGGTAATTGAAGAAATGAGACTAAAAATGTTTTATCAACTAATGAATTATTAAATAGGCAGTGCTTGCATTAATTATTCTCAAGCATGCATTGTTTGCCTTCAATATCCATTTCCTAAGTAGTACTATTAGCAGCAATATTATGTAGACCTTTTTTTTTAAAAAAAAAAAGTTTTAGATCTCCATATCCATTTGAGATCAACCTTTTTAAACGTATGAAAGAAAAGGTAATTGATTTTAAATATTTAGAATAATACAGTTTTTATTAATTATGACATTTTAAACCAATATTTTTAATCTAGAATTGGAGAGGTATTTTCAAACTAGAATCTTACAATTTACGTGTAAATTTGAAAAACCTTTCGACTATGTAAAAGACTTTTTATTTAAATATCATTTAATAAAGTAGTCTTTATGAGTCAATCAAGTACAGTTTGATTGGCCCTTTCACTCATGTAAGAAATAAGAGGTCCTGAATTCGAGTCTTGTCGACTATAAAGTTTTTACCAATTTGCTAAGCCAAAAAAATAATTATCTTCTACTGTATAGCTCATAATGTAAAAAAAATAGTCATCGTAGAAGATTATCCCTTATCACGGATACTTAATTTGCATTTTTAATAACAATATTTTAAACTATTGATAAACTAGGAAAGAAATAAAGCCATTTATATATAGAGTAGTGATTAAGTTTAGCATGCAAACATAATTACATTGGCCTATTTAATCTATCAACAGGTCATTCATTAGGCAGTTTTTTGTTCAGACACTCACAATTGAATGATTAATTATACATAATAAATAAATTAATATTATTATTACATTTTTATAAATCATTACTTATTAATTATTAGTGTTATGTACAATTTTAGTTTACATATTATATTCTGGTGCCACTAGGTAGGAAAAAATAAAATTTGAAATTAATTATAATAAACTACAGAATGGAAGTTAGGCCATCCTATATAAGCCTACAAATGAAATTTGGGAAAAAAGAAAAAAAAAAAAAAAAGGCTAAACCATTAATTATAAATAAACTACAAGAATGGACAGTTAGGCTCTATTAAGCCCAAATGAAATCTTGGGAATTAAAAAAAAAAAAAAAAGGCTAATCAAGCTATGAATCTTTATCATAACCAAGAAACATTAATTTATATATTGACACATGCCAAGATTCATGCATTTATATTCAGAAACATCAACTAAAGAGAATAAGAAATTAATATTATTAATTAACCTAATAAAATTAATATTATTAATTAACCTAATAAAATTAATATAAAGTAAATTTACATAGTGCCTCCAAAAAGTGAAGAAAAGCACATAATATAAAAGGCACTTGTGTAGAGTGTGATTAATGCATAGATACTTACAATTAATTATTATATTTTTCTATTGCAGATGAAAACAAGAATCTTTAAAATAGTTGTATTTCTTTTTTTCATATATAAAAATTATATTTAATTAAATTTGGCATAATGCTTTTCTTTATGGTTCAATCATATGGAAAAATTGAGATACAAAAATTTTAAAATATATTCTTTTCTTTAAATTCAGTCACATATATAATAATTTTACAAATATCTGACGAATGAGATATTTGAACTTATAATGTTTATATATATTTTATAAGCACTAAAAGGGTAATTAGTTATTAAATAACTTGATTTGATGTTACTTTGCAAATTTTTTTTTTTTTTTTTTTTTTTTTTTTTTGGTTTATAATTTTTTTTAGTCTCAATTCAGCAGATTAAACATGTCTAAAAAAAGGAAAATGGTAATAGTTTCCATAAAAGATTGGTTTATACTTGGTCCTCATGCATCACTATATTTGGGATTAAGAATATTTCCTCATATATATTATATATATAATTATAAATATATATATTATATAATAAAATAGTTACCTTACTCAGTGTAATATATATATACACGTTCATTGCTTATTTATTCTCTTCGAATCATAAAAAAGAGTTTGAGGACAAATGCACTTTAAATCATGGAAAAGTTAAGTCCCCACAACTGTCTAATCAAGCTTTAAACCTAAGTGAGAGTGATTACTGATTAATTAAAATAATGATAATAATAATTTAAATATAAAACTATATATTGGGTTTTGAAAATTTAAAAAAAAAAATGCTCCAAGAGTGGAAGATGAGACCCACAATGATTCTATGTTATATATATGTGTGTGTATGCATATACAAATGTAGAGAGAGTGGAAAATGATTCTTATTGTAAAGTTGAAAATTTTGTTAATAATTAGCTATGACCTCTGAAGGTTGCTCTTAAGAGAGATTATAAAAAAGATATTAAGTTTAATTATATTTATGTTGGGTATCTGTAGTTAATTTTAAAGAAGATGACTATCTTGTACTGTTTAATTTAATGAATAAAAAAAAAAAAAAAAAAAAAAAAAAAAAAAAAAAAAAAAAAAACCAAAAAAAAAAAAAAAAAAAAAAAAAAAAAGAGTGATCAGTCATCAGTTGATGATTTGAATTTTTCTTTTCAAATTAGTATTTTATTTTGGTTGTGTTCATATGAAGATGTCTTAATCAAATAGATACATGATTTGTGCACAATGATCCTTGATGGAATATAAAGTCTTATTGTGTTGCTAAAAAGAAGAAAATTTGGGAAGAAGCCAGTTGGTTTACAGGAAACTTGTTGTGGAAAGATCCAATTTTGATCTACTTCTGTTGCTTGATGCATATTTTTAGATGAGTTGTATTTGTTTCTAGATTTTATCATATTACCTTGACTGAATAGCCTTCATAACCTGTGATGCAAGAGATGGACCAATGAATATAGTTACTTCAATTTTCTATCTGCATTTAATTGATTAGGATCCGTCCTTCAAAAAGAAACAGCAAAGTGTTCTCCATTGTGGTTTAGCTCAAATTTCAGATTCTTTATATGGGAACCTAAATGAAATTAGTCACATTTTTTGTAAGATAATTGATTGATTGCTTGCTTGCTTGCTTACTCTTCAGTAGATGATGAATTATTTTGTGGGTAAACATCATTCTAAATTGTTGGCATTCCTGTAGTGGTCGGCATGGCTTTGTGGTAGCAATAACAGGCATAGAGAACATTGGTAAAGGGTTGATCCGAGATGGGACAGGATTTGTGACATTTCCAGTGAAGTATCAGTGCGTTGTGTTCAGGCCATTTAAGGGAGAGATTTTAGAAGCTGTTGTTACCATGGTAAATAAGGTATATGCTTCTCTTTTACCAATCTAACTCTTTAAGAAATTATAGTTGTGAATTTTTCCAGTGTAGCCAAATGTATGATTTTATACATAAATATGGCAGATGGGCTTTTTTGCAGAAGCAGGGCCAGTTCAAATTTTTGTTTCAAACCATGTAAGTACTGCATTTTACTTGAATGTTTCTTTCCTAGAGGATTATGAACTTTTTAAATGACCTTGTCTTACAAGAGTGCTTTTATCCTTCATAATTTATGCATGTTTGCTGTTTTATTATATAGAAATGCAGGGAGTACTTAAACTTTTTTGTTAGTATGTAGGATATTAAGAAAATGGAAGCTATCATTTTATTTATTCCAGTACTTTTGTTTGGCCTTGTTGTTTGGGTTTGCAACTTTCAGAAAGCCAAAAATGAGAGTAGGAAGAATTTGTTTTTGCCAATCTCACATTTCTGTTAGCAATAAAAATGTATTTTTTGTTTAATGTTAGGATGAAAAGAAATGTAACAGTAGTTGAATGTCAAACTTCAATTTTCAGATTTTTCTAAAAAAAGGTGTTTGTTTTAAGGAAAATTGGAAAGCCATTTTTTTTCCTGATACTTCTTTATCTCTCTATCAGTGCCACTTATTGGGTGTATAATAGTAAAATCCTGATGTATTTTACACCTCTATCATGCCCTGAATGTAGTTCACTTGTATTCAAGTTTGTTAGTTTTCCTATTATAGTATTTTTCTATTCTATTGAATGTATTATTTCTCTACCTCTCTCTCTCTCTCTCTCTCTCTCTCATAATCATTAGCTTGATTAGATTATTATATCTTAATACACTTCACTCCTCATACTATAAATAAACAAATAATTTATTTAGTGTATTTGGGATATGCTTTTGGTTTAATTATGTCTAATCAAAGTAGAATACAAAAAATTGTCAACTTAGATGAAATTTTTTAGAGTTGTTTACTAGGTTCGAGTGGGGAAATATGTGCACGCCAGTCTTGGATATCTATAGCTAATGATGAGCATAATGACAAATTTTTCTTTATCTAATTCCAAATTAATTTTCACATTAGAAATTTAATTATCATGGGTATCTCTATTTTCTTTTTATTTTTTTTATGTGGTTTATTTTGAAATTTAAAAATTTTATGATTTTAAACAAAGAAATAAGAAAAATAAAATTTGAGTTGAATGAATTTATCATGTGGGGTTAAGAAAATCTTTATATGATCC